ATTGCGTAAGAAAGTTATTGCGAGAATGCTTCATTCATTTGGAAATGTCATAATTTCTGTTGTTTTTCTCTCTGTAAGAGGCAAGTGCGATGCAGCAGAGAATAGAAAAAGCCACCAATGGGTCCCTCCTGTATAAGCCCCCGACAAATCAGTTCCCATGTTGTTAAGCCCCACTTGAGGCTTATCGTTGAATAATGAACATGATTTTAGCCAGTGATAAATCATGTATTAAAAAAAATCTGTTTTGATGATATTATTTTTGTTTTAAAGACGTGGCGAGACAGGCCTTGTTAGGAAAGGGGGGAGGGGGGTGTTGCTTACGAAACTTCCTGAGTGAGAAAAATTCCTGCAGTAAGGAAATTTCGAAATTACTTGAAGAAGGCCTGGTTTTTCCGATTTAGTACCAACAAGAAATCTCAAAACCTTCGCGGGAATATCATTAGGGACGGATTTCAGCGGCAATGATTGGGGGGTGTTTGATTGGATATTGGTGCCACACCTTTCAGGTAACTGGAAAATGATGGAAAGGCCCATTTTAGAAATTAAACTTCTCGCTTCAAGGTGAAGAAGTTTAGGAAATAAAAAAAGTAAATTGTTCAATTATTTTTTAGCTACTAACCACCAAAAATATTTTCAACCGAATCAAAACAAAATTTACCAAAGGACACAAAAATATTGAGGGGTGGCGCACCCCCTACAGCCCCGTCCTGGTAAATCTGTCCCTGAATATCATATTAACCAACGGAGTAACAATCATTGCCTCAGATTCTTTATTGATCTCTGAAGACGTAGGGGCTCTGAACTACTTACAATCTTTCTTCCATTGAACTGAGGCATCAATCTGAATAAGAAATCGAGCTTTAAAAACATGTCCAACTGTTCTGTAAAATATCTAGTCATGCTTCAACTCGTATTTCAATTTTCATGGAGCCTGTGAAACTAAAACCGTTGATGTCTCAGATTGGCTATTGCCTGCTGATTTGGGTGTTTCGAAAAAGAAAATTTGAACAATAAGATAAAGTGAATTTAAGAGAGGGGCTTATAATAGCATATATTTGTGATGCTTCTAGATTTGAAAAATTATTTGAAACTGATAGCTCTTTAAGCCTTCATCAAATGAACCTGTATTTGCTTTTGGTAGAGGTCTACAAACTCACATCTATGTTCTAGCTTCATAAAGCTAGCTTTGGTGGAAAAAATTCCTCACAATCTAACGTCTCTTGATGAACTACAATTGTCAACTCTCAACATTTTATTCAAATTTTGGTTTTTTTATTGTAACAAGTATTTCACTCATTTTATGTTTTTAATAGTAAATTTTATATTTTTGTAAGTGATTGGTAAGCATCTTCAGCCTTATTTATTTGCAAACCTTAAAATATTACTGAAAATAGAGCTGTGGAGGATGTAAATCAACTTTTACTGGTTTACTTTTTTTATCAGAATGGTAGGAATTCTATACTATCTGTGATTTATTCAAAATTGCCCAGAATTTGATTCCTTGACCTGTGTAACAAGTTTATCTGGTTCTTTAGCCAAAAGAATAGTCGTAAATCAGCAACTAATTTTATATCGTTGGCTTCGAATTATGGGAATCATTTTGGAGGAAGCTCTTTGTGTAAATCTGCATAATTTTATTCGTATAACGCATGATTATATCACATATTCTTAGCTTTATATTAACTAGTTGCTGTTTTCTAACTTACAAGTCTAAATATGTTTTTAAAGTTTTGTGGCGATGGATCATTTCACAAACCTTTATTAAAAGTTGTCAGAAAACGCACATCCGTTGAAACACATTTGTGTCCTGTCTAACGCATATGCGCTTCACGCCATTCACAGCTAGGCCCTGCATGTCCGCCATTACACTGTAACACTTGAAACGCATATGCGTCTCGGCCCATGCAGAAACGCATGCCCATGCAGAAACGCATAGTACACCGGCATCACCATCTCACATTTCAAATCCATTCACTCGCTCGTTTCATTTACTCTGATGAAGCCCTGTATGCCTGGGCGAAATATTCGTATATTTTTTAAATTTGATTTATTTTGAAAATTCTATATCATGACATTGGATTCTCGTCGTCGTATTGCTTTGTTCCTGTATATCTTACATTTCTTCCCCTTTTCATGAAACTTTTTATTTTGCTCTGCAGAAAAGTGGGGGCTATGGTCCTCGCTGTTTCGCTGGCTCTGCGAAATAGTAAGTTAAGAGTTTGAATGTTTAATCGACTGCATCTTATAGCCGTTAGTTATGGCAAGTTATTTGCAATATTACCAAAAATAAAGATGAATATGACCGACCATGACCAACAAAATAAATGAATTACGAGTTGACGTTTGGTCAAACTTTATAATTATAATTAACGCTAAGGTCTCCGCTGCATAACCAACTTTCTTAGAGTTTTGCAGGCATTTGGGGGCCGTGACGCCCCCCCCCCATGCCCACTAGTCGGCACATCCCTTTGATGGCAGCAAAGTTTGGAAAGGAAATACGAAGGGAGAGACTAAAGGTTCACTGCCCTTTTTAGTAGAAAGATACTTCAGTTAAGAATCAGTGTGCATAATCAACGGGATCTGGAGAGCCAAATCAAAAGCTAGCAGATGTGATTCTGGCTTCGTAGGACGCACCACCCAAAGATTGGAGGATAGGATAAAACAACACGTTCCATCTAATATTAGAAACAAAACACATCCCCAAAGAGAACAGCCACCTCGGTCTTGCAAATCCAAAATTACTAATAAGACCTGCGATTCTGCTATCGGGCAGCATTTGCTAGAAAACCCAGTTTGTGCAAAAAACTATAATGGCGACATGTTTCGGATTATTGGTAAAGCCCGATCGTCGTTCCACCTAGCAGTTTTAGAATCTATCTACATAAGCACGAAAAAACCGCTACTGTGTAGACAAAAGGAGTTCGTTTTCACCTTAGGACTCCATTGGTAACATTCTAATAGGCAAGCGGCACTGATTGGTCAACCTTTACAGTCATGTGCTCATGTTTCTGATTGGCCTATTTCGATCCACAACTGGGTATATATATTTCTTAGCCTAGAGTTTTCGATCTATGTTCTGACGTTTTAAACTCTGAAGAGTGTCAGACGAAAAGCTTTAGTTTACTAAATGTTTGCTTTTTTCAAAGCTATTTACAAGTTTTGTACCACCAAAAGATTGTTTGCAAATAATATATTATTTTATATAGTGAGTCTGGTAGCCAGGGTATAAAAACCCTTATCAACTATAAATGCTAGAACTTATCCGTGACTAGAAGAATAAGAATTGATAGAATACACATTTTAGGTATTAAAATTTAAATGTGCACCATTAACTAAGCAACAGTCTGAAGAAGATAAGACCGTCCAAGACTGTCTAAAAGGCAACATGATGAGGTCCCTTCTGAACCAGAAAAAATTTGAGAATCTAAATCACTGAAAAGGGCATTTAGCAAGTGATAATGTAAAAATGAATAACAGAACTGCTCTTCCATCCTTCCCACTGAAAATTTGCAATTTCTTAACACTGTATATACTTTCACCGAAAACATTGAAAAAAACTTGAGTCTAAAATGCTGCGCCTCCCTTTTGAGCGATAAATTCTCGGGGGAAAACGGACATAAAACGAAATAAAGCGTGTAATGTAAATAAATTGACCCTAATCTATTCACCTCATTGCCCTAAGCCTATCAAACCTACACTATTAACCCTAACCCTATCAAATTAGCGTCCAGCACCCCGGCTTTACTGATAATAGATGTGAGATAAAGCCTTAATAAGTGGCACTTTAATGAACAAATTCAGTAAAAATGATGACAAAGATATAGACATAAAGATCGAGGTGAAAAAAATAACAATTACGAGAATCTTTACCTTGCACTATCAAGGTAATTTTAAAAAACAAAAATGGATAATTATTGGAATCTATCACCCTCCAAACCAAAATGGCATCTATTTTTTTGATGAATTAGGTAAGTTATTGGATTTCTATTCACGAAGCTATGAAAGAATTCTAATACTTGGGGACTTTAATATGGAACCTGGTTCTTCTAACATAGAAAATTTTATGGGAAACTATGATCTATATAATCTGATGAAAGAGCCAACATGCTGCAAAAGTAATCCGCCAAAATGCTATGACTTGATCTTAACAAACAAGAAATACAGCTATATAAATACAGATACATATGAGACAGGTTTGTCTGACCACCATAAGCTAACCTATACTGTACTAAAAACTGAATTCGTAAAATCTGAACCCATTTCTATTTCATACAGATGCCATAAAACTTTTTCTACCGATCAATTTAACGAGGATCTTCAATTTAATTTAGCTAAAATACCTAAAGAAAATGTATCGTATGATGTTTTCAATCAAACTCTGATTTCAATTCTCGATAAACATGCCCCTCCGAAGAAAAAATTAGTAAGAGCAAACAATGCGCCTTTTGATGAATAAAGATAAAAGAAAATTGATAATGCTGAGATCTAAGGCAAAAAGAGAGCTCAACAAAAATAAAACAGTTTCTAATAGAGAGAGGTACAAAAAAGTCAGAAATAGATGTGTTAAATTAATTAGACGCACTAAAAGAAGATATTTCGAAAATTTAGATGTTAAATTCGTCAACGATGCTAAAAAATTCTGGAAAACTATCCAGCCTTTATTAAATGATAAAAATGCAAAGGAAAATGAAATCATACTGATAGAGAACGACGAAATCCTGTCTTACAGCAAAATAGTTGCACAGACGTTGAATAATCACTTCGTAAATATTACTGAAAGCCTCAATATCGCCCGACCTTTATCTGATAATGTGCAACAGACGTCTGACGAAGGGGCAGTTTCGTCCATATCAGATCAATTGAAATGCTATAAAAACCACCGTAGTATTTTAAAAATCAAGGAAACGTTTGATCAATTTTCTAAGTTTAACTTTGAAAATGTAACTTCAAATGAGGTAAGAGAGATAATTTACAACCTAAAGGAGGACAAATCAACAGGAGCCGATAACATCCTCCTAAAAGTTCTTAGAATGGCAATAGACGTTGTCTCTGGACCACTAGCTGAAATATTCAATCGATCTATTTCTGATAAAACGTTTCCCTTTCTTATGAAAATGGCTAATGTGTGCCCTATTTTCAAAAAAGGAGATTCAACTAGTAAAGAGAATTATAGACCAATAAGTGTGCTCCCCTCAGCTTCAAAGGTTTTTGAGAGAATAATGTTCAATCAAATCTACAATTACATCATTGTTAAACTATTCCCTTTGCTTTGTGGATTCAGAAAAGGTTATAGCACACAACATGCTTTATTACGACTTATTAAAGGTCTGAAAAAAGTGCCTGGATAAAAAAGATGTGGCTGGTACAGTGCATATGGATTTATCAAAAGCATTTGATTTTTTACCCCATATACTTCTACTAGCCAAATTGAAATCTTATGGCTTTAGCGACAACGCAATGGAATTTATGTATAGTTATCTAGATTAAAGAGTACGACGAGTAAAAATAAACTCAGAATTTAGTGAATGGATGGAAACAAAGCAAGGAGTTCCTCAAGGATCAGTATTAGGCCCTTTGCTTTTCAATATTTCCATAAATGATATTTTGCTGCATTTGAACAAAAGCAACTTATGCAACTATGCAGATGATAATACAATTTAGCTGTCAAGTACTGATATGAATGAACTAACTGACGACTTAGAATCGGAAGCAGCTATTCTTAATAAATGGTTTTATGAAATTTGTTGGTGCTCAATGGCGATAAAAGCAAGCTTATAACATTTAAAGCCAATCGATCCAATTTAGAGGAATCTAAAATTCAAATAAATGGTTCTAGCATAATAGAAAGTAAGAATGTTAAACTTTTGGAAGTAACACTAGACCATCAACTTAGATTAGAAGAACATATTAAAGTTTTTTGTAAAGAAACTGGGAAAAAGGTAAACGCTCTAGCCAGGATTGCTTCGTATATGGACGAATCTAAGCGAATTTTTTAATGAAAACGTTCATATTATCATATTTTAATTATTGTCCTCTTATTTGGATGTTTTGCAGTAGGAAAAGTAAAAATCGAATAAACCGGATTCATGAAAGAGCAATGAGAATAGCTCATGATGATTGTGAATCAACTTTTGAACAACTTTTAATAAGGAATAAAACAATAACTTCTCATAAGAAAAATTTACAATATCTTGCGATAGAAATTTACAAAACATTTAACGGATTGAATCCACCTTTTATGGATGAAATATTTTCTATAAATGAATGTCCATATTACTTAAGAAACTCCCAATTCAAAACAGCGGAGCCACATTACAAAATATATGGATTTTATACCGTATCATACATATTAAGCCAAATATAGAACTCAATTCCAAATGAGATAAAGTACTACCCCTACTTTATCAATATTCAAAAAAAAATCTCAGAATTTACATCGTTTAATTGTACTTGTAATCTTTGCAAGGAATATGTTAGCAGCATCGGTTATATTTGATTTATATTATATTTAGCGTTGGTAATTTAAATAAGTTGGTTTTAATTAGCTTGTATGCATAGCTAGATAGGGTACCAAATTGTAAATAAAGAAAGGTGAACTGCACTATCAACGCTGACAACTTTTATTTTCTTTTGTACAAAATGCTAAACTTTGAATTGAAATAGCTCAGCAAGAAAACCGGTGTCTTCTTAAAGGATAAATAGTAGAATATACAGCTGAGGTTATTTCAAAATTTTAAAAATGTCATTTCAAATAATGCCGATGAGCTCTCTTAGAGGCGTATATTTTTTGATTTGCTTAATCTTCCAAGAAAAGTAACTAAGAATCTCAATGACGCATTTACCTATGGGCCCCCTAAAATTCTTCGATTCAGTGGGCACCGTGCAAAGTTTTAAAAGCCTTTCAAGTGCTCTTGATTTCAATCTAGGGGGCCTCGTAAAGTAACGAATTCCATTTTCAGAATGGGATAAAGGACGTGGTCAATTTTCAGCTCGCTCCGCTCGCAGGGGGCCTCATATTTTGTTTTTACCCCAGGGCTTTTGAAACTTTCGCTTGTCCTGGTTGAAGCTTCCCCCAATGCAATGACTGCCCTTAGTTTGTTGCTCAATTTGCTATACAGATGTTTCCCCGGTGAAAAATATTTCACCTTGCTGAAAAGGGTAAGTAAAAAGAGTGTGAGCCAAGGTCCACAATGTCACAGTAGCGCATTGTTTCCTTATGTTTAATGGCAGCAGATTTTGATGTCCTGGCAGTTCTAGACCCCATCGAAAAGTTTCCAGCAGTTAGGCAGTTTTATTGGGAATGTACTGAAATGCGCAATGGATACAAGTTTATTCGTGTTTTATAGTTGGTTGATTATGTTTAGCCAAGTACTGTGCAGTGAATGTGAAACAAATTTGATGGTACATTTTAAGGGGCCCCAATCAACTTTGGGCCCAGGGCCCCAACACACTAAAAGCGGGCCTGAAGAGATTATTGTATTTTTATGACATTTTGATCTGTTTGCGTTTTATTGGTCACTTTTTGCCTTAGTTGCCTCTTAAAGTTTTACGCAATAGGGTTTGCTTCAGTGATCTTTTACGCAATAGGGTTTGCTTCAGTGATCTTTCTTATTTTCATCTCTACAACATGAAAATGTACAAAATGAAAAGAACCATACTTGATATCAGATATTAAAAATTTCATTAGGACAAATTTAAGGTTTTTGATTTTTTGATACGTGATTAGATTGTGTGAATTGTCTAGAAGTTTGATCTCCTTACATTTTTCATCATAGTGCTGTTCTTTAGCTTTCCTGCATCTTTTGTTAATTATTTTGGATAATACTTTATATCTTGTTGTGTCATTTTTGCAAATCTTCTTTCTTCCATAATATCTAGGATTTCTTCTGTCATCCATTTCTGATTTGTTTCCTAATGTTCTTTTTTACCGCATATTTAATCTGCAACTTCTGTTAGGCAATCATCATCGTTAATAAACCGCCATGAGAAACTTCATTCACTGCTAACAATCACATTTGTACGCATCTTTTACAGTTAAATACACAGCTACTCCCTCCCACTTGTGATGTACAGGTAGTAATAACGTAGAAATGTGCCCATGAGAGAGAGCTCTGGAAAACGTATCTAGAAAGTTGAAATCCACTCTCTCGAGCACAGATTTGCAGTATCATACTGTTTTGTTTCAGTCTTCGCATTGATCATTGCAAAATCCTATCACTGCAATATTTTGGCTACTCAGTATTGTTCAATTTGTAACACTGTAGTATTCCTAACAAACTATTTACATAAACTATTTTAATGAAGTGATACAATATTCATCAAATTATGCCATAATATTGCAGCAAATTGATAAATATTAACAACTGAAACAAGTAAACATAACTTAATTACGTGTTACTTATTGAAAGAAAAGCAAGAAAAACTGTCAAACCGAGCCGTGCAGATAATAACCAGGAGAAATTTTGATACCCCGACTAAGCCTCTTAGCAAAAAGCAGGGTGGAAAGCTGTCGAAAAACTTTACCTAAGGAAAACCCTGTGACCGGTTGAATAACCCAACAATGTCTGGAATAAACAGCAGTATAATCTTCTCCGTCGAGTGTAATCAGCTCATTATATGTAGTTTTGTTATCTCTTTTATTTGATTTGGTTTCTATGATAATTGGCAGGCAAAAGTAACATTTGTTTCTAAAATCGCAAACCTCAGAACTTCTTTCGGTGCTGAATGAATGTCTACATAGTTCGGCCTAACAAGAAAGTTATCTGTTTAGTTGATGATTTCAAAAGGGTTGGTATAAAGGCGTTTTGGATTGATCAGGCTGATTAAAGTAAACTTAACACAGTTGGGCTCTCGTGAGACGACAGTATCATTAGATGTCATAGATGTAAGCAGATAAAGGTTATTGAAATGCTTAGATATGTCATAGTCATGTCAATGTATCAACATTTTCAAGTGGAACATTATCAACGGAAGAAGGTCTCCTTGCATTTCCTTTAAAAATATTCGACATTTTGATTTAGATGTGCTGGTAGATATATTCCATTATTTACAGTATTCCATAAATTACAGAGAATTGCAGGTTTCAATTCCTTGGCATGGTCGAAAGAATTTTGATATCGTTGGATATTGCAGCAAATTTCTGTAGGTAATTGGCATGCTTTTTGAAAATCAACCAAGTCCATATGTTGCAAACGTTTAATTTCAAGAAAATTATATTTCAGCTGATAATAAACCAGTGACTTGTGTTTTTAAATTAAAATCACCCAACTAGATCTGCCAAACCGAATTATTAATTGTTTTGTTATCAAAGATCTAGTTGGCAATGATACACAACTTACGTAATGCAAAATTTACAACTAGGTCTTAGATATCAAACTACCCCACCCATAACGAAAATAAATTTCAAATTATATTATACTAAAAAGAGCTGAAGGAGAATTGTGTGTAAATATTACAAAATAAAAATTAAAATGATATAAATGAAACGAAAAGAAAGTCTCAGGAGGTTGAAGTTCTCAAACCATGCTGGACTGGTTCTTTGCATTCCCTCTCTCAGCTGCCATCTCATAAACAACGATTTTTGGACTTGACAGAGGGCAGCAAAGTGCACGAAGTTGGTCTGTGAAACGTTTCCAGTATCTTACAACAAACATGTTGACCTCTTTATGTAGTTTTGCATAAATGACTGGATTGATACTGGAGTTGACCATCATCAGCGTGAACAGGGCGTAATTGACTTGTTGAGCTGTTCCATGATCGATGCTTTGCGGCCTCAACAGCATCAAATAAGTGGCGGAGAAGTAAAACGCAGCATACGGCGTTGTCAACAAGAAGAAGACACAAACGATGACGATAAACATTGATAAAATGTCTTTATTACGCTTGAGCCTCTTTTGCAGAATGGTTAAATGGCATCCTTCGGAGAGTCCATTGGAAAGCGATCGAAGAACTAAGCAGTAAAAGATACCTATCATAAGTAGAGGAACTCCCCAGCCGGTGATGATCCAAAATCCAACGTACATGACCCAGGGATGCGGAGGCCATAACGGTACAGTTAAACATTGGGAATTCTCGTATTGTGACCCAACCATGTACGGAAATGTCATCGAAACAGCCAAGATCCAGACCGCAGCTAACTGCAGTGCAATGACTCGCAGCGACAACTCAGCGCGTCGTCGTCTGCGCATGACTCTGCGATGGCAAGGAAATTGCTTTAACAGAAAAATAAATCGTGGCAGAACAATAAATACCGAAGCAATGTTGCCGGTGTTACCAGTAATGTGTGATGACCTTAAAAGGACTGTTACTCATTTATAAAAGGGATAAAAAAAGACAGTTACTAAGATTATTAGTCTTGTGCAATATTTTACTTTGACTTTTCATTTGCTTATATATTATTTGGCCTCTTTGCCTAAAGTACTTGAAAGTGCAATGAAATTGAAAACCTCTAAAATTATAGCTCATCATTACAGATTTAAAATCTTTTGAAAGTCAGTGTTTTTCCTACTAAAAAAAGAATAAAATAGAGACATAACGCACGAAGCTGTAAATGTAAAATAGTAATGTAAGTATGCTAAATTCAACATACTGGTAACGATCGAATGAAATAACCACCAAAGTCCATGACGACACAAACAGCGTGACGGGAGCGATTGATGGCAGCAGTTGACAAAGAAACGACCCAAAATACCAATGACTCAAATCTCCAGCTAAATCACCTATCATTGTTACAGATCCCGATATCAATGCAAGCAAATCTGCAAAAGCTAGAGAAATCAATAGAATATCGAATCTTCTTTTTCGCTTTTTCTTAATTCCGAGAATGTAGCAAACTGCAATGTTTCCACTGATTCCAAATGAACTGATTAGTGTGTATAAAACGTACAAGGAGCACTTGAGTTCGCTTGATAATTTCCAGGGTGGCTGGGTCGACTGCGATAAATTCAAAGCTACATCTGACTTAGTTTCCTGTGAATCATTAACGGCAATCATCTTTAATAATTTTGTTAATGGAGTCCCATTTCCAGACCATAGTAATCACTCCTTTCGAAACTTTAGACTTGCTAAGAAGCAAATTCAGGTCACTCAGGAATTGAATCGACTAAACCACAGAGCTTGCTTCTAAAAACTGCGACATGCATCTTTGACAACGTGTATGACGAAACAAAGCACACAACGACCATAAAAAGATCACTACTTCAGTTGGCAATATATGAAAGCAGTTGGCGCGATGAATTATTGATCAATGAAGTACGAACACATGCCAAGCCATATACTTTAACAACTGGAAATAAGAAAATTCAAATTTAAGAAATGAAAATTTCATGAACCACAAGTCACCTTTCTTACGTTTGAAAATGGCAACTCAGTGGTTTTTGATGCCGTAGCCAGCCACTCTATATGCTCCATGCCAAATTAATACCAGCTGAATAAAGTGGAATTACATCTCAATGCTAAACTGCACTGCTTTGTATTGTCAATACAATATGGTTTGTTCTGTTTAAAAAATGTCAATACGGGTTGAGAGCTAAAAAAAGCAAAACTGCATTTAATAGTCCTGACGAAACAACCGATACCAGAGATCGGAACAGTTCGCTTGGGAAACCATCTAAATCAGCACATCAACAAAGTTAGCTTGCGATCTAACACCTTGCAATGTTCCCTGGATGCCAATGTATCGACTAAACTTTTGCATGAAACCAATTTCGCAAGCAAATTTTAAACTAATATTCTTATGACAAATTAGAGTTTAATAGGAAACTGCAGAAATCTACATGCAAAAGCAGCTTTTCTTGCTTATGTAAACAGAAGCTGTTATCTTTCATGTTTTTCTGGAAGAACTCAAAGCTAAGGCAATGGAATTGGCAAATACTCATAAAGGTATCCTCTGTTTCAATAAGCTGTTCAATCAGATTCCACGTTTTTTCTTTTACTTCTGCATCCGACATTCATAGACATAAGCCTTGAAAAACCTTAGGTTATGATTGCCAGTGCTGAAGCACGATCTTTAGTTGCTGAAGCACTTCCACAATTTTCACCTTTGCATATTTGGTTATTTTACTTGTAACCCCATGTTAACATTGTGTAGGGCTTAAGGAATTCACTCATGTGTGATTGAATAGAACAAATTATTTTGAAATTGAAGCGTCGCTGCAAGACTTTATTTCTGTTTTATTTTCTGCACTGCAAATTGATCACGTCCTGAACATGACGGGATGACTTGCTTTTAAAAAGGGAACTCACAATCTGACCTCTACATTTACATACTTAAAGCAATCAAGCAACTTCAAGCGTACCATAGGGGGTAAAGAACAAAATTCCGGCTCGAGTCGCTCCAAATTGGCAGGCTTATATGAAGTTTTTAAAACTGTTTATCAAGGTATAGTCTCATTGATAATCACAATTTTTAATTTAAAAGAAACCTTAGTTGAAGCTCAAACGAAGGGTTGCCTTCGTTAAATGTTTCATTGTATCTAATGTCCGTGAAGCTATAACAGAGACACTAGATTGTGGTAAACAAATGTCGCCTCTTTCATATCTTGCTGCTGTATCGAAGGTGTGCTGAACTCTCTTCTGTTATGGGGGCATGGGGTCCACACCCTCTTGTGACGCTCTTTCATTATTGCAGTCACTGACTTCCAAGTCTTGAGGGGCGGCTGAAATCCTTTGTATTATAGCTTCTGCCGCTTGGTGTACGTCAAACTGAAAATCAAGGAACAAGTAGTTATGAAAAGCGGTGAAATAATGTAGCAAAAGTATACAGCTAGTTGTCGCTGAATAAACGAAAATTTAACGAAAAGCCAAATGCTTAACGAGTTCATCTCAACTTTGAAATTGATGAAATATACAGCTAGAATAATATTAGGTAACTAGGTTTACGCATCAAATTGAAACAATTGTAGGTAAAAATAGGGCAAAACATGTGCGGTTTATCTGTTAAAACTTGTCACGGACCTTTGAATCTGTGGTGACTAGCTGAATTATTTAACTGCCAGGTGACCTACCTGCAATATATGGATGCCATTCATAGTAACCACAGCAAGGTCTTTCACCCCATTCACTATTAAGTCGACCATTTTCACGGCGAAGATCGGTTTCGGGAAACTCTTTGCATACTGAAGATCAAAATGCAGTGGAATGCACTCACTTTGAACAGACGAAGTGCGAGACTTGTACACAAGTAGCTCCTTCGTGCATGAAAAGAACAAAATATATATTTGGATAAAGCAGCAATAACGAACACACGCGCCTAATAGCGTAAAGCAACTTAGTTAAAAGTACAAAAAGTAAAATAGTCAGAATGATAATTCCTGAATTTTTATGCGTCCGAAAAGCAAGAGGATTTAAATTGAATGAGGATTTCAAAATTTACCAAAAGATTTTCAGAAAAAAAACTTCTCCCAGCATGTAAGACATTTCCAGACTCTCCTCAGTCCTAAACGGATCAGCATATTCTGAATAGATATTATCCATCTTCGTCTTATTTCAAGCTAATGTGGCTTATTTCGGCCTTTAAAGGGATCTCCTGAATCAAAAGCCTATAGCAAAATACCAAAGATCCCCTAAGACGAATCTGAAAGCTTTTGAAATCTTGTATTGTAACCCGCAACATCTCTTAAATGGTTCATTTACCGAGACTGTCCTTGTATGAGAAGAAAATACCTAATGAATATTTTTAAGGTAGCAAAAGGTAGCAAGTAAAGATTTTTCTACAGTTCTCCAAAAAATTGATGGTGTTAGCATTTTCAAAAGATCTGGAGACAGAAAACACACACCATGTATATGGCAGCCAAAAAAATTTCAAAAAGTAATGAAATACACAGGAAAGGGTTCTTTAACTTGATAAAGGCTGACATAAAAAGCTTTTGATTGAAAAAAAGAAAATCGAAAGATAAACAGTAATTGGCCAAACGCACCTGTCCATATGTACCAAGAAGTATTTCGCAATGGCCATCAAGATCAAAGTCAGCAACCGCTGAGCATAAGACGCTGTCAAAGTGATCCGATTGAGGTAAGACAACCATTTCATCAAAGCCACGATTGTATACATTCCTAAAAGAATATTATTAGCAGTCTAAAAATAAAAATAAAAAGTCTTAATATAATCTCAAGTTCATGAAAATCAATGTTAAATAATATCTTATCAAGTGCGGGCTGTAATGCTAATCTAGTTTCAAAATGTTAACAAAGCATCGAAGTAGCCAATCGGTAATCGATATAGGCCAGCAGTCGGTTGAGGAGAAAGATCGACGGTCAACAAATTACTGATATCCACATCAAAAGTGCGCATGCTCGAATTGAATTCGGAAGCTACAAATAGAACTCAAAATAATTCCGTAAAAAGTACTTGAAACTCCCAAGAAATGGCGAATTTTTCGGGTTATCGCAAGTTCGAGTTATCAGAAGTTGGTGCTGGCAAGTGCCAGGCACAAACGGAAAGAAAACTTTGCTTTTACGTTAAATGTGAAAATGTTAAAGCTTGGCGATTAATTAACAGAATCTGGGCTGTCTTACAAATAAACAACGGAGAGTTCCATGGCACATGTAACAAGCAATGACAATTCTTCACACGCGGGGAAAAACTCCTTTTCTTCTGAAGTTTGTTCTAAAAGTAATGAAAAATAAATCAAGCCAATTTGGGAAGGTTTCAATCTAATCACAAGAATGAAAAATCAGTCTTTCCTGAAGCTAGTGGTCTAGCAGCTGGTGCCTAGAGACCTGAAACTACAAAATAAATCTAAAAAGCAATAAGAAAGGGAAGCATAGATATGATCGTCAATTCTGCACCTTCAAGATTATCAGGAAAAGCTCTTTCATGGATTAGAATGTCGCCAATAATTCACACCTTTCGTCTTCTTTAAGTATCATATTCAGCCAGAACGTACATAACTTTACGGAAAAATAGAAAGGATTGCTACCCACATTACCTTTGCCCGCCAATGATGCGTCACTCAGTGCAAACAAACGCACCGACGTCACAAGCCCACCGATGTCCATTGTGTAGCTTTTTAATACAACTGTTAAATGGAAGTTTTTTCAAGAAATATCTCACAGTGAAAACAGTTTACATTAATAAAAAACTAAAAACCCCACAAGCAAAATGCAGCTAAAACTGACATTGCAAATCCTTAAACAGCCAGCTTTGTGAGGCCGTGTCAGCGATGTTATACGCAAGAAGGATGCAGACTTAATCCTCAGATTGCAAAAGTTCGTAATATCAAAATCTGAAGTGATTTGGTTTTGGAATTGTAATTCACGAGAAATTTAGAAAGCCTAAAATGAAATTACCGCAAAGCTCTCAAGAAAAGACCGTCTTAGAAACTTCTTAAATACCTGCATTGGCATCAACAGCAGTAACCTTGGCAAAGCCATTTTCACATCCAAACGCTGTCACTCTTATACTAAAACGACAGTGCTTCACGTCCATCCAAATAACACTGCAAACATAAAACATGATCTTAATTAAACAAAAATTATACAGTAAGAAATAATAAACAATGATAATAGAGAGGTTCAGATAAAGGATGTCTGCTGAAACATACTATAAACCAAAAACAGTTTAACCAAAAACAGTTAAACCAAAAACAGTGGTGGAATTGTGGAGAAATTCGCTGACAAATTAAATCGGTTTTACAACAATTGATTCATGATCTCTGCAATACGTTGCTATATATTCTTATAATATGACAAACGAGCGATGTTCTATGTTTCGAAAAATGGTAAATGTTTTTCAGCAATGGTAAATTCCAAGTTGAAATCGGCGCTCAAAAGCGACCCATGAAGATGAATTAGATCCCTAGTATAGTGTATACTGGGTCTTTGTCACGAAGTACCTGCTGGGCAAATCGCAAAGTTCTGGAAAGCTTTCCTCGATCGGGTATTCTTCGAATCGTTGTATTTCTTCGTTCTAAACAAGGGATAGATGAAGTTGCCTTAATACATGTAACAAACACACAATCCGATTAGTATTTCCTCGCGTTGAAACAGTAACTATAGCCTTATTACCGACCTACGTACAGAAATGGCACCGGATAAATCGAAGTACGGATGAGTCGAATACCGCTACGAAAAGTCGATCAAATTTCTCACTACCAGCAGTAAATAGGTCTGCTAAGCCCGAACAAGATAAACAAGATCAAAGTAAATTAAATTACACAAAGGTTACGTAGGACTTATTGACAACTTATTGCAAAATTTATTAACGAAGAAAAATAACAAGAAACGATTTTTGGTGGAACAGAATTTAAAAACTGCTTGAAAAAAAATGAAAATGAGAAACTTCAGTATGTTTCAAAATGTTTGCCTCTTTCAAAACTATGTAAAAAGTCGCTGTATAATTACAAACATATTTGTCAAACACGATTTAATTGCTTAAAGTTTAATTAACTCATGACGAAGTCTTTTCATCTACATTTAAGCAATTTTACTAAACTTTACAGGATCAAATTGACCGTAGTCTAGGTAGGTTAAAATCCTTGGACATTCTTTAACAACCATTTTAATACGGTTAAAAAGAATTTTATGCCCAGATGTTTTGCGTTTCCAAAATAGGAACTCAGAATTTTGTATAAAAACAATAATTAAGGATAATAAACTTGGCTGAAATTAGATAATGCAGTACTCGATCACCAACGGAATCTACAGTACTTGCTGACAGAGACTACTTTTGGCACGGTCCTCTTTGTGTACGCTATTGGTAGATTTTTTGATTGTTTTTGCTAAAGTTTATCTTAACTTGGAGCGTTAATGTGAGCGGTCTCTACTCAGTTGTTAGCTGCTTCAGTTCTGTTTCTACAGCCTAGTTAATGCGTGTACTTAACATCCTAGCTTCGTTCATCATTACCGAGTTTTCCAGAAGAAACAAAACATGAGTGTGGCCGTATTTTGCAAAAGACATTTTCTTTAATTGAAATGATTATGGCGTGAAAAGATGCAACAAATATTAATCTTTCTTATCGAAAATAGTTTGATTGTCTCCAAAAAGTAATCCTGTGCCATTCTGAGATTTAGCGCTTATCAAAACAACGAAAAATAAGCGAGAAAAGACATGGTAAAGATTTTGTACTCATTTGATGACCTCATTTTCGCAATATTTTAAGAGCTCATATCTTTCGACAGGTTTATTATTTAACAATATAGGTTCCTTACGATTTTTTATTCATTTTTGAATTTTCTTTCCAAGGATATCATTGGTTTTAAGATTAGATTGAAAATTTTTCGATGGCCGGGAACAATAAAATCATCAGGGCCCCTGATGGATTTTGAGTCAAAGACCCACCAGGATCACATATCAAAAGAAAAAATCTCGGTTACCCTGTTTGCTAGATTGCTCATGAGATTTCCCTGTCTAGTTTCCTTTTCGATTGTTGGCGTTTATTAGCTTTTATGTAGCTATTAGATTTTTACGTTAACTTTAAAACATTATTTATAGATATATACCAACTATTGACATATTATAGATACATTTAGAGGTGCATGAAAAAATATATTTTTCAATATTCATTGCTACTTTTTTGCTTGATATCAATTTATGGCCAGTTAGGCGGTATTTAGAAGCAAGATTTAGTTCCAAGCTTAATCCTCGATAGAACAAACAAACTTCTGCATTGAAAACTCGACCTATTGAGTTTCAACTGTGACTGGCTGGCCAACCAACGGGAGAATGGCCCAGAAAAATGGTGCCTGCAATGAAACCTGTCTCTCGCTAAGACGTGCCTGTTCCTAAAACCTGTTCTTCTTTTAATCAAATTTTCTCTAATCGGGACAGGCGTACGATTGTGAAAGTTCAACTCCATTCAGCTGTCCCGACGCTCACCGTCAACGACTGCAAACAGTTGTAAGCATCTTGGTAGGATAATAAATAAAACTTTAAGGACAAATGCCTACAACAGCGAGTTTAGAGAGTAATCATTGTTAATTACAGACATACCTCTTTAAACAAATGCACTTTTTTATCACTTCCAGAAAGTAGCAAAACCTGTTCTTTGCCTTGGTTCCCCAAAATGATGCTGTCATGGAAAAGCAAAACGAAGCATAAAAATTTCATATCTGCATAAAAGAAGTGATAACTCGTCTGCATACAAGAAGTGATAACATATATCTGCATTCAAGAAGTGATAACATATATCTGCATCAAAGAATCAATGTTTTGAGCCGAAATAATACTTTTGATACCTGCTGTTTTGCTTATCAGTCATGCAAGCAAACTTTTTTAATGCCAAGTTTGACATTGATTTCCACAAAAGCAGTCTTTCACTGATAGTCCTGTAACTTGTGTCACATATCAATTCATTCTAAATGCTTGCAAGATTTGAAAAATTGGTTCATCAACAACTTTTTTAGGATCAAATTATATGCGCTGCTCTTGTCATTAACATGTTAGGAAAGGATTAAAGGACCAAGGACACAACTCTAATGAAGCCCCAAATGCCGGATGCAACATTAGTTTACATCGTTTAAGTATTTCTGTTTTGCAGGTCATTGACTATATTTATTGGACTATATTGTTTCTTGTCATTACGAATTGTTTCTGCTTGCTGTTTCAGATCTTCACAGTCAAGAAAGCTTGATCTTTTGAACAATACAAATTAAAGCTGGAAATTGCGGTCCCTTTCATATACTATGCTAAATAACTGGAATGGGTGATTCCGGGGTGCTGGTGATTTAGCTGGCCAAGACCAGGATCTAAGGCTGCATTTACAGGATTACTGATAACGTTTGATCTGGATAAAAACTTATATGGATAGATTGGGTTTATATGGTGGATAGGGACAGACTTCCTGTTTACATGAATATGGATATAGCAGATTTTTCACAATGAACGGCTTCAGTTTGAGACAAAGAGCCTGCTCCAGCAACCTTTTGCGAGCAGATGATTCATCAATGGCCTTTGAATTCATAAAAGTAATAAACCATTCCCGGGTAACGTCCGCCATTAAGTCTGGGTAGCAAACTGACCTTTGGACTCTATGGCCGTCAACCGTAGCGTGGTGATTTTCAATACATCAAAGCCGTAATTTCACAATCACGCTATTCTAACGTCATGCCATTCACTTATCGATACTTGATTACACTGTCTATTATCTTGTACATAATTATTCATTGAATTTCACCTATTATTCTCCATTGTCTAGCCACGATAGCTATTTATTAATGATTAGTTGTTGTGAAATGTTCGAAGAGCTCGCTGCTGTTGTTTTATAGAGAAAAACTTTGTCCGTTAGTTATAATATATTGCATCGTTTTGAGTTTTATCATACAGATACAAGCTGTTATATATTCCTAGTGTAGCTCTAATATACAGTAGCATGGGAAGACACGATCGATGCTGTCAGTAGCGTCGCCAGCTCGAAAAAACTGGGATGGACAAAAACAAATTTTCTCGGCCACGCCCTTCAGACTCTTGGAAAGTCCTTTTTTAGTATTTTTCACCTATTTTGAAATATTTGGAAAAGCAACATTTTCTAGCAGCATTTTTCGTAACGGTGGCTTTTTTGACAGCGCAAAAATTGAAGTCGATCTGATCAGCAAAACTTCCACCCCCAATGTTTTTCAACGGATTTTGAGAAATTAGAAAATTGACTTCTGGGAAAGCTGGGGTGGACATGTCTTCTGATGGAAATCTTATGGCTAGAAACCCAAATCCTACTCTTTGGCTAACTGCACAGGATAATCAACAAGACCAGAGTGTTGTTGGGAAATCTGATCTTCACCAAGAAAAAGGGCATTTCAAACAACGATAGGTGGGGCAGCTTCAGGTACTGGGCACCAGTTTAAATGTGGGAGGGCTGAAAAGGGCGTTACCAAAAAGATTTTTAAGCCACACCCTCTAGAAAGCCGGAAAACGCCCCTTTTAGAAAATACTTGCTTATTGCTACTGAAGTTTTATAAACAGTCTGGTTCAGAGAAGATTTCAATAGCTAAAAATGGACAAAATTAGCTTGGGATAAATTAAACATCAAGAAAACACCTAGAAAATGGACAAAAAATGTTCCAAGTAAAGAAGAACTGCTACTATTTAGGAGTATACAATCCAATGTTGTGGTAAAGCATAGTTAAGAGAAGACTTTCCAAAAAGTTTTCTAACCTATTATTGCAAAAAGTGGAGGGGCTAAAGCCATTAAATAATAAAAATAAAATGGTAAAAACGGTAAAAAACAGCAAAAAATTTTTATCTTGCAAAAAAGATAAAACCATTCTGCTTTCAAAAATAACGGTCATCAGCTAAAGTCAACTTGCACTTGACACCATGACTTAGTGACTGAGGTTTGTTGCAATAACACAGAAAAATGTAGTTTGGTTCTAGCCCAGCTACAAGGGATTTCTTTCTTTCAAGGAAAATTATGATAATTTCTCAAAAATAATCGTTTTGCTCCCGATTTTTTGGGGGGTTTACGGCCCTGAAACAGAGTTATTTTATGGGGCTAGCTATCACGATAGGCAAACCCAAATCAGCAGCTAAAGACGCTCTGGCAACAAGTTCCACTGTATTTTAGTTGCTTAAAGATACCGCTCTTCTTACTGTTAAATAATCCTTCAAAACCTGTAACTACCATATCCGAAAAATCCTGATAAGTTTCTGAATTGCTTGCCATTTAACTGCTGACTTTATGGAAAATAATAGGCGAAATTCAAAGGATAATTATGTAAAAGATAAAAGACAGTGTAATTAACTATCGATAAGAGAATTAAATGACGTTAGAATAGCGTGATTGTGAAATTACGGCTTTTATGTATCGAAAATCACCACGCTACGGTTGACGGCCATAGAGTCCAAAGGTCAGTTTGCTACCCAGACTTAATGGCGGACGTTACCCGGGAATGGTTTATGCTAAAGATAAAACGAAACTTACAATTTTGCAAACATTATACAAAATATTAACATCCTACTAACAAAAGTAAAATGCAAAAATGCAAACCTTGTGTGAGTAAGTTGGTATGGCACAAAATATAACTCAATATGCTGACAGCTTCCTAAAACGAAGAGAAAATGAGTTTTTGCTCCTGAAAATAATTTTCAGGACAGTCTCTTTAATGAGCAAAGCAACCAAAAACCGCACTACAAAGCAGTGCTGAGGTTTTTGCAGTTTGTAAGCCAAGATACAGAGTTGATAAGAAAGAACCAACTGACACCTCAAACAGTCAACTATAGACCGATCTTGTCCAATGTTAGGGCTTGTCATTATAGCTAGATCGAATGGGGACCTAAAGCTGACCAAGAGCCAGCCACTAGGCTGTCAGTGGCAAGGAAAGGAAACGTTTAGAAAGGGAAAGATATATGTACAACTTTTTGTAAGTCTGACACTTTAAGGAAGACCATAATTAAGTTCAAGTTATGTTTAACCAGTGGAGACCACAAAAAAGATTGCCTTAAGGCTTTTAATAAAAGAATATTTCCTTGCAAAGTAGGATGCCTTCAAGTTGGGGCATTTCTGGTCAACATGAAAATTTCCTTTGATAATTTCCTTAAAAACTCATTTGCTTATTTTTACTGAGCCTAAAACAATTTATCTACAAATCTATCTGGAAAGCACAAACTCTAAAATTTCATACTCAGGCTTTAGGTGATAAAATATGATGAGCTGATGATGATGCTTCATTAGTGAAAGTAAATGACAGAAAACTCTTAAAATCTGAATTCTGAATTTAAAAATATTGTGGCTGCACAAAAATATGAAATTTTCAACCCAAAAAATCATGAATGAATATATATGCCTTACTTGCAATATTACGCAAGGAATCCTTCTGCTCAGGACCCATTGCCTTGTAGATATTCAAAAAATGTTGATATTTTTTTGCCCCCTCAATGACCTAGCAAAACAAAACTCTAAAAATAAAAATTCCATTTGTTTGATGTGATGTTTCATGACAATAAACAGTTATCAGATAAGATGGGCAGTCACTAACTGTCTGCTTGCAAACAAACAGCATCAAATTCCTTCAATACTTCATACTTTTGTACATACTTTTTAAGTTACTTCATAAATAGTTTTAATTCTATTTATAACAATTAAAAGCTCTATTTCATATAGAAAGTCTATTTATAATAAATAGATCTTGTGATCTTCTATTGAAGGAAATGTTTTAACAAAACCATGGGTAGAATTAGAATTTGAAACTAAGTATGAATATTCAGTTCAGCTCAGTTTTTATTTCATTAAAAAATAGCATAAAAACACAATTAATAAACATAGATTCTAAAATAACAGGCTGAACACCCCAAGAACACCCTAAGAACAAGCTATTAAGCGGCTGAACACCCTTAAAACATTTCAAAATGGGCATTTCAAAAAATAATTTGGAAAATCAATCAAAATTAATTTTGGGGCGGGAAAGGGCCTGATAAGTCTAATGCTGTTGGTGTTGTTACAACCAACTGATGTTTTGCACGCCAAAAGTGTGAACGGGGGTTTGTACAGGCAGAACAACTCTGAGTTTTACTCCCTTTGTGCATTCAAGCAATTTCCTGTTGTTTTCAAATCTTTCGTATCCAGTGACAATGTAAAAATACAACATGTCACTTGACTACCTATTGTCCTCCAAACAATTGTTCTTCCCATCTGCTAATTTGCCCAAATGGTCACGGCATAGAATAGAAATTAACTATTATGTGGGCACGGTATGCTAGTGCACGCTAGCTAAGTGGAACAAGACACACACCTCCTCTCTTGTTGTGTTGTTATTCTTCAGGCAGTGACATCTCCAGCTGGTGCACTTGCAGGCCCAATTCCTGGATAGGATTTTTATAAGGAGTTTTTGACAAATGAAACAGAAAATGCATAGTGCAGGACTTGTTAGAGGGTAGCAGCAGGGCCACAGCATGTTACTTAAAAGAGGGCTTAGGAGGGGCAAATTTTAGGGCCTGTGCTCAAATGGGGCCCTGATAATCTTATTGTCTTATAATGGATAATTATCTTATTGTTATACATTTCTAACTAAGTTTCTGAATATAAAATTAATCGGAATTTGAATTTTTGTTGCCAGGAACCATGGTAGCAGAAGGACTATAAGGGCTTTAGCCACACAACAATTTACAAACCCCCGTTCACACTTTTGGCATGCAAAACATTAGTTGGTTGTAGCAACATCAACAGCATTAGACTTAACAGGCCCTTTCCCACCCCAAAATTAATTTTGGTTGATTGACCAAATTATTTGCAAATGATATGCCGATTTTGATATATTTTAAAGGGTTTCCGCTGCTTAATAGTTTGTTCTTAGGGTGTTCTTGGGGTGTTCTTGGGGTGTTCTTGGGGTGTTCTTGGGGTGTTCTTTGGGTGTTCTTGGGGTGTTCAGCCTGTTCTTGGAGTGTTCAGTCTTTTAGAAATGACAAATTAATAAAAGTACAACGGTAGACATAAAAAATTTTAATAAGAAATTCTAACTACCAGAATAACAGATATACATGCAGATAATTTCTTGAAAAAGAAGCTCTCTCAAATTGGTAAACTAATCAAGAAAAGAGCCTTCTGTTGGTTAAAAACAAATTTTTGAGTTTGCATGATAAATAGATAACAAAATTGATCAAACATAATCATATTTTAAGCATGACTTCTAATACTGGTTGGTTGATTGAAGCTCTTTAGAGCTCTTTCAGATAAGCAGAATAAACATATTTACTGGTATTATATTACTTGATTCTATATCACAACAGGACATGAAGAAAGCATAAAACTCAAATTTATTTACCTTCACCAATATGAGTGATATTGCTATGACAACAGACTCATTCTTTGATCCAGGAATGCGTGAGAATGAATCCATTGAGATTATTTCTGCATCCCCTAGTCAAAAAAGGAACAGACAAAATTTCAATAAACTGAAGATCCTTTAAAAATCCTCTTTTAAGCCTATCCCTAAGGCCAGTCTGATTACAGCAAATGACAGACCATTGTCTATTAACAAAACTTTTGTTTACTGGGACAGCTGGCACTACTCAAAGTATAAATAGTCTAAAGCGTGACATACACAATCAGTTTTTATCAGTTTTTTGACTGACAGTTTTCAGTCTCTTAAAGCAAACATCCTCCATACGTGATAAGTTTTCTTTACTTTTTGACTGACAGCTCACTCTTTCTTTATATGGAACTTGATCGTGTACAAATTGCAGTTCTTTCTGCTACAGCTTTGATCGTCAAGAAAAGCAAAAACAGGGAAAAATGAAAAAGATATCGTTTTTAAACTTTTTCATATTTCGAAACTACTTTTGAGTCTGATGTCACATTGCATAACGATTTTCCTTACTTCCAGGCATATATAAATTCATCTGTGTTTGTAACTTTTTCACATTTTGAAATCAACACTGTTATGAAAAAATTTGCATCTTGCGCTAGGGTATAAGAGTGATGGCAGATTAAAACAATAGAGTCTGCACCAATGAATAGAAATCCCATCAGTTAAAAACTGACAAAGTTAGACGCCGTTCAACTTCTTCTGTCAAAAAGTGACGTTCATAAATGCATCAGTTTTGGTCAGTTTTTGTTAAATACACGATCAGTTTCTGACTGAAAACTGAAAACTGTCAGTTAAAAACTGATAAAAACTGATCGTGTATTTCAGGTCAGCTTCACCAGAGGTTTACCAGTGCATGTTGCCCAAAACTGAAACCAAATAAATATAACACTTGCATTATCTTCAAAGTTCGTTATTGAACTTATGCCTTTTGTATTCTCTTGATTATTTAATAACATTCTTGTTGCTTTTGTATCTAATCAGCCACTTTCAAAAAACTCATACAACCTCTGAACATGCCTGATAATGCCTAATGAATGTGCCTGAATCAAATCTCACTAAGAATTGCCAGCTCTTTTCAAAAATTTGGTTCCTTCTATAAAAAAGTCTCAGGATGAGGGGTTAAATGTAAAAAATCTGCTATAGTTTCCAGAAGGTGAATATTAGTGTAAACTGAATAGCTTTGTGCAAGACCCTTGTCAGGTGAATATTTGAAAGGATGACCATTTAAAGTAGACAATTTTCGGATTTGTTCAATGTTGAATCGATCAGTAATAAGGTAATCAAAATATAAATTTCAGTTGTTTGGCACATAAACAGTTGAGTTGGGGGGGGGGGGAGTGTTGCTCATTTCTGAGAACTTACCTGGGATGTAAGTAAAGTAGATCTCACTTGATGTTAGCTGGTGGGGATTACCATTTCCATAATCTACTATAGGCTCAATACAGGCAACTGTTCCCCGTAAAGAGCCAACTAATAGTTTATCACCGCCATCTTTCAGAGGTTGCCTATTCTCTAATTTTGTACAACAATATACATTTGACTGGGACTCTAAACCTAGAAAATATATTTCTTTGTAGGGAAATGTGGTGGTTTGTCTGGTGACATCACCACTATCAGCCATTGTTAGTATTTAATCGCTATCTCGAATCATTTCGTGTTCAACTCGTCCTCTGAAAAGGAGCCATGCTTCTGTTTTGCCGTTCTGTTCTGTGCACCTACAGATTTCTATCTCTATCTATTTGCAGTTGCACTCATTGGTTCTGTGTTTACTTCGGAACCGAAACGAGACAAGTACTTCGATAGGAGGTCGATTGAACATGGTACATGAACATGGTATTCTAAAGTGAAGTTGCTGTTGCGACAGTCTTTGTTGATGCTGAACTGCTGAAAATATTTCGCAGATTTATCCAAAAGAATACTGTCTGTTACCATTTCGAGGTAATCTTTATTTAATTTCATGGTAAAGTGAACGTTTCCAATAAATCTGCCACAAACTGAAATGAAGAGCCGTTTCTGAAGAAGTTCGGACGGTCGTTCTAAAGTTTGTTTGGACGCGCGCCGCTCGGTCGGCTCGGGCAAGATGTTTTAACCTAGATTTGGGTTTATCAAGCTACTCAATACGTTATCATATTCATAATTTTAAACTACTGTGAATGACTGTGAGTCTTGTTCCCAGGGTAACTTGAATTCGAATATCAGTGACTTTCAAAACAGTCGAATATATGAACGTAAATTGAAGTCGAGTAACACGGAATATCATCCACAGACACGTAAGTAGACCAGGGAACCCAGTTGAACCCAGGGAACACACTAGATTTTAAAAGATGTTTTCAGAGAACTTAATGTCATAAGTTTAGTATGTTTAAACCTTCTAATGGTATTTCATTTGTGAGTATTTCGCATTGTAATTCAGCAATACACAAAAAGTGTTTAATCCTAATCAAACATATTCTATTCAATAAGAGTATTTTGAAAATATGAATTTGAAAAGCAGACATTTCACCCAATATTTTGGTTGTAAATACATGCAATTAATACATTAATTTTTTACATAAACTGACATTCATTAGGGTGGAAAAAAAGAACCACAACACCAATTGCCAAACTGGAAACTTTGTTGCATGCCGGTGATATATTGCCTGAGCACTGAAATTTTCCATCCGCGCACTATTGCATTTTGGCCGCGCAAAGTCCCTATTTGAATACATTTCACATTAATAACATTGCAAATTTATTAAATGTGCACGCAGTTGTGCAGTCAGGCACATGGACCTGTTTGCGCCAGAAACAAAGTTTCCAGTCTGGACCAATTGCCCATAAATTTTTCTTGCTCCAAAAAATGAAGCAAAAGGATAAAAAAAGAAAAAACAAAGAAAGAAAAAAAGAAGAGAAAAAGCTAGAAAGATAAAAGGAGTATGGAGAATTACCTGACTTAGTGTCTTAGTTATAGTGAATAGATGCTGGCCCAATTTCTTGTTGTGGAGGTGAAACGTTTTACAGTGAAGAGGGTGAATAGCCTACAAAGATAGAGATTTGTGCAAATCCATGGTCACCAACGTCCTACAAGAGGACATGGTACTTAAATAGAAAGATGGATAGATAGAGATCTGAATGCAAGAAAATAAAGATGCAATAAATCAAATGTCTGTGTTTACATTTTTGTATTTGACAGTGGATGCAGATATTAAGTGATCTGTTACCTAAAACATCTATTCAGCAAAGTAGTTGTCAATATAAGTTTCCACTGATTATGTCTAGTCTTATGTAAGCAGTCATTTCCTTTTGGGAATTGGTTTTTTGTCCCTAACCTTTTGCATTGTACCTAAGTCATCAAGAGGCACTTAGATAATATTGGAGTGGACAAATTTGGCATTTTTATCAAAGATCATTGCCAGACCAGAGCAAAGATGTGTCCAAAATAAGTTCTGCTGAACACAACAACTTACTACCAGGGTTGCCAGTTTGGATTTTTCTAATCCAAATTCCAGAAATTTGGATTTATGAAAACTTGTTTGGCTTTCAAAATATGATTTGGATTTGGCCAAAAATTTGGCTTATTTTGGATTTATATGAAAAATTCTCAAAATTTTCTGAACATTTGTTTCACAGAGACTTTCGGGTTTCTTTTTAAAGGTAGAACATGATGTGTGAAGTGTCATAACATGTTTATCCCTGGTGCGATGTACTTATGCAAATGTGAAGGTTATCCTCACTGTTTCTTGTTCTCTTGCAATCATGTCTAAATGGAAATCTTCGTACGAGAATGGGCGGCGTTACGCTTAGTCAGAGGAAGACAAATATTCATGGATTAAACAAGCTTCTGATGGATCACAAAACGCTTTTTGCAAGTTGAGCAATTGCTCCTAAAGCATCTAATCTGTTGAGCCACGAGAAATCAGAAAGACATGCAAAGAATATGAATTCTATTAATTATACCTTATTTTTGAGAGCAATTGTCAGATAATGACAAATTAACATTTATTTGCAAAACCTAAAGATGCCTCGTTTTCATTTCTTCGATTCTATTGTTCTAAAACCTCGTTTTCATATTTGGCTTAATTTGAATTTTTGACACGCAAAATTTGGCTTTGGCCAGTTTTGAGACCTGGCAACCCTGCTTACTACATAATGAATTATTAAACAGGCCCCTCTGTAAAGAATTTAGCTGGTGCAATATTTTTTATCAAGGCATACGATTCATAACTTCAAGTTTAAATCGCATTGTAATATCTGTACAAGTGATGTTACTGGCTTTTCTGTTTGATTTTTAAGCTTTGTGTTACCAAACAATTATATAACTCTTGACTCTTAAGTGTGATAGACACCTACAAAAGAAATTTCTATTTTTTGATCCTGAATAAGCCTAGCTAGACTATTAATACGTTTTTAATTTAAAAGTTACTTCTGTCATGATGAGAGTGGTTGTGCCAATTTAGAGTGGTTCTTTCATCACATCCAGCCAGCACAAACATGTATTTCATTGTCAGTGGTGTAGCTTGACCTTCCAGACTAGGGGGGGGGGTGAAGGGTCATGAGTATTAAAATTTACTGACAAAGACATGGAGGGAGAGAAATTTAAGTGCTATTTCACCTACAAATAGACAATTTTACAGACAAACCAGGGTATTTTTCCACCAACTAGAAATTTACTGACAAACTCATGCAGAACCCCCTGCACCCCCGCTAGCTACGCCTTTGTTCATTGTTAACATACATATGTTGTGATTCCCTAAATGATGAATGCTGTACTTGGAAAAATGTTTCCAGGAGCAACAAGACAATATGTCTGATAAAAAAGTAATCTTAAATCCAAATGTTGAGATGCATGATATCACTACTTTTTGGGAAGCAGGTGCGTGACAAAATATGCATCTTGTCTCTCCTTGGCATATTGTGCCAAGGCACAGAAAGACAATTAGGTGCCTCAAACTGCAAGGCCTGACTCAACAAAGTATTCAGCAAATATCTACATTTTTTAAAGATAAAGCCTCTGCTGGGCATTAAACTAATTGGGGTCTGGTCCCAGAAATGATTTTCCACCTGATAACATTCATCTGTGATTTTCACAAATAAGTAAGACTGAGATTGTTAATTTTTAGGGTTTATAGCTATTTGTATAGTGACTATCTAGATGGCCTCTTCTTTCACCAGTTGCAACTAGGGTAGCTGATTGAGTATGCTCTTTAATAAATGATTGAATATGTTGTTGAGTATTTGAACTGTATTCCAGATATCTCCAAAGTCTGAATTGAGCCTTGCATATTGCTTGTAAATCTCATTGAGCATGTTTTTAAAAACATATTTAGAAAGATATTTAACCATGCCGGTGCTCATTTTAGCTTTTATTCTAGCCTCTCAGGTAGGAATTCCAAAATTTAATTTACCAACAAGATTTAGTCCCAGATGCTTATGCAGAGGAGAATAGGATTGCTTGAGTTTTTGTAAGAAGAATTAAATCTTTAGTTTAGATATCTAATTGCAATTTCGGTTGTTTGCTCAAAACTGTACCTTCTCAAAATCCCCATTGGACTCTTCAGCAGTTTGCTGTTTACATATTGTGACATAAATTAGACATTAACAGTGAGATCATTCTTGTAAACAAAAAACAAAAGTCCTTATACTTAGCCCTCTGGCAGTCCTGCAGAAAAATTGTTGCCCATGGTGTGCCACACCATTTCTGACTTGCTTAGTAGTTATTGGTCTTTCTTTTGTCCAGCATATTTTAGCATTTGTCAGCCCTCATTTGTAAATCAGTTCTGTTGAAGAACTTTAGGCTTGCCTTTAGGTTAGCAAAATTCAGCGTTATTACCGGGAGTTGCACTTTAAGATCCTGTCATAAGAAAACTAATAAGACTAAGCTCATTCTCAGTTGCTTTAGCATTTGCTGCGAGTAAGACTTGTAATACCTTTCGTGTATTTATTTGACACTACAAAATTATTAGTCATTATCAATCAATTGTTAACAGTCAATTTTTTCTTTTTATGATTGAAGTAATGGATGGGGATACTTCAGAAGATGACGGATTGATGCATGCCTCAATTCATACGTCTGGTATGCCACATAGTACATTTCAACATTTGAAATCTTTGCTTTGCATGGTCTTTCAATTATATGACTTGGAATTATTAAAAGTTTCATCAAATATACAAGAATTTCCCTATTGAATCATGTATCTAGGTTTTTTTGCGAGGTAATTCAAAGTGTTTCCAAAAGTATCTAAAAGCCACTATTTTTTCCAAGGATTCGTTTCCAGTAAAAAACTCAGGGGACGTAGCATATTCGAGCCTTTTAACTTTCATTTTCAGAAAAAGAAGAAAGAAAAAAGGACAGTCACGAAAGGTATCGGTTTAAAAGAGAACGAGAAGAGGGGGAAATTGAAAGTGATGTCAGTAGCACGACTGACAGCTCTCCTGCCCGCTCTGTCCAAACAGCTACGGAGGGGCTATTCAGTGAAAAGACCCACTCTGCGGATTCAGTTGAAGAACGGATGGAAAGAGAAAGTGATTCTCGGGAGGATGCTAACCCGCAGCTTGATAGCGGAGATGACATCGACGAAGGAGAAATTAGCAGAGATGCACCAGATGAATTTATAGAGAGTATGTTTAGCAAATTTCATGTTCCTAATTGTTAAATTCTATGCCATTCTTTCAAAAACAAATTGAATTTATAGGTGTAATTCAATAGTTTATGTAACATATTTTGAAGGTTGATTGTATCAAGGCCGCCAGAACCCGGGGGCTGGGGGGGGGGTACGTTGTCTTTTTAGCAGTGTACTGAATGAGAAGGAATACAATGGGAAGCCTCCCCAAATATGAATTTCGTTCCAACGGCACTGTTTGTTAACTAATTCAACATAGATCCCTACCAATGACGTTTAGGTTAGTGACTCAGATTAAAAACTTTGCACGATGTAATGACTTTCCAATTTCCAATTTTAATCACTCTCGTTGCTTGTATTGGTGGGGAACAGGTTCTAATTTGATTGGTGATAGGAAAAGCCTGTCCTTCGTGCTGTTTGCGTACATTTGCTTTCAAATCGCAAGCAGTTGTGCAAGCTTGTGTATATGAAAATTACTGTTTGACCCGTCTGTCAAGAAGTGCTCGATGTCGTATAGGCAGAACAGTACAAGCTTTTGGTGTATAGAACAGACCGGGTCTAGTTTATTACTCCGAGTTTTCACTCTTAATGCGATCATCAGGCAACTGTGCAAGTGTGTGTTTATGTTGTAGGTGGAAACGGTCAGGTCTACAGAGAAGTTAAGGCAATATCCAGCTCTAACGAGGATATGAGCAGCGAGGATGAGGACAAACGAGATTCTGGAAAAGATTCAGATGTGGAAGAAAAAGTACAAGCCGAATCTGATATGGAGAGCAGCGGGTCGAGTGATGACGGCGAGGGTGGTGACGACGATAATGATGACGATAATGATGACGCAAGTGACGAGGATACTCGAGAGTCAAGAGACGATATGAATTTTGACGATGCCGGCAAGACAGGGGATATAATCGATATTTCCGATAGCGAAAGCAGTATTAAAGAGGAATTGGATCACAGCGAAAGAAGATCAGCTGCTGGTTCTGTGGCAGGTGAAATGAGCAGTGTAGAGATGAAAGGCGAACAGAGACAGGCGGAATCGGAATCTGAGAGTGACGGTGATGTGGATACCGAGAAACCAAGATCATTGATATTCAAAAAAACAAAGCAAAGTAAAGAAAAAGCTGTTAAAAGAGATGCCAAGGAGAGCAAGTACAGCGACGATGACAGCGAAGAAGTAGTTGTAGATCATCTTGACATTGCGGCGCCTCAGCAAGCTTTGTTGAGGAAACCAAAGAAAAAAAGCAAGGGGAAGAGCCATGATAAAATGGCAAAGTCAAGTCATAAGAGTGAAAGATCCGATGTAAAAGACGACAAGAAAAGACTTCGGGAAGATCGAAAAAAGGTAGATGATCGGGAGAAAGAAAAGAAAGGAAGGTACGATGAATACGAAGAGAGAAAACACCGAAAGTATGATGGAAGCAAGTATGAAAAAAAGGCTGAACATGAAGTGCAAAAATCGAAATCCATAAGCAAAACCAAGCGAACTGAGGAAGATTTGAGAAGACGAGCATTGCAAGCATCGAAAAGACCAACGAAAGATGAAGCATCAAAAGATGCGCGCATCGAAAGAGACTGGAATAAAAAAGAAGCAAAGTCGAATCGTAAAGAAAAAATTGACAAAAACAAGGACGTTTCGAGGGAAAAAGAAGGAAAGGGAAAGTCAGATGTTGTAGGTACAAAAGACAAAAAAGAACACAAAAAAGAAAGAGAAAAAATAGGAAAGGGTGGAGGCGAGAAAGGGAAAAAACGCCACAGAGACAAAACCAAATCTGGTAAAGGGAAGCGATCACTTGAAGATGAGGACAGTGAAGAGGAGGTCGCCAGAGACGAAGAATATGAGAAGCCAGCACCAAAAAGGGCGCGAAGTGCTGATCTTGAGAAAGATGAAAACAAAGAAGACGACGATGAACACTTATCGAAATCGGCAGACGCAGATTATGATGACATCTCGCCAGCCAGCTCAGAGGTAGAGCTCTCTCCACCCCCGTCTCCAATTGAACTAAAAAAGCCTACTTATTATCCAGCAATTATGGGCTGCCGAGACGTTAAAGAGTTTCAGTGGCTGAATAAAATCGAAGAAGGGACATACGGAGTTGTATATCGCGCGAGGGATAATCGTACAGGTAAGTACATTGCGTTCGTTGGCAGCTGTTCTTAACTGCGTAATCAGAATCATACTCAGAATCATACTTGGAATGTTTCTCTTTTCTATTGGAAATCCTTTTCTGTAAACAGTTGATAAAACATTCTTTTCATTAGATTGTTTTTCATTTTCCTTCACACTTCAATATCCGAAACTCTGAATCTCCTTTCTTGGAGCAAAAAAATTGCTAAAGTCCTGCGATTTATGTTAGTACATGTCATGTGTGCTATGAAAATACAATGCAGTATGCTTTATATGAAAACATATGCCCAAATATTCTTTTTTTTCATTGTATTCACCTGAAACCAAATCGCCAACTATTTTGCCATATAGCGAGCGAGTTTTTGGTATTTTCCGCACCTTTAGTATCGGGTTTAAGTAGCAGTTCATCAAATTTGCTTGTAGACGAAATCGTTGCTCTCAAGAGACTGAAAATGGAGAAAGAAAAGGAGGGCTTTCCAATAACGTCGTTGAGAGAAATAAACACTTTGCTCAAAGCCCAGCATCCAAACATTGTTACTGTTCGGGTTTGTGAATTTTCCTTTTTTCCTAGTCCTTTTTTCTTTCGACAATTGAAAATAAATGATTTCCAACAATGATGTTTATGAAAATCATCTAGAACGAGATAGCGTTGCATAGACGGATAATTCATGAACTCTGTTACTCAGCAATTTGTTACTTGTATATTGTCCGCCAATCCGGGAAGTATCTAACAACAGAAGCTGCTAGAAAAACTATTCATCCTGCATCTTTTTAATGTCTAGGCTGGATTGCAAAATACAAGAGTTGCAAAAGTTCATAATTCTACTGCCAGGACTTCAACTACTTTTTTAATATTTATGAGTTTTGAATTTTATTTTTTTTCTTGATCTTTTATTTTTATCACTACGATTGATATAGCTTTATTTTGTGAAAATAGCCTAGCCAGTTACAAATTGCCTCTGTGATAGAGACTCGTAATTGTAGTTTTAACTAGTCCATTATTATTATTGATATATATTTTTGAAATAGGAAGTGGAATTAACGATTTATTAAGTAACTTTCCCCTTTCAATTACTTCTGCCGGTGATTTTTCGTACTTTCGTTTTAGGAAATCGTTGTTGGTAGCAATATGGACAAAATATACATTGTAATGGATTATGTAGAACATGATTTAAAAGCTCTCATGGAAACCATGACGCAACCGTTTTTAGTTGGTAAGACTCATCACCATTCCCACTATCCCTTTAGCTTTGCTGTCATTAGACAATGAATAAATTTTCTCTAGCCATTCCAGTCAAAATTTCCATTTTATTATACCTTAGTTCTCTTCCAACCTCGATTACTTTCAACTTCTCAATTTTATCTGTTAATCGTTATGCCAACTTTTACTTCGTTAGCTTTTTTCGACTTTTAGCTTTAAGAACAGATACAGTTGTGGCAGTTCTGCAGTTGTGGCTCAATCACGATGTTTCGTTTTACTTTCAGGAGAAGTAAAAACTTTGATGATCCAGCTTTTAAGAGGCGTCAATCACTTGCACGATAACTGGATTTTGCATCGAGACATCAAGGCATCCAACTTGTTGCTGAGTCACAAGGGAATACTCAAAGTAAGTTCCAGTGGGTTTCAACAGCAGTCATCATAGAGGCGACAGCCGTGCGCTGGTCCTGTTGTTGTCATCGTCATTTGTGTCTTTGTTTTTGTAATTAATTTTGTTTTTAGGTCACTTATACAGTTAGCCTATACAAACCACCACTAACTATTGTATTTTTTTGCGCAATTGCATACCTGTTTTTTGTCGCATTCATTTCCAACCTGTTAGTTTCTATGGCCTTTTTCTTGGACAAAAATTATTAAAAATGTTTTTCGCTTTCATGTAAGTTGAAATAACTTGACTTTCTTAAGGTTGGTGACTTTGGTTTAGCTCGTGAGTATGGTTCACCTCTAAAAAATTACACGCCGATTGTTGTCACCCTTTGGTACAGGGCTCCCGAATTACTGCTTGGTGCAAAGGTACTTAGTCTGACACATTTTTTTTCTTAGCAATGGTTTGTTACTCATTTTGATTTCTATACAGGTTTTATGTTTCCCAAGGCTCTTTCTCATTTTTTATTTCATGCAGGTTTTTATATCGCTTTTTCAAATGCTTTTATGTTTGTATGCATTTATTTATATTGCCGCAATTTTTTTATTTGTTTTTCTTATTCGGTTTTATTCTTCAAATGTATTTGCAGAATTGCTCTGGTCTATTTTTTATTCGGTTTATTTTTCTCTTTTTATTTCATTGCTTTTTACTTCTTCAATAATTTTTGCTATATTCTATGTTTGCCTTTTTCAGTTAGTTTCAGAACTATCTTTTTTTGTAATTATCTTATTGTAGCATAAAGAGTTACATTAAACTTCGTTTTACATTCTTCCACATTGCTATAGTTCTGTGAAATATTTAAATTGATAATTGATAAAATAACCGAAAGCTTAATTTCGCCAAGGAATACAAAACTGCAATCGACCTTTGGTCAGTTGGGTGCGTGTTTGCTGAGCTTTTGTTGATGAAACCATTGTTTCCTGGAAAGTCGGAGATCGATCAGATCAATAAAATATTTAAGGTAAGTCTTTAATGAAGATTACACTTTACAAGTTCTAAGTTGTCGTCCTTTTCCATATACCTAGGGTTATGTTTTATATTGAGTTCAGATAGATTATTAACTGATAATTTGTTATTTTGCTTTGGCAGTTTTATGAGACAGCAGAGACGGAAACAAGGGGCCTGAAACAGTAAAGCCCAAAAACATTTTAGGATGCGTTACTTGTGCATCTCTAGATGTGATGCTTTTTCTCAAATAATCTCTTACACAACCAACTTATCTCGCGTTTTTCTTTGAATAAAGATCACTTATCTGATCGTTTGCAGGAACTCGGCACTCCAAATGACAACATCTGGCCTGGCCCTCCGGCTTATAGCGAATTGTCAATGGTGAAGAAGGTATCTTTCTTGATTTGCATTTACTTCGATTTGGGTAACTTTCTGCAAAGTCTTATTTTGCAATTTTTACTTGGCAAATATTATCCTAGCTGCAGCTTTTTGGAAATTGTCAAGCCTTTTTCTCCAAATCCTCCTATAAAAAAGAGGGCAGCTATTTGAAATTTATATTCTAATTTGTATCTTTTAGTCTTGTTTCTATCTTCTAATCACGTGATGTGGCCTTGTACTGGACTTTGATCTTTTTTCAGACAAACTTTGCACACCATCCATATAATGTTTTACGCAATAGATTCGGAGCTACATTTACGGACAAAGGGTTCAATCTTTTGAACAGGTAATCTTTTTGCCCATTTGTTATATTAGAGGAGTTCTATTTTCCAACTGTTCCCATTGATGTAAATATTCTGTTTTCTATCACAATTTCAAACGCCTTTAATCTTTTTTTGCATTATCTGTCGATGATATTTTTAACTGCTGTTTTCAAAGAACGTTTTTTGTTTTTGAGCATCAAAATAAGTAGATCCAATGTTGTTTGTGTTGACTGGTAGATTTTTGAATGAAGGAAAGTCTAGGGCCTTAGTGTATTTTTTTTTCTTTTTGTTAGATTTTTAACATATGATCCTCAAAGAAGAATAACAGCCGAGGAAGCATTAAGTCACGAGTACTTTGAGGTAAAAAGATCAAATTTCAAATCTCCATCTTGCCGTTATTCATTATCTAGAAATGAGAAGCTCAGCTCAGTCTTATTCTGCACTTGGGCACGTTTTGTCATATCCTTGACAAAGCTTGACAATCTTCTCTTGCTCTTCAAAACTGCTATTCGATGGAGATTTTCTGTAGAAGAAATTTTCGTTGAACAAAATTTTCCTAAATTAACGAGAAAAAGCTTCACCTTTTGTTCATTTACCTACCTTCTCTTTAACCTGTTAGGAATCACCTTTGCCAGTGGATCCTTCTATGTTCCCCACGTGGCCAGCGAAAAGTGAGCTAGCACACCGTGCAGTTCGAAAACACAACGCAAGTCCTAAACCCCCCGAGGGAGGAGCCGCTGCTTCCAAGCTGGTAAGATCATTTACATGTTCACTGAGATCAATCTTCGAGAGGTCTTCAACTCTCTTGAAGTTGGGTTCCGAATTTGGTTATTCTGCCTGATATGCTTTGGCAACACAGGGACAGATAGGGAGGATTTTGAGAGTTGTCTTTTTTGCTAGTTCAATGAATTAATTTGCATTGTAGGTTGTTTCTTTTGACTATTTAGGGGGCGTGGCGTGAGTGAGGGTGTAGTCTGAAATTGTGTGTAATATTTGCTTATTGTTTCAGGCGAATGAAGACTCAAATCTTGGATTCCACATGCCAGCTGCAACGAAAGGATTTTCTGCAAAAGGTGCAGGCTTTAATTTAAGGTTTTGATTGGCAACACGGAACAAGTAGCAGTTCAAGTAACACTTTAATGATGTGGCTGATTGAGCCAAACTCTATTCGCTGCGATAAACTCAATGAGCACCCTCTTTTTCCAGCAAGCAACGACATTAATGTTTGTTCTTTTGTATAATAGCTCTTTGTAAACCAATTTTTTCGTAAAAACTGTAACAAAGAGTAGTTCTCTATTTTTAAATTTCTTTTCTGAAATCTCTCAGGTGGCAGTTGATTGAAAGAGTTTCGATTCGTGTTTGCCGATACAATGTGTTCTTATTTCTGCAGTAAGAAGTCTTTAGCTGCATAAGGTTGCACAAAGTTCTACGTAAACGGATCTATTACTTGTTACCATTAAGTGTCCACTTACTCTGAAAGCCAGACATTTACAAGAATTCCGATCAACTGTTTCTGCGTTGTTATCAATTATCCAACACGATTGAATCAATTGAAACACTTAACCAGTGCACCTTTCTTCTGCTTGTATTTTCTAATGTTTCAGCTATTTAGCCTGTTTTTAACCAAAATAGACAAAACCCGCTCTTCAGTTGTAACAAAGACTGGCATTTTATCAAGCGTAGCCAACAAATCTTGTACTTTACAATCAATATTGTTTAGGGTGTGCTTCAAAACTTTGATTACGAAGCACAAAGTTGGAAAGTTAGAAGAAACATTCTCTACTCGGATAGTAGGAGCAAAGCATCTTTGTAATATATCTATGTGTATTCATTGTATTAGCAATGCAGAATGTGGACATTCGTAGAATTATTCTTGCCTGGCAATGTTATCTCTTGCTGGTAATCATCTGTCTAAACCAATTAGTTTTTTTTTAAAAAAAAAAATCATTTCGAAACTTACTTCATTTCTCTAAATCAGAATATCACAACAGTTATCGAAACATTGTTCATCATTCTGAGAGAAGACTTGAAAAGTATTTGACTTGACGCTGACGAAAATCTCATCTTTACTTGGCCTGTGTCCGGAGATTAGAGCCTTTCTTGGCTTGTGTCCGGAGATTAGAGCCTGTTTTTTCCCAAGGTGTATGTCAGCTTCTACTTAAAGCAACGACTGCAATCTTTTTATACAAGAAATGGCTCGAGATTTGAATTGTGAATATTTCTACTAAAATAGTTCAATTTTTTTCCTAAAATGCTACTACGTACGTAAAGGTCCTTTTGATAGACAATCTCGACTATTCCACCAAAGACAAGAAGTAAGTGTCTATGACTTCACTTACAAATTACTGTCAATCCGTGTCTGAATATAAATTTTCTGCTTACCTTTGGACCTTATCCGACGTTTTTACTCTGTATGCTCTGTATTTACCCTGTATAATAATTGTAACGCTGAGAATATATATAAAAAGAGAAAGTATATGCCTAGTATGCTTACATTAAAAAAATGTTTGGGCTTGATTAGGCTTCGAAATGGAAACACAAGCTGAATGAGCCTTAATGCAAATTCAATTTTATAATTGGCATGTGCATACAAAGAAATTTTTATACAAAGCAATTTTATCACAAGTGAAATTCAAAAAGAGGTCACTGAAAAAAGAAAGAAAAAAGCAATGTTGCTGGGGGAGGGGGTCTTTGGGGTTGACGGTATTACGGTATTTTCCTTTTCCTCTGTCGGTAATCCGGTAATGTTTCCAAAATTGGGAGGTAATTCGGTAATGGAAAAATCGGCGGTGAACGGTTTTTAGTAAGTTCAATGCCCAGTGTGCGGGTTTGGCCAGTTCTAAATTTAACAATGTAACAGTTTAATTAGAAATATGGACAAAATGCTAGCGGTGATATCTTATTGTATCCATGTTGTAACCTCTCTCCACTTTGAATGGCGATATCCATGGTTGAACAATTCTCAAGTTGCGACTGCAATTGTTATTTGATTTGATTTCGGATTATTTATAATTACTTTTTCCTCGTCGTTTTCCTCCCAATCTAAGCGACCCATTTATCTCTTTGTCCATATGTCATATACAACATGGCATTTATCAAAAGTAAACTCGCCTTCAGGTTGGCAACTTAATTTGAAATATCTACTGTGCAAGAATAGGTCACACTTTTCCATTATTGCTTTCGAAAACAATACAATATTATTAAAATACATCCATGTTGGGCTTTTGTAATAAAGAAAGGATGTGGTGTCTTCCTTGTATATGTATACGAAGGAATGCCCAACTTAAAACATTGTTCAATAGGATTTGCTCGGAACTTAGCCCTAACCCCTTTTTTCTTCACGCTGGTGCTGCTGCCAACTGCTTCTGTTTAATATAAAGCCATCTGCATAGGAGAACAGGACTTTTGATTTTCAGCTATTGGGTGTTAAAAGCGTTCCAACTGCCTAAAGAAGAAACTAAAAAATCTATTTCTAGTTTAAAAGTGGAAATAAATTTGTGTTGTTTCAGTTCATCATATCCTCAGTCTCTGAAGTCCAAAGTTTGCTTCGAAAAATGATGTTACGTCACAAAAGGAAGAGCTGCATTTTGGTGTTGTACAGGAATATTTTCTTGAACCTCTACTATTAATAATTTGTATCAACGAGTTTCCGTTTGTTCTAAAAATCTCTTCTTAAAAATCTGTTCTAAACTGGATATCTTCTTCTACAAAAGTATCAACAACTTGAACCGGACGCTAAGAAAACATATCTATGTGATCCTTTCCTCCAGCTAGATCACATTGGCTATATTAACTTAGAATGACTGCAAAGTACAGTAGAAGATGAAAGTATTTTCAAATGTAGGCATAAAGAGAGATCAATTGTAAAGGGCTTTACAATTATTTTGAATTCGATTTAGCTTTCAGAATTGTAGAGCAATATCACGTAACTGCTTGAATGTTTTGATTTAAGCATGGAATTCGGTTACCACTTTCAGAAATATATTTCAATATCCCCTACATTTGTTTTTAAAACATATATTCATCCCAAACGTTTGTTCGTCAGTAATACTGAATCTTCACTAAACATTTTTGCGGCTTACATAACAAATGTTGTTGAAACTTCAACTACAGGAATGGATTTATATCATATAGGTGGAATCGGGTTAAAATTATACTTGAATAGGGGGAGGGGGCACTGTCAAAAATTTAACTTTTTGGTACAGCGTCATCAGTAGCGGGGTGGCTATATTTTCCCTGGGGTGGCCAAGTCGATTTTTGTGCCCTATTTATATATCGTGGTTATATAAAAGCATGTGTTTCTAGAAGGGAAATCGATTTTTGCAATTGGAATCCAAAATTTCATAAATAGGTTTTGACTCAAAATGCGAATATGAATGTAAAAATTATGTAATCCTAACATTTGACCTTCTCGATCATATAGCTATTTTGAATTGGCTTACTTTCGAGTGTCGGCCTATTTTCGAGGAAATACGGTAGGCAAAACATTAAATACTAATCAAAAGACATTCTATTCAATTACAGTGATGTTTCATACAAGCTGGCGGCCTCTTTAGTTCGTTTATTATATCCAGAATACCACCTTCAGAGTAAAATAACGTAGAGCAAATTTTTGTTTCGGGCTCCTTAGTTTTTGAACTAAAGGTAACCTTAGTCCATTTCGCCACTGCTAATGGTCGATTTTATCAGCCTAGTGTCATCATATTTATTTTGTATGATATACAAACATGGTTCAAGTTTGTTATTCTTTAGTAGTTATTAAATAGTAGTTCTTTCAACAACAATTGAATCGGACAGAGGCGGCGGCACGAAATTGAATCTGGGCTCGGGCTAAGAATCAAGTTTAGTGACAAAGGAGGACCCACGGGTTGGGTCCGACGCGCAAGAAATTTTTTGAAATCAAGTCTTCTAGAATGGCAAAAAATCCACCAGACTAAAATTCAACAAATTTTTATAACCGTTCAGAATAGACAGTTCGACAATGCTCAGAAAAACATTGATTTTTGATTTTTAGAAAAACTTGGGGAGGGAGGATTCATGCGATGGATAAAGAAAGAAAGAGGACCTTTGGTTCACGTCGATGTTAATAACAAGAAGCTGCTGTATTGATTGCCAGGGTGCATTCCATGCACTTAGGCCCGAAGATCTTTGGCGTACACGCAGGCTTCTTGGCGTTCCGAGTGCAAACTAATAGAATAATCTTCGTTAGCACGTTGCGTAAAATCTTCGTTAGTAGGCGTGCTAAAGATGAAGCCACGTACATAGTTCACATGAAAACATTTGACACAAAATACAAATGTTGAAAGGGTCATGGCAGCGCAACGTGCTTCGATTGTAGAACCATACGTTTTATTAGATTGTTAACAGCAAGTTACAGCGATGTGTTCTACCCGTGTACGATCAATTTTGATTTTCCTAGCCAAATATTACAAGCAAACAATTTTGGCGCCCCCTAAACTTCATATACGCCCCTATTCAGAGGGGCATCGCCCCCTGGCACGACACCGGGCGTCATTCAAGTATTTATACAAAAATGGGAGATAACGAGCCGTCGGGGATAACATTAATCGTTGAGGGATTATGTAATCTTCCTTTAGCTCATTCTTAGCTTTAAGAGCCCTCCCCCCTAGCACTACACCCCTGAGATTCATAGGCAAAGTGAGTGTGATTCCACATTAAGTAACAAAATATGCTAAGTGAATAAATTAAGTGAAACTGCATACGCTAAACTGTTTCACAACCGAGAAAATTACTAAGATTCAAAAGCACTGAGGGAAAAAGATTAGTTGCACCCATCAATACGCCCTCCCCCCTAGCAATACACCCCTGAGATCAGGCATGTAAATACTGGGTCGTGTGGGGGGTGTGACACCCCCCCAATCTTTCATCCAGTCGGAAAATTTGAGGACAGTCGGAAATTTATAGCTGTTGGTAGAAAGCTAGATTAATCGGAAAAAATTTGAATCATTTGTGAAAATTGAAGTTTTGACTCAAATTACCTTGTGAACTGTAGCTCAAAGAGAAGCATAAGAAAGGTATAAGTTCAAAAAAATAGTTGTTTGGTAAAAGGCAGTCCTGAAAAGAATGAGAGGCGACGCAATACAGAAAAAACGAAGTTTTGTATGAAAATGCAAGTATTTTCAACTACATTCGTCGTAATGGGGATAGTGTTATAATCATTCCATCGAATTGCTTCTAAAAACGGGATACGAAATAGAATTTTTTAAATAATATTTATCAGTAATGCTTAAAGAAGCACAATACAATTCCTATGATTTGTGAAGAGCTAGGGGCTTCAGCCCCCTCACTTTTTTGCAAAAATATATCTTTAAGCAAAGAAAAGAGTAAAGGAAAAGATGTAAAGAAAATAATAATCCGACAAATCCTTTAGTTGCTTGATTTCCAAGGAATACGCCGAGGTCTATGGGGCCCCATAAAGTAATGAATTCAATTTTAAGACTGGAATTAATCAAACGTAATAAGAGCATACCTTAAAAATAACAAAATGTTTTAAACGATTGCAAGAAAATACCTACCAGACCAGAAGTAATCTGAAATGTATTTTAAATAAATCTAAAAAGCGTGGTCGGGAAGCCACTTCTTTCGAGTATCCTTCCGCTAAACTCCCGCCGGCCCCTTCAAACGTACCGCTAGCATAATGAGTGCCCCATAAAATAAGGGATAAAAAGGGGAAGAGTTTTAGTGCGTTTTTCAAAAGATGGTTCTTTAATCTAATAATTTTATCAACTCGAGCCCCCCCCCCACTTTGAATTTCTTGGCGCCGCCCCTGTGAAAGACTAAACGACCTCATGATTCTTACTTGCGAGAAAGACATTTTGGACAACGTAAATTTAGATAAGATAGTTGAGCAATGGGCAAGTCGTAGAAGGAGAAAAATTATTATCTGATTTTTGGACTAGGTATGTTTTGATGCGCTAATTAACAGCCTTTGTGCTCGATCTTCCAAATTTACGAAATCTAGAAACTTTATCATACAGCGGAATAATTAACTTCGACAAAATTTATAAGGTTTTGTTGGTAAAAAACTATTAAAGTTAAGGCCCTCATGCAAAATTAGAATCTACCTTTGTCAGTCGGAAATTTTGAGCCCTTCACCCCCCCAAAAATATCTGCCAATTTACGTCCCTGCCTGAGATTCATAGGCAAAGTGAGTGTGATTCCACATTTAGTAACAAAATATGCTAAGTGAAACTGCATTCGCTGAACTGTTTCACAACCGAGAAAACTACTAAGATTCAAAAGCACTAAGGGAAAAAGATTAGTTGCACCCATCAAAAAGAATCTGAAAGGGTAAAATGTCAAAGTGAAAGAAGCTAAATATAATGAAATTTTCAGAGAATTTATGGAAGAAAGACAGAATACAAGATCACCCCTCTACCAAGCCCCCTCTGCCAAGCCCACTGATCAGTAACCCAGTTCCAGTGGGGCCATGAGGATTGAGGTGTTCGTCGGTGCTTGTGGTTGTAGGTGCCTCAACCAGTGGCCTCAACAGATGTCCTCGTGTTGCCGTAACAACAAAGGTCACAGGAATCAAAACACTGAAAATGGCTTCGAAAGTCACGCCACAGAATGGCCAATCGGTTTCAGATTCTAGGTTATGGCAATCTAAGGTAAGTGTTACAAAAAGAATAGTGTTCTTAATGCTTTCTTTCCTCAAAGAGATGTTTAACTTGGCATAAATGGATTTTTAAGGCAGTCGGATGATAAACTTGTCTCGTCGTACGAAATGACGAGAGCTCTCTTTAGTTCTATTCAGATGTCCGTCAGCAATCATTTGTCTTTGATGTTCAATTTATTAGTTAGTTTTTTGTTGTGTTACAATTTTGTAAATTAAACATCTTTAGTTTTAAATTAAAAACGCTTTTTCTGAGAATTTGAATAAATTGAAATGTCATTACGATAGTTGTGATTTGGTTATTGCTCCTGTTATTACGTTACAACAAGTTTCGATTCATGATAATAGGACGGCAATTGGGAAAAAGCCTGTTTGATAGAACAGTGACTCGCACTTCTAAGCGAAGATGCGTTATATATATATCATTCAATAATTATTTCACATGCCTGGAGATGATGAAGATGTAATCTCCCATTTTTTTTAAGGAGAAAGAGTATTTTGAAATGAACGAGAGAGAACTATGGTGGCGCAGAACAATAAAAGTAAGTAGCATACAATGTTTGCTTAGGCAAAAAAGTTTGTGCAAATTTTTTTTGCTTAATTTTTGCTTTAGTTATTTTAAAAAATGCGAAAAGCCAACCATTAACATCAATTTTTCTTATAAAGAGCTGTACCCTAACTAAGCTAACAATTTGCCACTGCACCCAGCTGTATCCCGGTAGCTGCAGGGGTGATTGACCTCTTTTATCAAGGGAGGTCTTGGCAGCATTGAGAATCTTAGTAATCAGTTAGCATTCAGAAGGAATACATTTGCATTTTATTGTGTCTTAATTTTTGAGGTTGGTATGCTTGTATTTTAGAATACACCCATTCCAGGAACATATGATACAAAGACATTTATTGATGAGCTCATTGCACAACCAGTCAAAAAAACATATGGATTCAAAAGTGAAGGGAGAAAAAGAAATGCTGATCCTTCTAGGAAAGGTCATTACTTAATGCCTGGGCTATATGATAAAAAGGATGGCCTTGCACATGAGCTTGGAAGAAAAAGGATGACATATAACTTTGCATCAGTTGACAGAAACGATTTATCTGGAGTTGTTTCAGGGACAGTTGACAAAGTAAAGTTTCATATTTATTTTCAGATCATTACCAGCTTAAGTTTTTTTCAAATTTCAAACTTGTTTTTTTTAAATCTTGATTTAATACCTTCATATGTTCAAATTATAAAACATAATAAACTGGAACTCTAGAGCAACTGCAAGTCTCTTTGTATTTGGTTTTGTTTACAATCTTGTACTTAATACAACAGGTTGATATTCTAATCAGATCACCAATATTTCTAGGTGATACAAAAAAGTCAAGTTGGTCCAGCTACCTATGACCCTGGTTACAAACCAGTTCCTTGTTTCCCAGTCAGGTGAGAATCATTAAAAAAGGTCACTGCCTATGGAATTAAATGACTAATTCTTAAAAAAATTTATTTTGACATATCCACAGTTTGAAATTGGATGTTTCAGTCCTCAAAAACTATAATGCACTGACTATTTTCAGCAACCAGTTGTCTTCTGCCCCTTGTTTCCAAACATAAATGGTTGATATTTACCATCGGTTTCAGGGACCCTGTTTTCAAATCACAGAGTCAAAGATTCCCAACTATCCATTTCAAACCAGTAAGTAAACATGTTTTCTTAATAAAATTTTAAAGTGTTTTCAATTTTATTGACCATTTAGCTCTATTTACTAAAATATCTCCAACTTTTGATGTCTATTACTGAAAGTTAATTTTTATTTGCTTTTCAATTTTGTGTTCTAGAAAGAGGGCCCAGCTCCTGGACAATATGAAGCGTTTAAAGAATCAGAAGTTAAAAAATGTTTGAAGGCAACTGCACCATTCAAGTCAAAGACACCTCGTTTTATCAAACCCCACTTTCAGGTATATAAACTTTCCCTCAACAGAAGTAAATCTTAAAGGACAAGTGACACACTTTTCACCCTATCTTTTATTTCATTAACTAATAGATCATCATTTAGAGGTAAATTTTTCCTGGTTTAGAACAAAAATTCTAATCAGGGGGTGCAGGGGGTGTGATTTTGCTTTTTATCATGTGACCCTATGACGTACATTGTGATAACTCAGAATTTTCCTGTCATTAATAGAGAGTTTACGAAACATGACGCGATAGGTCCAGAAGAACTGAATTCGTTTAGAAGTGTGTTGTAAACGTTAATATTGCACTGTATACCAGTAGCAGCAATAACAAATTATCACAATCTATGTCACGGTGTCACGTGAGTCATTTCCCACCATAATTTGAAAAGGGTTTTTATGTAGGAAAATGAAATCAGAAAGGAAAAATATTTCAACAACACTCTCATACAGCATTTTACTTTAAGTTAAAAAAAAAAAAAATTGGCGCCAAAAGCGTGTCACTTGTCCTTCAATTATTGAGATTATGAAAAGAAACATCATACGGGAATGTTTTTTTTTACACTTTGGTCACAAGGAGATTAATATTTCACTAATACAGTCCTATTGTTTTAGAAAACTCCGGGACCTGGAAGTTACACAAAAATGAATCAGATACCTATGCCATCTCATGTGCGGCATCTTGGGAGATACCATGGCCTATTCTTTCCACCTGGAGTTTACTGAGCCAAAAAGCTGGAATTTGTGTCAAGCTTGTGAAGACAGGTGAAAAACTCATTCTTTAGTGAGGTGTCAACCGAGCTGCTTATCAAATATGTTCGCACATTTGGGAAAAAAGATGATTGCCAGAGCAACACACAGAAAAATGGTTGTGAAGTAATCATAAACAGCATAACCCTTCATCTGCTACCTTGAAGAACCTTTTGCATCAACAGTATAATTGTATAGATATTGGGCATACAATGACTGTGCCATTAATCTGTGTCTTAGCTAAAGACAAAAACTGGTAAAAGGACTTTTTGCTAAATATCTTATCACTTGTTAAAAAATAAAGCTTCTGTCCCTTTCAAATTTTCTCTTAATTTTAGATTCATAATCTTCTTTTAATTTTCTGCCACTTTTAGTTGCAGAAACCCAGAATTGGTACGAAATTTGTTGGGTTGGTAAATATCAAAGGTTTTCCATCTACTGAGCATGGTGAATGCACCACATATCAAATTGCAATTTAGTGAAAGGACTAATGTCAGCATATGGAAAACTTTGCAGATGCAAAAAGTAGATTCTAACTTTCAATTGTTGATTGACGAAAAATTTATGCAACTGATTTTTAATAGCTTAGTGTTTCCTTTTTTAATTGATTATTCCTTTTTGTTACACAGAAGGTAGTCACTTTTCAATGTGAAGCATTTTACCAGGCCTGGCCGTTTGTATTTTTATAGGTGAGCTGTGAATCGCTCCCCTCATTTGCCGAGGCGAGCTAAATCAGTAACACAAAGAATGTACTTCAAAGACAATCGACAGATGACTTAATAGGCCCCTTTAGTATCTGTAGGTTGCCTTAATGTAATAGCCTCAGTCAGGAGTGTGATGTTTAACTTCTTTCAATTTTTATTTGCTTTAACCGTGACTTAGGCACCCCCTTTACTTGAACATAGATGGAAAACTCTACGCTAAAATACCCAGTTTTGGATCGAAATAGGCCAATCAGAAAACGCGCGCACATGACTGTTGAGGTTGTCCAATCAGTGCCGCTTTCGTATTGAAAATGTTACCAACGGAGTCCTAAGGTGAAAACGAACTCACTTATGTCTACACAGAAGCGGTCGGTCATGTTTATATAGTAGATAGATTCACAAACAGCTAGATGGAACGATGATCATGCTTTGCCAAAATGCGAAACATTTCGCCGTTATAGTTTTTCATCCAATCTGGGTTTTTCAGTAAATGCTGCTGGATAGTGGAATTCAATGTTTTGGTTGTCGTTTTTGATCTGCAAGACAGAGTACCTTGTTCTCTTTGAGGGATAGTTTTGTTTCTATTGCTGGAAGGGACCTGCTGCCTTATTATATCCCCAATCTACAATTCCTACCAATTTCTTCGACTTTCCTTCCAAAAATATTCCTGTTTTCTTAAGATTGAAAGGTTCTAATCGCTACAAATGTACCTTGCGCTTAACTATCCTTTTCCGAATAGATCGAAGTTTATGCCTATCATAACAAAAACTGCCCAACAAGCAAAAAGTTAATTGCAAAAAATGCAATGACGGGAGAAATCGCTGTTACAAAAATAAACCAATTAACCCTTGTGCGTTTTCATAATTCTCTGAATAGGAAATTTTAGGGGAGCGATTCTCCTTTCATGTTCTGTTTAGGAGAGCAATTCATAGCTCGCCTCAGGTTGCGAGGAGAGCATGGAGGCGAGCGCGAGCTATGGCTCGCCTCAAACAGCCAGGCCTGATTTTACTATATAGTTTGACACTGTACTGTCAACATCAATGCAACGTAATAAAAACGATAAAAATTTGTTTTGATAAATTTTGTACATTTTACATACATAGTAGTTTTCAGTTTCAATAAATTTTAATATAGAACATACCAAAAGGATATTTGATAGATATGATAAATGATTGATATTTAGCAGACTTCCTTTTTGCTTTCAAGAGCTGTCAACTCAACTTTAAACAGTTTCAAGAGGCGTTGGGAAACTGTACAATTTTTATTCAATAAGGAGCCATCCTTGTGTATCAGCCACCCTAAATTTTAAGCTCCAGTAAAGGGTTGCTTAAAAAGGTAAGCTGTCCTTGATTTTGAGCCTCACCCACAAAACTATGCAGAGATACTTGTTTTGAAAAGATGGGCATAAAAACTGACATAAACCTTGTTTTTTAATCAAATTTGAACACTGTTGCCCAGTGGCGGAAATTCAGACTTTCGTTTGGGGGGCCAGGCCTACGATTTTCCGACAAGATAACATCATGGACCATGTGTAATTTTAAATAAACTGCACCTTTTGAAAAAAAAGTTGATTTTTTGACGGGACTCTTTAGAAATCTTTGCTGGCCACGCCATAATTAGGTAGCAAGAAGAACAATCAATTCATGTTTTTTTATATCAAGATTGATATCTCATCTAAGACAATTGATGATATAAGAGGTAGACCGATTACACTTTTGACAAGTCTTACGTTCATTTTATGCATTTTATCTTCTTTTCGTCACTAAGAAATACGTTTGAAAATAACTTCTATTCAGAAGAATCTCCAAAACCCCCCAAAGCTCCCCCAAACTCCATAATTTCCGCCATTGCTGTTGCCCTGCTAACAATATCGTCCAATAAGGGGTCGTCAGCATCATCCAGGTTAATTTCTTTCTCAACTCCTGTGTTACTACCATCAAGGTATCAGGAAAGCTTGGCAGGTTCATCCGAGCTTGTGCCACATACATCAAATGACTTGTTCAAGGTTTTGTGATGGTTTGGCAACTTGGATAAATCAATTAAACAAATAGTTAGAAGCTGTATCAAATAAATACTCCTTGTACTTCTATTCTAAGGGTTGAGAACACTAGATTTGACATCGATTTAAAAGGGGCTTATACTGGTCCTAAAATGGCTAAAACAATGGCAAAAACAGGCATCACGAAGCAGGGGGAGGGGGGCTGGGGTTGCTTCTTGCAAAAATGCAAAATATTATGCAATAAACTACCAGTAAAGCCTTTTTTTATTTGGTTTTAGCCCCATCACTTTTTGTAGATCCCATACTTTTCTTGGCACTCCACAGTGCTTAAAAACCTGTTTTTTCCAAAGCCATATTGGATTATTGGTAGTTATTGACTAAAAAGAAACAATTGACATATTTTCAAAATACTTGAAGATTAAATTAAAACTGTAAACTACATGTTTGTCTAGGCACTCCTACATTTTTATAAGTGTTCAGATTTGAACTGACTTGGCACCATGGTGAAGGGCAGAATAGGGCAAGTTGCTTCCAAGTCCAGTGATGTGAGAAAACAATCTGATGCCTCGTCGTGTTCTTCTCTGGCAGCCATGACGTTTCCAAGGACATGCCTGAAAGGTGACAGCATGGAACATAATTTTCATGGCTGTACATAGCAGAGGGCACTTGTCCCCCAGAAATGTTGAAGGCTGGATATTAAAGTGTTTCCAAATCTGCATGTAAGCAGTAGACTGTGCATCAGATTTAACGTAGCTAAACTACAACCAACCTGTGAAAAATTACGATGATAATGACGTCATTGAAAAAATTGAAACAGATTCAAATTCCCATACGAAAAGTCTAGGCATGCGTAAAAAGCTTCTGTACCAAAGATGTTCCCTACCCGATGAGGCTTTAGACTAACAACAATTTCAACATTTATCTCCATGAACGATGATCTTTTAGGAACACTTTAATGTAAAGGAGCTTATGGTAATGGCGGAACAATACTTTGTGCAAATTTGGTTATTCTACTCCCCATAACTTCCAACCGTTTCAATTAGCCCCGAAATCAAGACTTTGGCTCGACCACCCGATTTAGAGATCTTGCTTGATTGGAAAAAAATCTATCTAATTATGTTATATAAGCTAAAATATATAAAAACAGTCAACAACACCAGTAAATCGACCGAAACCTTCAAATAGCTCTTAAAGCAGCTTTTCTTTCAAACGACCAAAAATCCTTACTCCTCTCTATGCAGTTTTACATTTAAGATTTGATAAATTCCGTGCCAGGTTTCCATTTACCAGCAATTTATCATTTATATATACTCACGCAGCAATTCTAGCATAACCATGGAGCGCTTATTCGGTAAGGGAACTTATCAAAACCTGGTATGCTATACAGAGTTCAGCAAAGTTCAACATTGCTCCTCTTGCAACATTTATGAACAGACGAAAAAGTTATTAGAATAATTTTCTCTTTATTTCTCTTTCATTCTATAAGCCTCGCTGAAACAGTGGCTTCCTTAATGATAGTTGCCAGAGAGAAAATCACAAATGCTTTCTACGTAGGGCGATTTGATGGGTTCTTTAAATGCCCAAAGAGATTATAGCTTCTTAAAAACGAACGATTCATCGAAGAGGATTGAAAATTTTCAGTGAAAATATCCTTTTGGCAATTACAGGATAGTTGTTTGACGTCAAATAAACCACATTCTTGAAGCAATGAAAATCACAGTTGCAATGAGAGAGCAATTCCAAAGAGTCACGCAGAACAAAGCAAAATGAGCGAGAAGAACAAAATCCAACCAAGCTCTTACATTGGGCTTGATGTGCTTACGGGTCGGCAGAGAGAGCACAAGAAGAGCAGCCCTTCCACTCCTGAATCAGACGTCCAGTTTATTTGCCCCCTTCATGGAAAAGTCAAAACAGGAAGAGCAAGCAAAAGACAAGTACGTCCGGCAAAATAAATTATCCCTGAAAAGTATTTGGCATTTGATTGAGTTGTTTGAGTGAATTCTCTTTGTTTACTTTTTGTTCTTTTAACAGAGGCAGCCAGGAGAGAAAGGCTTCATTTACAACATGAAAACGATGTTCGGCAAAAGTGACCTTGAACACAAATTGGCGGCACATGGACTGAAAGCAAAACTATCGAAATCGGCGCTAAGGAATGTGCAGACAATAAGCAAAGAATCCGATTTGCTTTCTTGGGAGGAGCTATCTATATTGGGCACAGAAAAATTGAAGGAGTTGGAAAAGTCGCTCGAAGAGGAAATTTCGTTTTTAAACGTGGAAATGATGAATTTGCAAGAAGAGCGGCAATTAATGGCTACAGAAAACTCAACATTGAAAAAGGAAGCGAAAGATCTTGAAGAGACGGTAAAAAGGATGTTAAGACCATGGATCAACCGCTATCCAAATTCTGACGATTTCACAAGGGCCTACTTACTTAATTAAATCGAATATATTAGTCAGTATTTTAGAGCTTCATTAGTTCAAGAAAAAAAGATGCGTAAAAAAAATCAAGATGAAAATTAAATATGAATTTAATGCATAGCACAGCAATTCTAGATCTGAAAGTTATTGATTTTAAAAACCTATCGAATTGAAGTAAGCAAACATGCAGCTTCAGGTCCATAGTTGTAGATTTTTAAATGCCATGGCTGCAAGTTGAATTCTGTTTTTAAGGAAACAGAAATAAATAAAATTTCTAATCAAGATAAATCTGACAGTGAGCTTATGACTAATTTAACCAAAATCCTGCTTTCTATATTTCCTAACCGTGCTAGTCCATCTCAACTGAAAGTGAAAAAGAAGAAGTTGTTGTTCTTGCAGATCTCGGTAGGCCGAGATCCCTCTCTCTGTTTCGTGGGTATCGCCTGATCCGGCCTCGGAATCATCAAAACAAACTACTGATAAACAATACTGATCATATTGTTTGGTTACATCCCGTCTTTTTGGGTTTATAACTTCAAATTAATGAATGCCATAAGAAAGCTCGCTTTAAGAAAAACACTTGCCATAATGACGGCTTCATAGGATCTAAAGATATTGCATCTCGGATGTATTTTTGAGCCATAGAAGCCGATCCATTTTCATGATGAAGAATTGCCTACGATAGAAACATTGCCAATATCAAATATGCAAGACCAATCTTAGGCATTACTGACAGAAGCAAGATGTGAAGGATTAACATAGATTTAAAAAGTAGTAAAACTGCAGCTCACCAGTTTTTCCATTGCCTCGACGTACTTTGGTGCAACTGCCATCGCACTTTCAAAGCATGCCTTTGCTTCTTCAAAATTTCTTTGCATATAGTTCAGTCGGCCTCTCTGTGACAAAAAGAAGAAACTTCAGGGTTCGCAATATTCTGTGAAAGGTAGGAAAGATAAAAATGAAATTAAGGCCATTACGCACATGAGAATGCTCAATAGGGCTGCCCCCTGCTGTGGATAATCTCAATTAATGTAAATGCTAAAGGTCAAGTGGGACGCGCAACGATTTTATTTTAGAAACAAATCAAAACTCAAGCACTGGCTAATGACAAAAAGGTGGCATATTTATAACCGATGGTGCATCAAGATGTAGCCAGGGACGGTAAAAAATAGGACAATAATGACACATGAAAATTACCATGGACAGAACTTCAGGCGAAACGGGGAATATTGAAGAGGCTTCCAGTACACAATTTGATGCTTCGTTTGTGTTCCCCATGTTTAGATAAACATCAGCTAAAGTAAAAAAAGGAATAGAAATGAGTTCTATCGAGGTATAAAACCTCAACGAAAGTTTGAGTGTGGTAGTGTCTGTAGTAATATTGACGAAAGGCTTAGTTTACTTCAAGGCAATCACAGCGACTGACTAGCAAACAGTGTCTTGATTTTGTCTTGATGTTGTCTCTTATTGAAGCAGATGATATGTAAGGTTAAGTGGTAAAAGAATAAGGAGAAAAGAAAATTGGTGAAATATACTGAAAAAACAGATTGCAGCCTTTAAATGATAACATATCAGGGAAATGTCAATATGAAATGACAGGGAAAAATCGCTCAAAATACGAAATCACCACTTTAAAGACCACGTCAACTAGTGAAAAGCTGGCTACCCACCTGTAATGAGCCAAATTTTAGCTAGAATGGCGATAGCCGCTGGTCCTCTGAGTTTCGCCCCCGAAACTGTCGTAGAGGCGATTTCGGAAAGGCTCCTTTCAATGGTTACAGATTCAGTTATGCTGCCAACCTCGTCTTCGTCTGCAAAATAGACAAATAACTATTGTTCATGGTGAAATTGACAGGTGAAGACAAAACCAGAAAACTTGCATAAAATCGGCCGTGATAAATCTGAAACGTCTACAAAAATTAAAGATGAATCCTGTGTCAAGAGGATATTAAAACTGGACGAGTGAGAGTACCAGCGGACCTAAAAAGCTGGTAAAACGTGTCGTCCCAAAAGATGCACTGCAAAGTATATATGGCAGCGTTGAGAATATATTTGGACTCAGATTTAATGACGTTCGAAATAAAGAGAGGAAAAGACTGTGACAGTAATTCTGAGTCAAGAACGCCATGCTATGTTTATAACAACAAGAGCAATGTATGAAAAGTTCCCTTTCAATGTGGTATTACTTGGCGCAAAATGAAACCTGAAAAGCCGGCCTAGCTAAACGATAAGGACAAAATTAATTGTTTCTATTTATACTAAGTTAAGCAAGAAATTTTCTTCATACTGAAAAATTGAAAAAACTGTGTTGGATGATTGAAAGCAATTGTCTCAGAATAAATACCATGGCATTGCTTGATTCCATCCGCAAATGCCAAGCTTTTTGCACTTTTAGCCACACTTACTCCGTCAACAGACCTCGTGTCTGCCGCTGGCTTCTTCAGAACAGAACTTTTTCCAGATTTTGCGTCTCTTCCTTGCTGCGCAGCGATGTCACTTATGAAAATTAGCAAAATAAATGATGTGAACGTATTTGAAAAAATACAGCAACAGTTTGCATAAAATTTGAATCTGGATCAGCAGCTTAGGCCCTACTTACTATTATTAATATCAATGCCAACAAAAAGCAGCTAGGAAATGACTGAAAGTCAAAATCCGCCAAAACAACTTCAAAGCCAAGATACTTACTCGCCAATTTCTTCCCCAAATAAATCATCCCAAAGTCTTAGCATTTCTTGGCAGAGTGCCAGCGCTTGCTCTCCACCAAAACACTCTTCTGTCAAAAAGACTTTCACTTGCAGCAAACTACAAAAAATTATCCATAATAAGGCAACATCACCAGAGCACAAGAGATTTATTGGTCGTAACAACAAAACGCTACGCATAATGAAGTTTGGCAGAACATAAAATTCTAGGGTACAAAAAGCTAGGCTCTTATTTGGAAGAAAGAATGAAATAAAACATCTGACTTACAGGAAATCATCAGGGAACTCTCTTATAACGACGTCAATTATCTCCAATGAATCTTGACTCTGAAAAAATTGAGAAACAAATAACAAACGTAAAGATATCTTCTGAACTGACTTGCCAGAAATAGAATGATGAACAAATGACGAAGTCAATTTGGCAGTGAAAGCTTAAAGGTTATAAATCATTGGGTATCGAAATTTCAAGCGTATGTCGAAGAAGAATTGCTTACCCGGCTTTGGGCCGATAAAATGAGGGAGAGCAAGAGCAGTGAGTCTCTGTGATAAGGATCAACCTGCAATGCTTGGTTAACCAGGTTGGCTGCAACAGCCAGCTGCAAGACAGAAAGCTCTAAGGAAATACGGCACCAAAATAAACACTCTTAGCAAATCTAGCAAGAAGGCAAAACAGTTTAGAAAATACGGTATGAAGATCTATTCTGTAGCACAAAGGACTAAATTCCAAACCCCTTAAAAATATATCACGTATCTTGTCTTTACCTCTTTACTGATTGCATGATTAAGAGCAAGTTGACACATCACATCAGCATCATTCGGGTCTAGATCCATTGCCCTAGAAGAAGCAAATTTTGCAAAATGAATCTCGAGTGTCAATAAGTTAAGCAATTGAAAGAATTATCGTCAAGCAAATAAGCAGTCTTTAATGATCTAATAAATGATAAAGTAAGACTGCAAAAGTAGAATATGTGGCAACATTATACACATACCTTTCCAATGCTTCTTTTGACTTTCTTCTTAGTACTTTTTCTTGATCATTACAAGACGCTGAAAACATGAGAAGGTTGATAAGCGCAGAGCAGGTAATGCAGATAATGCAGATAAATTGCAGATAAATTAAACACTCACTAAATTAAACACTCACTAACAAGCGGTGGATGAAATCTAAGTAGTATTGGAAATAATTTACTTCCTCTTTCTTTCAAGGCAAAGTTACTTAAATAGCAGAGCAGGTTACATATCACACCAAGCCTTCTTCAGCCAAAGTGACTTTCTGGTGCTAATGGTTTCATAATCTCTACATCAACTTGGACACAATAGTGAAAAGGGAAATTTTCACAAGTATTTGCAAGGAGCGTCATGCCTAGGAATGTCACGGTAGCAGAATCAATCCGAATTAAAGCAATCAACAATACAATAGCTCAGTATGTCGTTCATTATTATCCGGTGATAAATCAAACCTTTTGAAGCTAGAGCACTGTAGCATATTCCAATTGCGAAATGGAAGAGTGATTTTGCGCTTGGCTCATTAGCCATTCCCAAACCTTTGTTGGCGAAGTCAATTGCATTGTCAAACTAAGTAAAAGATACAGAAGTCACTCATACATAAATGCAAAAAAAACATAAACATTTTATTAGAATGCATTGAATTGAAAAAAGGCTCTGTCTGAAATGTATTAGTTGTTACATCGATGTTGCATTAGCAAAAAAAACTCTATCCGGGTTACGGCTTCAAAGCCATGTAAAAACAAAGAACATCATAACAAGCGACAGCTGCGTATTCGCACTGAGTCTGCACAGAATGCAAAAAAATATCCTCGCAGGTAGTTACTAATTGGTTACTAATAGTTAAGGATTGCATGCATGGGATACTGTAGCCATAAATTTCCAACATTAAAGAATCGATCATCCTCCCGCTAGCTACCATATAACGTGTGGTATTGTATTTTCGGTTCCCTCCTTCCCATTATAAATAACAAAGGAGATAAATCTACGATTTTTGACAAAATATCCAGATAGAAAGAAGCTAAATTGTGTTTTAATAAAAGTTTATGATAACAGACTTGCATCGATATACTTTATCCATGATTATGAAATAAAAAAAGACTTCTTACTTGATACTGCTATGAACAATTGAATTGAGCACATTAAATTAATAATATTTTAAAATTCTATGCAGCATTCCTGGCAATGTACTGTGTAACGTAAAGAGACCAATCCAACATGAAAAAATAGAAAATCTGGGAATTTATCAACAATGATGTGCTCTTGCCTGAACTTACTTGGCCTTAAGTTAGAGCATTAAGACGGTTGAGTAACTGAATATTTTTAAAAACATTGCTCTTTAAGATGTAAAATTTCTAGAAATACGAAGTCATCTTTCAACTCGATACCTGGTGCAGATTGTTAATGCAAACTTTGATGCAATAAAGAACTACATCTTGATTATCCGGCTGCAGTTCATGACACCTCTTGAGAACTACCAAGGCCTTTTTGTACTTTAGCAACAACAAAAAAGAAGTAAAAACATTAACAGAGCGATTCCGAAAGATGAAAATAGGAGTAAATTTTGAATTTATTATGAAAATATTCACTCATGAAATACATAAACCCTTTAAATGAGATATATAATATAACATGAGAATGGCAGAAATGTTAAAAAGTCTTACGTATAGTGCCATTCTCCCTAAGGATTGAGGGAAAGAATCGACTTGCAAGAGGTCTTTGATTCCAGCACTACTTCTAACTCATTATGATATACGTACATCAGGGTTTACACAAAAGGATTTGAAAGTAAATTAAATAAATCTTTCAACAATTGTCTGGTAAATTGAACAAAAGATGAGAAAAACATCACCGCAAAATCTAAACGACTTCTCGATTTTAAACAAATAAGGCTTTATTCTTACAAATGAACTTTGTTTACTTAAGCAAGGCAATGTTATGGTGGCATTTTTCTATCTCGTGTAACCATGCTGAAATTTAAAACATCACTTATTTAAACTACTCTGTTTTTTACTTGTTTTGAAAACTTAAGATTAGAATATAACTAACAAATCTATCACACTTCCCAGAAACCTAAAAATGCTGGATTAAGAAAAGGGTTCTTACATAAAGGCTTGCACGTGATAGAAAGGTCCCCCCTCCCCATCTCTTTATTTTTTGTGATGGAACAAGAACGAAAACATCTAGACCATTAGCCACTTATTTGAGTCGCAAGGAACAGCTAGCACCTCCCTACTAAGCCTTTGATACTGTTGTTTGGGTAGCAAAGTATCTATTTGATACTGCGACTAAACTTTTACTAAACCAATTTCAGGAGTTGGTATTGATTTTAGAAAAATAGTCCCACTATGGCTTATGATACATTTATAAAAAAAAGATGCGTCTCTAAAACGGACGTCTTGACTTACCCTCTGATCACATATCAAAGCCAAACCATATTGAAACCAAAGACTAAACTCCTGATATGACAGCTTCATTCCCCTTTCCAGGCACTATCGGAAATCAACACGCGCTTTAAGGATTGTAGCTTAGATTTAGTTGAACAAATGCGATAAAAATAATAAATGTACCAGCCTGACTTCACACAAACCATAACAAAGAATATCTGATGGTGCATCTGGTATTCATTTTAATTATACTTTTAACAAAAATCCTGAAACTAAAACCAGTGCCAACTAGAACCTTATAATGGTGGTGCTTCCTTCGAATGTCAAATAAGAGTTGAATAGTTTTCTTTAGAAGCCATGATTCTAGGAACCAACTTATATGAGGTTTTGAAGCTATTTAAAACTCAGTGTGGGGAGAGCTCGGTGTTGATTGAAGAATTTACTTGAGCGTATATGGACTACCGAGAACTGAAACCTGGTCCAGGTTTTCCAAATTGCTTTCATTTTTTACGGAGGTGTAAAATTGTTATAGGATCAAGAAATATTTTTGGCTACTTGCAGAGCAAAGGTTTTTAAGTTAAATTGGTAGTTATTATTGTTCGTGGTTTTCTAGAAAAATCTAAAAACAGCTACATAAATAATACGCTATTCTGCTGCTGCAAATATAACAACAATTTAAGATAGCAACAAAAAATAATTTTCTTTCTTAGCCTCACCCCATGACAATCTTACCTACGTGTTCAGTTTACAGGCAACAAGCCATAAAACCGAACGCAACAAAGTTGTAGCTTAATCAGCATAAACATGATTTTTTAAGACCAAGTGAGATAGAAAAACTAAAATCAACTTCGCCTTGAGTTTAAAAGCGATTCCTGATTCTCCTTATTGCAAAGGGGTTCTAAAACTCGATGAATATACTCCGTTTAATGCATGAAGTCATCAGGATAAAATTGCGAATTGGGACAATTAAAATCGAGCATGGCAAGCCCTTTTCTTTAAAATCGCCATGAACATGCACACCAAAGAAAACCTCAAAAGATTACCTCCAAGAGGAAACCATATTGTTTCCTTCTGGCTGTCGCAATGCAAAGTAAATCGTAAACTGATCGAGCCTCTGCGATGGTCTGTTCTCGTGTCACTCTATCTTTATCAAACAAACTAACGCAGCCATCACGAAGGAGCTACAAAAACAACAACATTTCAGTTACTGGCCAAAAAATAAAGCTAAATTATCAAATTTCAATTCATAAACACATTTGGCTTTCTCGAGTCTGGAAAAACTTTTGAGACTGGAATACCTACCAACGCCTCGCTAAGCAACAGAACTAATATTGCTTCTTCGAACTCATCCTTTGGACAAAATGCCCTAGAAAGAAAAAAACCACACTGGAACCTTTGAACATTCAAATAATTAAAAACCGAAAAGAATTAAACATTATAGCAATACACGGGATTCAATACACAGAATGTGACAAAGAAAAAACGGAAATACGTATAGGATGCTAATGTGCTAAAGGCGCTAACGTGCTTCAAAGCCATGTAAAAACAAAGAACATCATAACAAGCGACAGCTGCAAAAAAATATCCTCGCAGTTTTCACGACTTGACAGCGTGCCAAAGCTTGGTACGTGCCACCCTGACTGCCTGCCTGCCACCGTGCCTGCTACCGTGCCATTTTTTGCCACGTAGCAATGCCTCATAATCTTGCTTGTGCCAACCTGCCAACTCGCCATAAGTATTTACGTAACAACATGCAATTTTTCTTACATGTTTTTCATGGCTGAAAAAATTTGTATACTGTTTTTGTTATAAATTCCAATCATTTCTGTTACCTTTGGGTAGAAATTGATTTTTTTGGAGTTGCCCGAAGGCTTAGATGTCTTCAGCTTGTCACTATTTATCGATTTTAGTCTAGAGCTGGTTCATATAAAATTAACTCTCAAAATGGCAAGTGGGCACATACCAAGCATTGGCACGTTTGCACGTTTCGTTCGTAGGGCGCGTAATTTAGCAGACTTCAAATATGACGCTTTGGTTTTCCTTTAAGACAGTGCTTCCTTTGTTTTCATTTCTAGATTTGAAAAATTAATTCAAGGTGCTTGGAATCATCTGTTTCTCTCTTTGTACATACTATATGAAGGAAGAGTTTCAGATATTTAAAAATTCATGCTATGATTTCTGTGAAGCGAAGTTCCCCGTTGTAGCAAACATCGAATATATCACAGATAAGTTTTACCCATCCTTGCCAGCTGCCGAATTCGATCTACCGTAATCTTTGTGAGACACTTTTGGGGTTGATCTTCCGCTGGAGGACGACGACAGAGTCCTTTCTTGGTATGTCTTGAGCGTCAATGATCCTGACTTGGTGCGAGTCTCGTTTTGCCACATATGAATCGGAGGTCGATTATAGTTTCCCTCACATTGACCAAACAGTAGAATGTCAGCAAGATTTAAGGCAAGAATCTTTTGAAGAAAAACAGCAGTTTGTAACATTTCAGAAAAAGCCATTACGACATCTCATATATCAACAGATAATCCTATAAGATGACATATTCTAGAAGATGAGAGAGAGCGAATAGCTGATAAAACATAGATGATTCGAAGTAAGAAGGAAGGCAACTGGACTTTCAATATAGCCATGTTAATGCAGCTAATTTATATATACAGCAAAGCACGGCTACTTTGTAATACAAAGATTCAATATTCGATTCTCAATGCGGCTGCTTACCTTTCTCAGCGGTGTTGTTCCTCTTGACTCAACAACACGGAGAAATGAACGGTAATAACTAATGGCTTCATACACATTCCTAAGATAAAATAAAATTCAATGCAATCAAAAGATAAGAAAAATATACAACTGAAGATTGTTAACACAGTATAGCATAAGAGCACATTGAGCGTCGAAGGAATTGGAAAAGCGAATATTAGCATATGTAGACAAGCAACAATAAAGCAAAACAAGGTTATTGGTGTAGTTACGTATGTGATTTTGCAAAGAAAAAGTCGTCTTCAAATATTCAGGAAATAATATTCATGGCAAGATATTAAATTGATTTAATTGCTCCAAACTGACAATAGGCTATTTGTCTCCCAGGAAGCTGAGCTGTTGGTTCATGCCATAGAAATAGTTCATGCATACCTTCCTTTCATTGAACTCAAAGTAAAGATAAAAATTTGCATGATTTCAACAGCCCTTCGGACAACTTTTTCCTTTTGTGAAGAATAAAGTCAAAATTTGGCCTAATATCTGCAGCACCACCGCGTAATTAAACAACAATAAATGAAGTAACCGTAGCTTAAATCCATAAGTTGATATATTCGATATAATTCTAAAATTTTCCAATGAGAAATGATAATGATAATAATAACACAATTAGGCATGAAAGCTGACAATTCTCAATAAACCATCGAAAAAAAGAGACAAATTCAACAGAAGATGAAAACCTTTGCCTATATGCCTTGATGAATCAGAAATTAAAAATCAATGAAGGGTTGCCATACCCTTGTCTAAGCTCAATTTCCACTGGTTTCACGAACGACTGGACTAGATCTCTTGGGAGAACCTTGATTCTTGGCATCTCCAACGACTTCTTTAGGCTTCCAGTCCTATTTTCGTCGCAATAAAGCCATAAACTGATATCAGCTGAAAACTTATAAGCTGCTAGAACTTCATTTTCTGATCCTGGTCTCGTCTTCGCCAACATGACACCTTCAATGAAGAGCACTCCTTACATCAAATTAAAAATCCACTGATCCCTTTATTTTATTCATTGTAGAAAACATATCTACTAGATTTATATAACTGCTAGTCTCCTACTTTAGAAACGAAAATAGTATTTCTTTTGGTTGATTCTTGCAGAGCCAGTACTCCCTAAGTTGAATTTTCATCGATAATTCAGGGGACAATGCTTTGTACCAACCGATTTTATAATGACTTTAAAAAATGTCTTTCAAAGATTTTTCCAGCTAAAGCACCCAAAAGTATCTAAAGAAGACTGGCCCATTCAACGCAGCGTTGGTTCATGTATGGTTGGCAAGTACAAGCTTCATTCATAATAACCACATAACCTTTCGCAAATGGAAATACACTTGAATTCATTAGTAAAAAACATAAGTTAAGAATATTAGATAAATGGATTCTAATTACCGAAGTCATAATTTTTCATCATTTATTCATGTACCAATTAGTGAGGTGAGATGTCAATCCACCTATTGCGTATTAATATCTTAGTACAATGATAAATCTAAAACTACAGAAACCTTAATGAGAAAAGCACATTTAACATCAGGTTGTTTGATGATTCAAGGGATAGATGTTAATGGTAGTAACGAAAATTACTGTTTACTGAAACTGTTGTAAAATGCTGTATAAGCAGATCTGTACATGGTTGCCTAAAGATCGCATGAAGAAACCCAGAATAGCAACTAATAACTGTCCTGTTATATACAACAAATAGCTTGTCAATGGTAACATACCTATATAGATTTAGAATATAAACCTAACAACAAGTAACCAACCCTTATAGCACAATGCCTGTGCAGCCAATAGATGACCTCGCTTTGAGAGATCTTCAACATTGTTCTGTGTCACACCACTCTCATCAATAAACTTCAAAGACTCTTCAAACTGGTTTGCAATGAAATAGCATTTACATAGAAGCAAAAGCAGCTCCACCATAACAGGTCCCTTAAAGAAATGCATTTAAGTGAATTTTTGTCTTAATGCTTTTAGGAAAATTACCACGCATAAAAATAGCTACAAAATTGCATCTATACTTTGACATCTTATGCAAACTTTGATTGTCTTTGGACAATGTTGAAAATAATTGCTATAGCTTTTATGCAAGGGCTTCTAATTTATTGGGTCTAGAGAAAATTCAGTTGATTGCATCTTTTTTGTCTTTGGCGAATATTGATTATGTGAAGAAGTAAAACTGATTTATGAAACCAAATAGAGGATATGTTTACTGACAGAAAGCTTCAACATAGATGGTACTCTTTACAATGTCAGCTTTAGGAAAGATGAATCTTGTTACCTGTTTTTACTTATCAGCCAGCTTTTTTAGCATTTTATTTCATATGATGGGTACGCATGTCAACATGATATTTTACATTAATAAATGGCGACATCTCAATATTCAAAGGACAAATATAATCTTGAAAAAACATCAGAATTTGATTCAGTATCAATCAAAAGACTTTGCCAAGTTTGCCAAAAACTCAATAAAGTCTCAACACTTTGTCAAGTCTATCAAGACCTCAGTCAAGACTCAAGTCGACCATTCTATCGCTAGCAGAAAGAAATGCATGCAATTTTCATAGCTTTTGTTCTTTAAAGATCTGAAATCATAGCCTGATATAAGGCAACTAAAACAGCACTTTTAAAACACATAAATTGCCTACTTTAGGTCTGTAGCGTTATCAGTTAATAAGGTCCTGGACAAGGAAACTGAAGGTTGATTCCAAGTTTTGAATTTTTCGTGATATTTGACAAAGGAGCAAAAGTTTTTTTAAAGCTTTCAAAAAAACATGTAAAACTTTTTATTTGTAGAAACTTTTGATCTGTTGTAAAAAAGTCAAGAAATAATTTTTGCTAAATGCAAAAAACAGCTGGTTTTTATCAAGTTCTGCTGAAAATTTTTTGCCAAGCTAAAAATTGTTTGCCAGGCCTATTTTACTATAATAAAATCACTACATGCAAACTGAGGGTTTGCTACATGATACAAAGAGTGTTTGAACTCTACTTTACCCACTCAAACTAGAAATTTGGTTTATGGTCTCTAATTTTCAATGGATAAGCTACAGAATGTAAAACTACACACCTGCAATTGTCTGTATATCTCTTTATAGAGGTGTAAACTTTTTCTGAGTTCATCAACAGCCTCATTCAATGGCTTTTCTTTTAGAAAGTCTGTTACCACTCTACTTTTGTCTTTATTTTCAGTAATATATAACTCAACTGTTGACTCCCCATTTACAAAATGTTTAAGAATGGTGACATCATCTGCAGTATGGAACACACGATTTAAAAAAAATAAGATAAACAAATTTTACGTTATTGCATTTGAGTGGGAATCAGATGAATTGTCATACTAGAGACTAAATCAACAGCAGAGAACAAATCAAGGTAGGGATGTCATAACAAAAGGTCACCTGTCACCACAGGAAATTTAGAGGCCCAAGCATTGAAGATATCCTTCATGTCTCCCCATCTTTCATCCCAACGTGCCTGTTGCAGTTCTTTTGATAAGGCAAGCCCCTTATTCATGGTGCTTGTTTTAAGATAAACAATCACTTCTGCCTTTGGTTAATCCTCTGTCTTCTGCAAAATAAAATATTTGAAGATAAACATTAAGTGCTAGGTGGGTACTTTGGACTATAAATTGGTGTTTCATACAGTTTCTTAAGGCTCATAAATATAGTTTTCCTGATGCATAATCCTAATGAGATCTGACATCAAATGACATCTCTTGAATCCTCAAGCAATGAAAACCACCATGCTGTGCTCTGATCTGACCTTGTGTCAATTTGTAAAATGTCATGCTTTTTCGAGCAGCAACAGGCTTTTGAATAACAATACAGCAAACATACATATTACATACAAAATGCCTTTATTCATGCCCACAGCATTCTAGGTGTGCAGAATATGGCATGCCTTCTTCCTTCTCCTATCAAATTGTAATTAATTAAGTACCCCCACAACTAGGAAGCAAACTTTAGCCCTTTTTCTTGTGAGTTTGCTTTGGTGTGAAAATGACTCTTGAGAAAAAATGCATCATCTGAGCATTTCAACTATTGTTTCAAAACTAATGCAACTTCAGTGCATAAGTCCATACCTGTCAAGGTTTATGTTTTTGCCGCGAGTCTTGCCTAAATTCGGTGATAGGTGAATTTTTTTGCGTCTTTGTCTCCACTTCCAATGTATTTCTAATTAAGTGTATTGGTTTCAAACCATATGAAATATTTCATAAGAGTTAATTCTGAATATCATACCTCACAGTGAAATCAAATTCAGATGCCAGTCAAATTCAAACAGTTACAAGATGACCTTCAAACACTTGCAAGTTGGGAGCAAAGGTGGATTATGGATTTTCATCCAGATAAATGCAATGTACTATCAATTAGTCACAGTAAAAGTCCCATTAGGTTTGAATACACTCTGCATGGACACAGACTGGAACATGTCACCAGTGCAAAGTATCTAGGGATGACTTTTAACATAAAACTCACATGGGATTAGCACAATTACCAGCAAAGCTAACAGAACTTTAGGATTCTTGAGACTAAACTTGCAAGTAATTAACAAACAGTTGAAATCACAAGCCTACCGAACAATTAGTCAGGACCAACTGTTGAGTAAGCGTCCACCGTATAGGACCCCTGTACTAAAAATAACATTGATCAACTCAAAAGAGGTTTTTATAAATATCGTTATAAAATGGAAATTTCCATTTCGTTTGACAAATCATGGTATTACCTGTGAAAACTAGCAATGGAATAGGAAATGAGTGTGCAGGGAAGGAACAACAGATAGCGTAGAACAGCAAGAATGAGAATTGTTACATGACACTGTAAAGTAAAAATCTTTGATAAAATGAATACACTCATTTTTAATAAGAAAAACACTACAAGAAACAAAAACTGGGCAATCGGAAAAAATTATAAAACTTTCAGAAATGATTCGTTTTTGCTTTGACTCTTCAACTGGGTGAGAGATAAACGGTTGCAATTTGTCAAAAAAGAACCAATCATTCACCCTTTCTGAACCCTCTTGTTTTTTTAGATCCACATTTCTGCTTCCCCTTATGCTTTGAGTTTATGTGTATGTTATCCGCCAATCTTTATCGTGTTATTTTTTTACTCATTCCATGCTGTATATTGGAATTTGCTATACCCTTAAGGAAATGGAGTACTAAAAGTTGACCTTCATTTCTGATAGAAAAGAAGTGTATTTCAATTATTCTTTCTTGAAATTTTAATGCCAATCAACTTAATCTTCCATTACACTGTACTGCTCATTGTACTGCTCTTTATCTTTTCGGATAAAGATGAGTTTGGTTCAATAAATTTGCGTTTCTACAAAAACGTTGCCATGTTGCAAACAAAACTAATGATCTCTTCTGTCATTTTTTAGAGTAGCAATACACACAAAATTGTCTTCTTAACATTAATCATGTAACTTACAAGTAGACAAGATAATTTATTTTTTGGCTTGTATATACTCAAATAAAGATAGATAAACAACAAATTCTGCCAGGGCTAAATAGCCCACGCAGCCAAACCAGCAGGGGTCTTTGTTAGCCTGTGAGCTTTTTATTCCTAGAGAGGCCTGATAAAGACATAGAGATGCAAGACTCTGCATGCTATACAAGATTCATGACAATCTAATAGCCTTTCCTGCAGACTGCCTACAACTTCAGCAAAGACACAAAAAATTCTGGCACCAGCTGGCTTTCCACACTTTACACCGATCAGGAAACTACTGTAAACATGTATTCTTCCCATGTACAATAGAGGAATGGAAACCTCTTATAAACAAGTGTAACAGCAAGTCAAAGTATTGACTGTTTTAGAGATATAGTGAGCATAGTTGACTATAGTTGTGTGCCACGAATGCCATCAATTTAAATACATAAGGACATTTTATTATGAAACTCTAGAAAAACTCTTTAAATATTGTCTTAATAATTTTATACAAAATATTACAATTTGAAACTGAAAGATGTTCCTCATTGTACATTTGGTGGTTCCCTCTTTGTAAACTATACTATTTTTCATCATGTAGTGTTCATACTGGGTGATGTATTTTTGTTAGTTACAATAAGTTTTCATTCTTCATTTGTTTTGAAATAAACAAATATTGAAACGCCAAAAATATGATCAAGATACCAATGCGATCAAGACACTCCTGTGCAGTACAGTTTCAGTTTTCCGTTTCAGTTTTCATTTTAAAATTCACACTACATGCAAGTTCCGAAAACCGCAGTAGCTTGACAGTTAGCTGAGTCTGAGGCATGAAAAAGATGCATTGTGTAAGATGGTCTTCAATTATTCATCTTAGGAATATTCTTTGACAATTTTAAACTGGATTAAATTCATAAGGCCTAGCATAGATAGAGACAATGCTGGATATAAAAATATGGTTAGGCCTTACCATGACTACAAAGTTTTGGAAACTGGCTGGTTGACCATTCCAATTTCTCGCCACCTCTAGACTTTGCACGAAAACATTTTCAAATCCTTGTTCCTGTTTTCATATTGCCACTGCCTCCTTGCCACTTTCCTTCGCAGCGTCAACACCTGCATAGCAATACAAAGTGTGCAATGATATAAAGCAGCGCTCATTAGAAGTAATCCAATCCAGAAAACGAAAAATCCAACCAACAGCGGCGCCAAGGGGGGCTAACAGGCAGGTACGACCCGAAACCTTTGAGTATGGGGGGTGTTACCTGATTTTTTGTGAAAACGCCTTTATTACCTGAAAAGATTTTATCCGCTTCTCAAAATTTGCATGAAGTATTATAATTATTATTATGTCCTAATAAATTAATTCTCTTCCTCAAAATTTCAAGCTTAATATGTCAGTCATATCTCTCTCTGCAGCAAAAAGCGAGCAAGAACTGTCAGCTTTCTCAATTTTTCTTCGCCTGTCTTGCTTGTAGCATATTTTTTTAATCTTCCTAATGGGCTTCAGAAGCAAACAGTTGTTGCTTCGTGAAAAAGAAACGGTTGCCAAATCTTTGGTTACTTTGCTCCTTAGTCTTCCTGATTTGGATTCTGTCTGGCGCTGCATAAGTTTCTACAAAAAATTGCTCAACCACAAAGTTGGGGGGGGGGGGCTGTCACACCCGTCACTCCCTGGTCGGGACTTCTCTATACTGACCAGGATCAGCTTCGCATTTTGTCGAAATCTAATGTCAAAAGTTAATGAAAAATTAAGAACAAGTTAGACTGAGATACTGTTAATGTAATTAAACAATGTTGAGTCTTTAAAAGGACGAAATTTTTGCGATTTCGGGGTGCTTTTTCGGTGAATTTTCAAACTTGTATGTAAATGAAGAATGTCTCACTCTCTTTATTGGGAGGTGAGACCTGAGTAACTCCCTAGAGTACACCACCTAGCAACTGCACTGCCTTATACCCTAATAATTAAAGAACAAATTTTCTAGCCTCAAGTTTTCGAGAAAACATTGTTTGGTGAAACATGTTTTATTCATTTGGTAACCATGTTTTACAATGTTCTGCGGTGTTTTATGATGCGTTCGTTTGACCCTTACAACATTTGTTTTATTCACACAAGGGCAGTAGGTTAAAATTTGGTAATTGGAATGCGGTAACTGTAGAAAGCTTTGCCACGTCCGCCAAGTATTGATACTGAATGTTTAGAAATTGCTATTTTAGTCACAAAAACAAATTACTTATACCACGTATAAAACGAGTCACGAAAATAGGAGATCCTTTAAATAATTTGTAAATGATTTTGATTAAATCGTTTCATAAAAGCGACATGAATTGTACTATCGGCACAGATGAAACCCTCACATGTTTCATTTAGCAAGGTAAATATTAGCTCACCTGTATTCGCCTATCATTTATAAAGGCACCTTAAGCCTTTTTTGGAATGAAAGACACTTGAAGTTGCTTGATATTTGGCTCAGGTCTCTTCGAAATCAGCGTGAGATTGGCAATTATTGCAAAAGCCAGAAAAAGAGAGATCGCAGCCTCGAAAACAGGTAGATTTACTATTCTATTTGGTATTTTGCAGTAGAATATAAAAAACAATTCAATGATTTACAATAAAAACACACGTAATCTGAATCTATCTTGTCAAAAATAAGAACAAAATACATTTATACATTTTCAAAACTGCATCATTAAGTGTATCTCAGAAATATTTTGATTTTCCTGCTAATCACTTTAGGGCGTTTTTTAATCAAGAGTATGGCAGAATCCCCCAAAAAATAAGTTGCTTGAATTCATTAAGAGATAAATCATTTGCATGAAAAATAAAACATGTGTTCAAAATAAAACAGATAGAAAATGTTTTGAAGCATATCTTGTTTCCCAAGAATTGGAGTGATGAAGAAAATGTTTCTGTTAGCTTACGCTTGTATAGTCTTATAATATTATATTACAGCTTTCTGGTGTTGTTAGAACAAACAATTGAAAATCAATCATGTCGCAAACAATTGATCTCCTGATTTTGTCAAATCCTTTTAATTAAAAATCCTTTTTTCATAATCACTGCTTGTAATTTAAATTTCAAGGCAGCTTGTGGTAAAATACTGATTTTCGACCAACCATTGCAAAAATTACTTCACCTGAGAAACAAACTTATACTCAATGAATCAAAATCATGGCTAGCAAAGCAATTATGACTATAAAAATATCCAAAAAGGTGTCAATTTGAATTTTTAATTTGGAAAAATTTTTAATTTATATATTTATATGAATTCGGAGTTAAGCAAGATTCTTGATACTATAACTACGATATCATTTCCCAATCGATTATGTAGAAGTTAAATAGAATTTCATATATTTGGTAGTTGAATAGCCTCATCGTGAATAAACTCACGCTTCAGCCAAAGTGAATAAACTCATCGTCTCCCAGTGGTGAAGCTAGCAAAAAATTTTGGCGCTGCTGCATGAACTGAACCACGCCCTAATTCAATAGCTAATGCCCATAACCAAAAATTATATTTTCCAGTCGAGTTTTTCATACATTAGTATGAAGCAACTGTCAAAATGACATTATGAAGTATTAATGACTTTTTGAGAAACAAACCTTTCAAAAATCAATTTGTTTCTTTTGCTGAAAAGTTTGTCATGTTTTAAGTGTAGCTCAAGAGGCTGCTTACTTTTTTCAGAAATTTAATTTATATTGCGCAGAGCCTCTACGGATTTAATAAATTTTCAAGCTGTTGTTAACAAAATTTGACAATAAAAAGGGAACAGGGGTGTCTTATCAATGGCCAGGGGTGTCCTATGAATGGCCAGGGGTGTTTTCTTTACCCCGGAAAGCAAGCGATAATGACGACCCCGGGACCATTGCATAAAGAACAGCTAAAATGAAATTAGCTATATATTGTCTTAGTCACATTTAACAAAACTAAAAAACCTTTAAATTTAGTTTGCGTATTAATATTTTTTTACATAACTAAAAAGCAATAAACAAGACAAAAAGGTAAAATGACTCAGTGACTCATAATTTTGAAATAGGCTTGGGTCAATTCATCAAGAATATTTTTGTTAATCACATGAAGGTCTTTATCACCATACAATAGAAGGTGTACTATTAGTATATTTGAGTTACTGTTTATTTGAGGAAATGGTCGTAATAATTCTTATACTACAGCAAGAAGATTGCATATATGGGTTTCAAATGAAGGGCAAAGCAACAAAAAGTGTTCCGTATCCTCTATGCCATCGTTTGTTAGGCAAATTGAATTCACGTTATCTTTGAAGATGTGTTCGACTGACGAAGTGGTGGAATTGGCTCTTTTGTGTAAAGTGGGGGTGAGAATATTCATAATTCATAAATAATGGGGTGACATTATAAAATAGAAAGTTGATGATTGGTTTGATAAGAGTTTGTCTGATATAGTGAAGTACACTTGATTCATGCCACGCTTTATTGCTGAAAATAACTACAATTTTATAACATAGCAATGAATCACAACACCAGTCGAAAGTAAATTAGCGGTATAAGTACTCCTGAGGTGGTTTATCTTTCATACATGCAAATTCGGTATTAACGTAATATTGCCATCACCCGAAGCAGAGAGAAATTTCAAATGCATAGTGTATTGCTAAAATTCTTAAACTGGCCTACTAACTGTTTCAGAAAAATCAGGACCTCAAGATTAGCGTGGGATCCTTATATCAGCCAGCGGAACTGGGGACTCCTTGTCCAATAGAAATTGCGACTTTCTTTTTGTAAAGAAAAAGTCTCAAACGAAGAGGTATCTGAGACTTTCTTCTCAAACTTTCTGAGATTTTTGAGCTCAGACTTTTTACCTTTGTTGGTAACAACATTTTACCTAGTTGCTTTCATAATTTTTTCTTACTCAGTTCATCTGTTCATCAATATTCCACAAGACAGGCTAGTCAAGGTCATCTATTTTTATTTTGAAAAGTAGTCTTCATTATGGTCTAACATCAATTCAATATCTTGGTTCTAAGCTTTGGATTTTATTGCCCATGGAACTCCGGAATGTGTCATCGAAAATATCATTCAAAAAGCAACTGAAAATTTACTCATTGAACAAGGTCAGTCAATGATGCTAAGCCATTTTTGTTACTTGCACAAGTCCTATTTTGTTTTTTTTTCCGTAAAGCAACAAGTGTATTTATTGAAATTGGTCAGTTTTGGCCGGCTCCGGCTAGTGCCTGTCGGGTCGTATCCTTCAGACTCCTTGTGTGAGGATTTGTATTGTGACCTGGTGGTTGCTTGCTGGATTTAGCTGGAATTGTCCCATTATTCAAATCCAACCGAATTCACTTGAAATTATTCAAATGGGGGGGGGGGGGGGGGGGGGGGGGGGGGGGCTCTCTCCTCGCCTCGATTAGTACTGGAGTATTTTTATAGTAAACAAAAAATGTTATCTGTGAAATTCTTGGTCTCAGCAGGACTAGCAGGACCTTTACCTAACCAACTGTCGTCTCCCATTCTTCTTCCAAATATGTTTTCACATACGAGTCATCCCCAACCAATCAACTGAAGTTACTATAGTGTCAACTTCCAAACCCTTTTCAATCTCCTTCTCCGGCCTCTTTGAACTTTCTTCCAATCTTAATTTGAGCACCGCCATTCAAAACTAAAACTTCTAATGGACTTTTCCTTACAGAGAATAAAAACAAACCTCTCACTCAAACAAAAATAACTATCCCCCCCCCCATTGCAAATTACCTTGTTACGAGAATTTTTCGTCCTTCTACCCAAATGTCAGGGTCTGTAAATTGATTTGTTCTGATGAGAGAAGCATCTCGTCCAAAACACTTTGATGTTTTCAATTCCGGTTTTTAACTCTCATGGCATAAAATTTCACTTTCAAGAACATCTAAATGTACATGCAGCCTTTCCCTCTTACGAATTAACACTAACAATCACAAATACTATTTGCTCATCTTTCAAAGTCTATTGAAGAATTTCTCTTGTAAGAGTTAATTCTTCACAAAGGTCATTAGTGCTAGCCGACAATAACTTCACATTCAGGAGCAGATCGAGGTTCATTGGTGCCCCAAGCACTCACCAATCTTGGTGCCCCCTCCTTTTACCAATGACCCAAAGCTAAGAAAAGGGGAAGATGATATCAGGCTTATTGATTTTGATTTCAAAAGAAGACAGGCTATAAGAATCTGGGGTGCAAGAAGGGCGTTCTAAAGCGTTTCAAAGTTTACAAGCTCTAGGAAGGAAAAACGAATAAGATATCTTGAGCAATCAGGAATTAAAGATCAGATCTCCTAGTAGCAATGTGTATGGGAATAACTGTCAAAAAGGGTTTGGCTAGCAATACAACGCCGAAGAGAATGAAGTTGAAGAGATTTTAAAAATTGCAGTTGTTGATGAGATGAATAGTATTTTACTGCAAGCATTTAGATTTTGTAGAGAAAACATAAAAAAGATTTAGAAAGGCCAACCCAGGTATGAGAGCAATACACCAAGCAATCATGGCATTAGACCTATCAAAGATAATGCTGCCAATCCACCTAATTGCAAACCATACATATGGTGTTTAGGATGACGATGTTTTCTGCCAGACAAAATCAAAAACCTTAGAGGTGTAGGAGCTCACTCTTCAATTACCAAAGAAGTCAATAACAGAACACCAAACGTGAGCAGCATGAGCTGGGAAAGCTCAGGTAGATCATGCTGACCAAACCATTCACTAATTAGTTACTCAACAAAAGACCAAAGCTCAGACCAGGTGTGCTGGAACTCCTATAACACCCCCTAGACCCGTCACTGAGTAAATACATGAAGTTTCTCTAAATAAAAAAAGTAAAAATATGTACATATTACATATTAGACACAGAGTTCACAAGAAAATTGTGAATCTGAAATATTGACCCACAGATGCCACAGTGCAATGCGGTAGCAGTCCTTATTTTGGAAACCTGATCAAGAAGCAGAAAATTTACATCAATCTGTAATAGTTTTGTCGATTTCTTTTACATTTACTAGGGAACATTACCTGACCAAGAAACATAATATTTTTATCAATTTACATCAGCTTTGCCAATTTTATATAACTTCCCCTTTCTATCTATTTCTCAACAATGTGATGCCCCCTTTGATTGTGGTGCCCTAAGCACATGCTTAGTCTGCTCAATGGTTAATACGACCCTGCATGCGTTGATATAATGGTTCGTTACCTAAATTTGCACATTGCTGGCAGTATGCAAAGCAGGAAAAGTGAAAAGTTAAGTTAAATCCTTCGCCAGTTTTGATATTTCAGGACCACTGCCATGACGGGTGCGAATAAAAGTCTGTTTGGCATTGTTATCGTTAGTATCTAAATCAAGTTGCTTGCTATTGATTTTTTTTATCGGAGTTGTAGAGATAAGCGTGTTAGAGGTCTGGGAACGAGTACATGGCCTAAAAATAGCATTTGGGGGCATTCTAACGATGGGTGTGAATCTAAATCACATTTACGTGTTATGATTAGTATCTGTGACAATTTTCTTGTTATTGACGTCATTTTCTACAAAGTTATAGAGATAATCAATTTAGGAGTCTGGCAACAATTAAGCATTCTAAAAGTAGCATTTAGGGGCATTTTTCAGATTGGGTCCCGACCCCATCTTATTCAGCATAACAAACTTTGTAGTTGGGCAGATTTTCATGCTTTCATGACAATTTGCGCAAGATCGTCGTTTCAGAGGCCTTGGCTACTACACTAGCTATATATCGACAATATCGACACCAAATCCAAAAGGAAACATGATAAACATGTGATGACTCTTCTATTCCTTGTGATTGATGCTCATTCTCTTCAAATGCTCTTGCTTTGGAAAGTAAATTGGCTAATTTTAAAGCGCCTTTGCGGAGGGCGTATTCCTTAGTCGTTTAGATGTGCAACTTTGGATTATTGCAGCCTTGATTTCGTTTATTATTAGACATTTGATAATTCACAATTTGCGGCACGTTTACATAAATGAATTGCATATTGACGAAACTTAAATATTTCATAATCCACGTTTTTCTTCGGAAGAAAATACGTGTCCAACTTTCCGACGGCAGTTTGATAATCATCAGCAGCACCATCCTCTGGTATAGTGTCGAAAATTTCTTGAGTTTGTTGCCCAACTCGATACAAAAGCAAAACACGTTTACGTTTTGCATCGGTAATATCAAGAATGGCTAAGAGATAAGTCTCGAAGCGTCGGAGCCATGATGTCCATCGCTGACCAACAGAGCTGGGATCAGTAAACGGGTCGAGGGGCAATAAGGGAGCAAGATCAATACAAGCTGTAGCCATTTTTATGTTGAAAAATTTATCTCCAAATCTTTCAACCGAGCTATTCGTATCACTTACTTTACTTTTGTGGAAGAACATGGACAAACTCAGAACTACAACCATTTTGATGTATAAAACATTACATTTTTTTGAATATTAACCTGCCTGTTTATTATACGATTGTTATGGTCTTATTCTGTAACCAAGGCTAGCCATTTGCAAATTATTTAGGTATTAGATAGATTTATAATTGTAGTTTAATGGAATTGATCATGACAAATTTCCACTATTGTCTATGTAGTTAAAGTAGACATGTACACAAGTAGCTACAGAAATATATACATGCATCTAAATTACACCTTAAGTTACTATAGTTACAATGTTTTAACTGTATTTCCAGTATCAACAATGTTACTTTTTTATATTTTGAATAGAAGCTTGCCTGAAAAGAATGAAGCTCTAAGAAATCATTTTTCTTCAACAGCTTTCAGAATAAGCTTCTGTTCCAAGGATGTCGACTACCTCAAACAGTACTTGTGATCAAAACGGCCAGTCTGGCTTCAACGAGTCAACTTTCAACAAGACATGCGCTTCAAGGCAAATGGGATTTTCCCCTTTCTTGTCAACAGAAGCAAGAGTCTCTTTGATTGCTGTTTATTGCCTGATTTTTGCTCTTGGATTCCTTGGAAATGCTCTTGCTCTTTACATCATAGGTGCGTGAGATGCCTCGTGCTTCCATCTTTAGTCAAATTTTTAGCATTATTCGCCATATCAATACAATAATTCAGATTTACCGCCAAATTTTGATATAATTTAAAGTATCAAGAGACCTGACAGCTAATTAGATATTTTTGACTTTAAAAGGCTTTGAAAAAGCAAACATTTGAGTAAACTAAAGCTTTTCGTCGGACACTCTTGAAAGTTTAAAAGTCAGAACATAGATGGAAAGCTCTACGTTAGGAAATATATATACCCAGTTGTGGGTCGAAATAGGCCAATCAGAAACGTGAGCACATGGCTGTTGAGTTTGCCCAATCAGTGCCGCTTACCTATAGAGAATGTTACCAAAGGAGTCCTAAGGTGAAAACGAACTCCTTTTGTCTACACAATAGCGGTTTTTTAATGCTTATGTAGATAGATTCCAAAACTGCTAGGTGGAACGACGATCGGGTTTCACCAATAGTACAAAACATGTCGCCATTATAGTTTATGCACAATCTGAGTTTTCCAGTAAATGCTGCCCTATAGCAGAATCGCTAGTTTTAGTAGTACTTTTAGATCTGCAAGACCGAGGTTGCTGTTCTTTTTGGGGACAAAATTTTTTAGTTTATTAAATGGCTTTGGTAAATCTAATTACATTTCATATTCGAAGTTACGCTTAATTGCTGCGGATCTCATTTAACGATGTACAACACGCTGAAAAATTGTATAGCGATATCAAGAACCGATTCTCTTTTAGGAAAGAAACGGGAGCTGACTGGAGGAGATACGTTCATTCTCTCGCTTGCATTTGCCGATTTGCTGGCGTCTGTTTTTGCGCCAGTGCTCGTAATCCACGACTTGGTGTCCAATCTGAAATGGCAGCTCGGTGCAGCAATGTGCAAGATATTGCCGTCCATCTCACCAGTCACTCTCATTGTGTCGTCCTGGTCTTTGGTTCTGATTGCGATTGATCGTTACAGGTGAGCCAAAATCTGTGCAAAACATAAACTAGCAAAATAGAATAGCCTAATTACAAAGTTTAGTTTAGTTTAGTTTAGTTTAGTTTAGTTTAGTTTAGTTTAGTTTAGTTTAGTTTAGTTTAGTTTAGTTTAGTTTAGTTTAGTTTTGTTTAGTTTAGTTTAGTTTAGTTTAGTTTAGTTTAGTTTAGTTTAGTTTAGTTTAGTTTAGTTTAGTTTAGTTTAGTTTAGTTTAGTTTAGTTTAGTTTAGTTTAGTTTAGTTTAGTTTAGTTTAGTTTAGTTTAGTTTAGTTTAGTTTAGTTTAGTTTAGTTTAGTTCGGCTCGGATCGGATCGGCTTGGATCGGCTTGGCTTGGCTTAGCTTGGCCTGGTTTGGTTTTGTTTGGTTTAGCTTGGGTGATCATCAAATGTTATTTTCAGTAAAATAATCCTTAACAAATAAACTAGCTATAGGTGAATTGAACCGATCTAACATCTTTCTTTTTAGAGTAATTAAAAAGCCACTGGCACAACGAATATCTCAAAAACTAAAATGCGCAGCTGTGGTTTTCTCGTGGATTTTTGCTGTGCTGCTTTCATTGCCATACACCTTGAGCCAAAAAATCCACAACGAACATTTGTGCATTGAAGACTTCAACTTTATGGATCTCAAAACGAAAAGTGTTTACGTTTGTTTATGGTTGTTTGTCGGTTGGATTATGCCCTTGTTCGCGGTTTCAATCATTTATTGCCTCTGTTCGCAAGAGCTTCAAAGAAACCATTTTGGTAAAGAAACCAATGACACGACAAGAAAAAGAGCTATGGAGAATAGAAGGGTAGTCAAGTTATTTGTTACCCTTGTCAGCTTGTTCGCTATTCTCACTTTGCCCTACTCTGTGTTTTACATTACAATCCACTTTGTTTTGACGTATCTAAGAAAAGAGGCAAATTTTGATCTGATCTGGACATTGAACTATTTTCTTTTTGTGCTCACAAACATCAATAGCTGCACAAATCCTCTCATTTACGCTAAAATGCACAAAGAAATAAATAATTTTGCTGGCAAGGCATGGCGGAGAATCAGATGCATTGCCAAGTCTCCTGCAGATAACAGGTCAACGGAGGCCTCGTTTTCTGACATGAAGACTACCATTCAGTCATCTCATTATGGAAAGAATAATAAAGAAGTCGAGCAAAAATTCACAAACAAAGCTTTTAGTGATTTAGAGTAAAGTGTTGAGAATCAAGATGCAACAACGTTTTATGACTTAAATGTCTATTTCAAGTGCTAAAAGGTTTGGTTGGTTCTATTTTCACCCAGAGAAGTCCGAAAACTTTCACTTAAAACTGAGAATGCCCCGAAAATTTATCACTCGTAAATTTTCTTAAACTTTTTTGATGCTGACAACGAATTGTTGTGAAAGATTGCAAAATCAAATGTGTTTGCTCATATCTCACCAAATAGATCTATCGCCGCTCTCTTCATTCCAAAAATTAAAAAAACTTATGATCGAAATTACAGAAGATTACAGAAGATAACTTCAACTATATTCAAATGCGATATCCATATCCCTTCGAAACATACAAATGTTTCTTGGCTTTAGATAAAACGTAGATTCTTGTGTTTTGCTGACCACCAGGTTCGCAAGGAAAGCAGCAAAATGTGTTTAACCTGTTCTTTAAAATGCCAATTCGCAGCCTTTTGAATAGTTTCTGTTGCAAAGGATAATAGAATATACTAAAACAAAAGGAAGAGTACTAAAACGACAACACTGACCATTGCAAGTTCAATAACATTTCACGGGCGTACACAGGATTATACAGGATTATACAGGATTATACAGGATGATGTTGATTGGTCGCAATCTAATTGTCAGCAACGAAATAAAATCTAACGCAGCAAACCAATCTCTAACTTTCTGATGAATCAAGAAGGTACACATTTCACGTTTAAGACCGTCAATTCTATCTCTGTTGAAAAGGTTCTGAAGGAAATAAAAAATTTGTATGGCTTTCGTTCAGATGGTATAGCAAGCCACTTCATCAAAATTGTTTTTCTGATAACAGGTATAGAACAGTCTTGACGGCTGTATCCAAAACTTACGAAAGAATATTTCAGGTCAAATTGCTCATTTTATGGAAAATACTTGGTCTCCTTATCTTTGTGCCTATCGCAAAAGCTATAACACCCAACATGCACTCCTTAAATTGATTGAAAAAGGCAGAACTTTTCTAGATATGAAAGGGTTTGCAGGTGCAATTCTAATGGACCTTTCAAAGGCGTTTGATTGTCTGAATCACGAACTAATCACTGCAAAGCTTGAAGCTTACGGTTTCAGCAAACTGTAATTTCCGCCTTTGTTGTTTCTCAGTTTAGCTACTGTACACTTGTTTGGATGTTTCATGATAGGTCGGTTAATCAGAAAATAAACCAAATTCACGAGAGAGCTTTCAGAATCGCATGCATGGATAGCTGTTCAATTTTGGAAGAATTATTGACAATAGCAGATACTGTGTTTATTCACCACAAAAATTTGCAGTTGTTTGCTACTGAAATTTTAAAAACTCAAATGAATCGGAATCAAAGTTTCATAAAAAAAATCTTTGTAGAGAACTCCAGACACCCTTCATCGGGGCAGAAATATTTTGGCACCAAAGCCAAACACGATAGGGTAATGAATTGAAAATGCAAATTTTCTTGAAGCGAAGATATGGCATACAATGCCAACTTCCTTAAAGGGTCCCAAAAATTGAATAGCTTCAAAAAAGACATTAAAAACCATCAGTTTGATTGCAACTGTAGATTGTGCGAACGATTTATTAGAAATTTGAAAAGGGGTTTTTATGATTGTAATTGATATCCTTTTTGTTGATAGATTTATCCTTGTAAACAATAGAAATCCTTAGTTATCATCAACGTGTATTTACGTTTTGGTTGGTATCTATTAACAAATTAATTAGCTAGACAAGAAACCAACCTAAAATAAAGCAATTATTACTATAATTAATATTGCAATTATACGCAGCATTGAAAACTGGATTAATACAGTATCAAGTTCTGTCTCAGATCCTGACATGGTGATGACTCCATCTGAGTTTCTTCCTTGTTTCTTTTTCATCTTTTTCAGCATTTTCCTGATTATTCTTGCAGATCCCAGTAAACATGCTTTCTGGATGATTTCAAGTCCATTTCTGTAATCAAGTTTTTCCAGTTTCTTCTGGAGTCTTCCTGTCACCGAGCCTAATGCACCAATTACAACTGGCAATATGACGACTCTCTTCACATCCCCTCTCCAAACTTTAAGAATTTCGTATTTGAGATCTGTGTAGGCATCAACTTTTTCCTTTTCCTTCTTCTGTATTCTCGTATCAAATGGACACGCAACGTCTATTACATAGCACAGCTTTTCTTTTTTTTCAATGACAGTTATGTCAGGCCTGTTGTGCTTAATTTTATGTTCCGTTTGGATGCTGAAGTCCCAAAGAATTTTCACTTCATCATTCTCAAGGACATTATCATCTTAAATAACCAAATTCTGGTAGCTTTGTCCCCCACACTGAAAAAAGTACTTCTTGCACAGGTGCCAGTGTGTTGCTGCAGCTATCTTGCCTTCCCCCATCTTTTTTGTATTCATTTTGAGCAAGTTGTTTGCATTCTGACAAAACATGTGCAATTGTCTCATTATCCTCACTACACAATCTGCATTTTGCTGATATGTTCTCTTTGCAAATATTTCTCCTTATCCAATGTCCTATATTTTCTTTTCTTTCTTCATTACTACGACTGTAACAGTCTTATTTGTAAAAGCAGGCTAGCCAATTACAAATTACTTTGTAATAGTAGTTTCAACTGGAATTCAAAATGAAACATTTCCATTGTTATTATTATATAAGACTTTGATACAGTTGACCATTAAACTTTTCTGAATAAGATGTGTAATAACGGAATCGACGGCCTTGAACACCATTCGTTGAGCTCGTACTTAGATAAACGCAGCCAGTTGTGCAAGGACAACGGTTTCACCTCTGATCGAGATGAAATCAAAAATAGGGGTATCTCAAGGCTTTGGATAGCTTCTATTTTTAGATACATTAATGACCTAGCATTTGCACTAAAAAGACAAAAACAACTTTGTATGCCGACGATACAGCAATTTAATTTTCTTCAGATAACAAAGAAGAGATTGATGATGTCGTTAATGTGAAGTTGCCTGCCTTGAGAAATGGCGACATTTTAATACGTTTTCTTTGGAGGTTGTCAAGAATATGCCAAGGCCATGAAAATAGGACGGTTTTAAAGTTGAGGTAAGTTCTCGAGGGGGGTAAACTAAGCCTAATTTTTGACGGAGACGTGCAATTTTGATTAAAAATTTGAACCCATAATTCCGCAAATGTCTGAAAAAATGTGATCCATAATTCCGCAACATGATAAAAACTATGCCCATAATTCCGCAAAGCAAATAACATTTTTAAAGCACATAAAAATCATTAAACAAATTTTTCAATATTACACATATTTCATAGTTTTATTTCTAACTGGTCATTCATCTTGTTAATGCTAAATATCCCTCCTTATAATTTTGCAATACTTCCAAAAATGGTATCCATAATTCTGCATGTCTCTTCAAATGGTACTCATATTTCCGCACATATCAAAAAGTGATACCGATAATTCCACACTTTTCAGAAAAAAGGTACCCCTAAATAATGGCACGTCCCTGTATCTTCAAACATGTCAAGTTACCCCCCCCTACCCCCACCCTCGAGGGTAAGTTGATACACCAATGATACTGCTGCCTCTTATTCAAGCAAATGGAAATGAGATTGACCTTGTTAAAAAGCTAAGTATCTTGGTCTCATGATTTATGATAATCTAAAACGAGTAAGCGCTGTTTATTGCGTACAAAAGAAGATCTCGAGAGCTTAGGACTTTTAAAGTATGCCAAACAATATGTGCAAGAGAACACACAAAAGGAATATCCATCGTTGCTCTGTCTGGGGATGTTGCGGGGTAACCAAGTTGAAAAACTTGCAGAAACTACAGAGCAGAGTTGCCACGATTGTCACCAGGAGCCCTTCTGATACTCCAGCTGTTCCGCTGTTGTAGCGGCTTGGATTTGTCATAATTGATAAACTTGCAACAGAGGTACATACTTCATGCTAGGTCAGTCCCGCATTTATGCTTTTATTTGTTCTTGATTCTCTTTAGTAAGGATACATTACTTTGTCGTCTGTTATTTTTTCATGTGTTCCGGTAGCGTAATATGTTACATGCCCTTTTAGCCGACACAGTTTCCCAGCGTTAGATTTTTCATCTCCTACTTTCGTATCTATATATACATCATTTCATTTAATTTAATTTAATTTAATTTAATTTAATTTAATTTAATTTCATTTCATTTCATTTCATTTCATTTCATTTCATTTCATTTCATTTCATTTCATTTCATTTCATTTCATTTCATTTCATTTCATTTCATTTCATTTCATTTCATTTCATTTCATTTCATAAGTTGGTAGCCTTTTATCACCTGCAATACAGAAGGGCTTCTTCTCAATCTTACTAAAGAGTGGAAAGCCGCACTTGATGATGAGAATTATGGGAGATATGATATTTTCTCTTCGTCAAGTCCAGGAGAAGTGTCTAGAACAGAACATGCCGCTTTATGCTGTATTCATCGACTTCAGCAAGGCGTTTGATACTGCGTCTAGAGAGGGTTTGTGGCAAGTACTCCAGAAGTTTGGGTGCCCAGAGAAATTCATAAAGCTGACTGCAGCTCTCCACAATGGAATGCAAACCCATGTATTATACGGAAATGCTCAGTCAAGAGATTTTGCTGTCTCCACAGGTATCAAACAGGGCTGCGTCTTGGCCCCAACTCTTTTTTCACTCTACCTCGCGGCTATGCTGGAAGTAGCTTTTAGGAGCACCGAGGAGGGAATGTATATACTGACACGACACAACGTGGATCTACGACAGTGCCATCATGGCTCACACTGCTGAGGGAACCCAAGCGTTAGTGGCTAGGTTTGAAAGTGCAGCTAGAAGCTTCAGTCTTAAGATAAACATCAAGAAAACTGAGTGCCTTTAGCAAGCAAGCAATCTAGAGGCGCCTCCGCCCATGCCCTCTGATATTAAGATCAACAATGAGAAGCTTGTTCAGAGTAAGTACTTCGTGTAATTAGAAAGCACCATCTCCGAATCAGCCAAACTCGACAAAGAACTGATATATAGGATGAGTAAAGCCAGTGCTGCCTTTGGTAGACTGCAAGAGAGGCTATGGAATAACCACCATGTATCTATCAAAGTTAAGTGCAAGGTATACAGAGCGGTTGTCCTGTAAGGCCTACTGTATGATGCGGAGACCTGGACAATTTATCGGTTCCAAGTAAAGAAGCTGCATGCTTTTATGATGAGGCACATAAGACAAATAATGAATATTTCATGGCGAGACAGGATAACCAATGTTGAGATTTTGAGGAGAGCTGGACTGCCATCCATGGCCGATATGCTTATCACAAAATGTCTGAGATGGATTGGGCATGTCCACAGAATGGGACGCGAAAGCCTACCGAGACAAATCCTCTACTCGCCGCTAGAAATGGGGCAGCGAAATCAGGGTGGACCAAGACTCCGATTTAAAGACGTGACAAAGAGAAATATGAAGTGGAGGGACATTAGGACGCAGAACTGGCAAGCCAAAGCGCGGGATCGTCAATCATAGGGGACATTAATTCAACCGAAAACGTAGAACAGTCATCGTTGTCAACCGACGGACTGCAAATGTTGATTATGATATATGTATGTAGAAATTTGTCTTTTGATTCTTCCGTAGCACAGTGCTCAATACGTTAGCACGTAGAGCGTGATATATCATAGAGTTGAAGAAAGTAAAACAAAAGCTTGTAGAAGAGGCAATTAAGATTCATGGTTTGATGTCCAAATTTCAACATTTTGGTAGTTTCTCAAAACCCCTTGGCCGCCACATATTGATTTGGCCGAAGAAGCAAAATTTGGCTGAATTCTGGCCACATGTTTCAAAAAACAGCGAAAATGCAAAGGAAACAAAAATTTTTGCACAGATAATATTCAAAACTTTTTAAAATAATTTCAAAAATGGAAATGATGAATGATGAAACAAATTAAATGATAACAGACAGTTTTTGATAAAAGCAAGTGAAAACTTTTGTAACCTACGAAGCAAATTTTGATTACGATATCACTTCCAATAATTAGCAAAAATTTAGCTTTTTTGTATACTGCGTTTAGCTGGCTGCATTTGGCTGCCAACCACAAAATATGTGGCTGCCAACCATTCCAAACAACTGACAAAATTCTGAAGGTGGAAAGTCACAATTTACCCTTAAATGAAACCATAGATGCTGGTGTAAAGTGTTTTTATTTGGTAACGATAGACAATGGATCAATGGAAACAATGATTTTTTTAAATAATATCAGAATTATGCCAGAGTTATGCTCGATTCCAAATTATGCTAGATTCTATGCTAAATGACGATTTTTGGCCAATATTATCCTAATGTTACGCTAGATCAGGTCACACTGGCACCAGCCCATAATGGAGTGGCTGGAACAGGACTAGGGGGCTTGCCCCTGAATTTTTTTACGGCCACGCCCTTTGAAACACCGGAAAACACTCCTTTCAGAAAATAATCGCTTCTATCTGTCCTTATTCATAAACATAACGATTTAGAGAAGATGTTGATTAACATAAAAATACGAAACCGAGTTAGATAAAATACAAATTTATCATTGACCACACAAGATAAAGCACCATCAAAAGAACAAAAACGTGTTCCCAGCAGAACTGCTACTAATGCGTTTGTTAGCGTAAATTTTCAAAACATTTTTTAACCCATTATTGCAAAAAAGTTGGGGAGGACTATAGTCCCTGTCATGCAACATTCCCAATTGAATTTTCCTCCCAGCTACCACCGAGAGGCTTATCATCGTTCATCATCATTGTGTCTTGAAGTTAAAGCTGTATACAGAGTCCATCTTACTTCAAAAAAGCACACAACAATATCATAAAGAGCAATTGATTTTTCTCCGCATGTACTGAAGCTTTGAGTTCTGAAGTTTCTTAATTCTTTTTTATTGTCCATTGCTTATTTCTTATCGCAATTTTCTTATAAAATATGAGTGCAATACATAAGGCTGGGATTGGGCATTCACGAATTGAAAAAATGTTCCCATTTTTTTCTTAGGCATTTTGATTGGTATTCTGTGCTGCACTTTTAAGAACATGCATCATTTACAAATCTACGGTGGCCCACAGGTGCCACGGCAAAACTTTCTTTCTCACGGCAAAACTTACTTTCTTACGGCAAAACTTTCTTTCTCACGGCAAAACTTACTTTCTCACGGCAAAACTTACTTTCTCACGGCAAAACTTTCTTTTTTCACGGCAAAACTTTATTTCTCACGGCAAAACTTTCTTTGAATTTAATTTATTACTTAAATTAAATTTATTTTGAAAATTTTATCTCGTGACATTGGATTCTCGTCGTCGTATTGCTTTGTTCCTTTTGCTTTTCTAACATAGGCGTAGTAGACAAGGGTCTGGGGAGATAAGGGGGCTGTAGCGGCAACTGTAGTTTCTCAACACTGAAAAGTTTCCAAAAAAGCGATAATCAGGCAGAAATCTACCATGATTCAGTCAGGCAAAATTTTCATAAACAATGGATGTTGTTTGTTGGGCAACAACTTCGATTTTTTCTCCCCTTATATTATGCCCATGCTTATTATTTCATTTCTTTATTCATTGTTATTACTATTATTCGAAAAATTAAGTACCTAGCCATCAACCCACCCTGTGAGTAATACGATATGATATGATATTAAACACAATACCCAATTTATAGGTTTTTTACAAGCCACAATCGAGCGTGCCAAGTGCACGTACGTGATATTTTTGCACGAATTTTATGTGCACGCCAATTTTCAACGAATTGATCTTTTTCACTGCTTTCAAAACAAAGGAATCAAAGACCTTGCATGCGGTACTGTTTCATTGAGATAGGCATATAGGCCTAGCCTAGCCTAACCTAGATAAATTTTAGAACATTTCTGGGCTGTCTTTCTGCAAGAATTATCAAGAGAAGATGTAGGTATTCGTAAATTCTGCGAAGTTTAAAACGTCTAAAGCATTGATTAGATCTAAGTATCACGTACACAACAACACGTGAGGAAAGTTTTGCCGTGAGAAAGAAAGTTTTGCCGTGAGAAAGAAAGTTTTGCCGTGAGAAAGTAAGTTTTGCCGTGAGAAAGTAAGTTTTGCAGTGAGAAAGAAAGTTTTGCCGTGAAAAAGAAAGTTTTGCCGTGAAAAAGAAAGTTTTGCCGTGAAAAAGAAAGTTTTGCCGCGAGAAAGTAAGTTTTGCCGTGGCACCTGTGGGCCACCGTACAAATCCACACTCTCTACAATTACAGTTCCACAATTTTAATTTACAACTCCACAAAGTGTGTCAGATCCACGCTTATTTTAGGCCCTGCATACTATCATAAATTCATGATCATGTGCAATTCAGTGTTTTTCAAGAATCATGCTTGACGTTTCGCTTGTAGTTTTGTTATTTTAAAAGAAATACAACTGTTATAGGCCAGTACTAAATAGATTTGAAAATATGATTTAAGCTAACTGCAAATATTCTAGCAAAAGATTCGCTGGGCTTTTACTGTCTGAAAAGAAACCCTCTACTTAAGCGGTGCTTTCTCTTTAAAAATAATAACGCTAAAGCAATTTCTTGGTTCATAGCGAACCTTTTCGGCACATACAAAGTATTTAAAACAAAACTCAATTCACGATATTAAATTCAATTTCGACAAAACTCGATTCTTCTAAACCAGGGTTTGCTAGCGAATGCTTGCCAATCTGCTCTTCTCTATGCATGCGAACAGAACCAGCTGCTTGATTCATAAGAAAAAGCCTTTTCGGTGCATTTCAAAGTAATTAAAACCCAACTCATTAACCACTTTTTAACAATGTATTCACGAATCTCTGCTCTTTGGCTCAAGTTCTTTCTTTCTCACATTTTCTGATAAAACAACATTATTGGTTTTGAAATTCGTTATCAAGGAAGTTTTGGCAATTTTTAGCATTGAAAGTCTGTTGCATTCTATCAACTCATTTACTCTCACTGTTGCACAGTAAGGAATCCTAAATACCAAAAATGCGAAACACCGCGCCATTTGGAGCGCCTTAATTTTTCATCACGAAAGCTTATGAATTACAATCATACTGCAGCGAAATTTTGTGCCTCTGGAAATTTTGTTTCTCTGGAACGCTGTTTGTAATTTGAATGTATTGAGAACATTGGTGAGCAAGCATCAAATGCATACAAGATCATCAGTCCTTAATTGCATACCAACTTTAAAATCTAAAAAAATGTCTTTGAATATGAAAACATGCTCACATCACCTTTTTCTCTGGAACATATTATTCTCACCAGCTATCACCCAATTGCAATCACTTCTAGGATCCATCTACAAAAAATTAAAAACCACTTGCAGAATGCTAACACTGAAAAGGAAGATCTTAGAAGCCAAGGACTTGGCAGAGAAAAAATGCTTTACCAAAAAGCTGGCAAAAACAGTGTTGAAGTTTTTATCGCTAATTTTTAAAGCAAATTTCTATCATAAAGCGTTTGTGCAAATGGAAATTCTCTAAATTGGGAATAAATGAATTCATTTGGGCCTCAATTCTACTGAGTAACTCAACTCCACAACCACTTTTAATCTACGACTTTTATAAATTAATTTCTACAAAGTTTATCCACTATGAAACTCAATATTTATAATTTGCGTTTACTTTTAAACTTTTGGCATTCGTCTAAACTCTTTACCTGCATCACAAAAGACACGTTTCTACCCTCATTGCTTTAGCAATATATGACAAAACAGCTTCTTTCCTCTTTTGGATTCAAAATTTTTATGGAAAATCTCTAGAAGATTCCAGCCATCAGTGCTTTGTTTATTATCAATTTCCATATTTAAGATAAATCATTCTTAGTAATTACTATTTTGTAATTATTTCGATTTATATGTAGTAAAAAGACCATTAAAAGTTGAATGCTGCAATGTCGTTTTATTTGTTTTTAACCTAATTTTTGCTTGTAAATATTTGCAAGCAAAGTTTATGATGCAATATGGGCCCTTAAAAAGCGGCACAGCGAAATCATTAACTTGTAGTAATTAGAGTCGGCAAAGAAGGGCCGACAAAGAAGGTGCAACTACATTCATTGACTTTTTAGGAACACCAACTGGCTTTTCTTTGATTCTAAGTGTAATTTGAATCTTAAAAGAAAAGAGGCAATTTGAGGAAAGAAATTACTTATTTACATTTGGCATCTTTCGATTAGAAAAAAATGTGTACAGCAGCTCAGCCAACAAATGCTTAAAACAAGTAGATTCAAATATTTACAAAGATGATAATGCTTCTATTCGTATCGTTTATTTTTACCCAATTAATCAAAGTAATAAAGTTGGTCAACAAAGAAAATGAAGTTTGGTTTAAAAAGGAAAAACCAGAGAATACGTTGTCAGCAAAGGCTTTGAATATTCACGTTCAAGATGTCTGCCAATACTTCCAATAATATTTGTGATCAAAACGGCCAGTCTGGCTTCAACGAGTCAACTTTCAACAAGACATGCGCTTCAAGGCAACTGGGATTTTCCCCTTTCTTGTCAACAGAAGCAAGAGTCTCTTTGATTGCTGTTTATTGCCTGATTTTTGCTCTTGGATTCCTTGGAAATGCTCTTGTCCTTTACATCATAGGTATGTGAGATGCCTCGTGTTTCCATCTGTATCACATCATTTATAAGCAGCAGTAAACTGTTTAGCATTATTCGACCATATCAAGACAATGATTCATTATCAGCTAAGTTTTGACTGCTGCGAATCTCATTTAACGATGTACAACACGCTAAAGAATGTACAGTGATATGAAGAATCGATTCTCTTTTAGGAAAGAAACGGGAGCTGACTGGTGGAGACACGTTCATTCTGTCGCTTGCATTTGCCGATTTGCTGGCGTCTGTTTTTGTGCCAGTGCTCGTAATCCACGACTTGGTGTCCAATCTGAAATGGCAGCTCGGTGCGGCAATGTGCAAGATATTGCCGTCCATCTCACCAGTCACTCTCATTGTGTCGTCCTGGTCTTTGGTTCTGATTGCGATTGATCGTTACAGGTGAGCCAATTGGTATATGTCAGCAATTTTGAGGAATCTGAATTTATGATACCCTTTTACTCGATTAGATAATCTTATCAGATATTTATCAGAAAATAATGGGGATCTACTGAATATCTCATGTCGACCTATTCGTGTATTATAGATATAAATAATCATAAAGGGATTGTCTTGAGATTTCTTCATTTATTTGATGAAAAATGTAAGGATGCTGCTATGTTTCAGGAATGCAAGATCAAGGGGCAAATCACTCTAAAAGAATCTCGTACACCTTCTGTGAAAATCCTATTGTTGTATCTGAAAATCCCCAGAAATCCATTTATTTTAAAATGGCTTTGAAAAAAACAATCATTTTACAACATACTAAAAGGTTTTTCGTCTGACACTCCTCAGAGCATAAAACGTCAGAATCAGGGTCGTACGCTATTTTCACGAGTGAATTGCCTCTTGTACACAATGAGAAAAGAATTCTTGGAGTAAATAAACTGAAAGTGATTGATTCTGGCCTGATAGGGTTCTGTTACGAGAAAATATAAAGTCATTCGCCGCAGAAAAGCAATCTTGAATGAAACAGGCAACGATGTCTTATTCCTCCGGTTCTCATTTTATAACAAATTTTATCAAGTGCACATTTGTAACTTGAAAAAATAAATTTTCATTGCAGATGCATCCCTATTACATGTTAGGGCAAATAAATAAATGACACAATTATTTATTAAAATGAACTTTTTAACAAACAAAGTGACAAAAATTTTGATCGATCTTATAACATTCTTTCTTAGAGTGATTAAAAAACCACTGGCACAACGAATATCTCAAAAACTAAAATGCGCAGCTGTGGTTTTCTCGTGGATTTTTGCTGTGCTGCTTTCATTGCCATACACCTTGAGCCAAAAAATCCACAACGAACATTTGTGCATTGAAGACTTCAACTTTATGGATCCCAAAACGAAAAGTGCTTACGTTTGTTTATGGTTGTTTGTCGGTTGGATTATGCCCTTGTTCGCGGTTTCAATCATTTATTGCCTCTGTTCGCAAGAGCTTCAAAGAAACCATTTTGGTAAAGAAACCAATGACACGACAAGAAAAAGAGCTATGGAGAATAGAAGGGTAGTCAAGTTATTTGTTACCCTTGTCAGTATGTTCGCTATTCTCACTTTGCCCTACTCTGTATTTTACATTACAGTCCACTTTGTTTTGACGTATTTAAGAAAAGAGGCAAATTTTGATCTGATCTGGACATTGAACTATCTTCTTTTTGTGCTCACAAACATTAATAGCTGCACAAATCCCCTTATTTACGCTAAAATGCACAAAGAAATAAATAGTTTTGCTGGCAAGGCATGGCGGAGAATCAGATGCATTGCTAAGTCTCCTGCAGATAACAGGTCAATGGAGGCCTCGTTTTCTGACATGAAGACTACTATTCAGTCATCTCAATATGGAAAGAATAATAAAGAAGTCGAGCAAAAATTCACAAACAAAGCTTTTAGTGATTTAGAGTAAAGTGTTGAAAACAAAGGTGTAAAGCAAAGGGGTTTAGGGCAAAGCCTCTCTTGTATGTACGGATTTAAGCGGCAAGAATTGGGGGTTGGGGTGGTGTTAGATAATTATTGGATTTTTCTGCCACACCCTTAACATGACTGGAAAATGATGGAAACACCAAATTTAAAAATTCGTCTTTAAGGTTTAGAAGATTAGAAGATAAATAAAGTGAATTTTGCATTATTTTGTTGCTACTGACCACCAAAAATTGCTTTTGCCGAATCAAAGCAAAATTTACCAAAGGAAAATTTAGCCTTTATGGAATCCTGTAAGTAAAGAAGGATTAAACTTTGTCTAGTATACTTCATTTTGAAAAATCGTAACTATTCCAAAAGCTTTCATTAGTCAATAATAGTAACTAATGGGGTTTTTTCTTTAATTTCATTGGCTACAAATGGGGGTCATTTTGTTTTTCTCCAATTAGAGTGAACTGCTTTCAGTTATAGTCATATTCTTTTCAATTGGATACGTTTCAGTTCAATGGGAAACTAGAGAGTTTAAGCACAGGCGACGATAACGATACCGATAACGATAGAGTCTACTGTCATCGTTTCCGTTATCGTTGTGGTATAAGTACATTAAGCATGGACACCCGTAGGGGACTGCAGCTCTACCGCATGACACACTTCCTTGTTTGGCACGGAAGTCTAGTTTTGAATGCCCCACAAATGTTAAAAATTATTTAGCTAAATAAAATATGACCGTAAAAATGTTAATTAAGTTCTTGCTGTCACACACAGCTTTGATGTTATCAATGACGAAGATCTTCCTCTTCTGTTGGAATTACAAAAAGGCCTAAATTTATTCTGAAAGTTTCATACTCCATATTTGCACTATGAGATAACTGATACCGAAAAAGTTCCGATTTGAGAAAATAGATTTTCAATTTAAATGAATGAGTTTATTTCCAACGTAGAGTTATTATATACAAAATACTACAAAGTTAACAAGAGCGTTTCTTCCTCCTTTTCTGCACAGCCTTCCTTCTTCCAGCCCTCGTCTACCAAAATTTTGCTGTTAGGTCATCTCGCATTAAAGCTCATCTCATCTTGGGCAAATGACAGTCATTTGAAATGTCCACTAAAACCTTGAAAAAATTTGAGAGATGGTGAATACACGTTCCAGCCAAAACACGAACAATCTTTTTCTCAACCTTGGTAGTTTAAGGTCGAAACCCTCAGAAAATAACGACCTTGGTCGCTTGACACAAATTTTAAAGAATTTGTTTAATATTAGAGTAATAAAAAAGTTTAAGTTCTCAATCTTTGTTACCGAATTTGCAGAATTTTTATTGAATTTCATCGCTGCAGCCTATGTGAATCTTTACAATATAGGTAGGCCCAATTCCATCATGAAAATAAAATTATGAATCGCTTTAAACAAACAAGAGAAACAAAAAACTCACCCGCATGATTTGAGGCTTGATAATGAAGTGGCTGATGAAGCTATTTCCAGTTGAAAATCCTCATAAAACTCAGCAAAATCCGTCACCGAATCCTATCGTTGTCACAGAACGATACATCAGATTTCTATCGTACTAGAACCATGAGTGAGAACGATAACGGAAGGGGAATCTCCACTGACGCCTGCGCATTAAGGTAATAAAGCCTCCTATCGTTATCGTTATGGTTATCGTCGCCCTTGCTTAAACTGCCTACTATCTCTCCATTGGCCGACAACTAAAAAATCAATAGAGAGTGCGGGAAAATAACCGACCCGAGCGAGACTCGAACCCACGACCCCTGACTTTGTACGTACAAAACATGCCAAGAATTGCATTTACTGTTTATTTTCAGTTTTATCTACATATTGTATATATTGTATAAATATAGATGTATATTGTATTATTATAAATTGTTATTCTAAAATGTAATCTTAAATTAGCCTCTTGCAAAATGCTTGAGAAATGGGGGCTTTTAATTTAGCTCAAATGCATGGGGCATTCTTTCTCTTTGCAGCTGTACTTACCTTATCATTATGATGTTTGAAGGTTTTTGAAGAGTTTTGCTAAAATGGATGCCTATGAGCATTAGAAGGATTTGGCCAGAAGTTATTTTCACGTTTTTGCTGAATGGGGAATTGAATCGAACCTTTACTTTTCTTTCTCTGTCCAACCCTGCCTACGCATACACGATATCAAGACCCCTAAAACGGCAATTTTCATATTGGAGTGCCCGTGGCATTCTTGGAACATCATCTAATACTTTATCTGGCATGCTGCAACAACTCAGTTACGACTCCAATGAAACGAAACCTATCTTGATGAAACAAATGAACATTCCTACCCACTGCAACTTGTATATTCTGTCATTGAAACTAATCATGACTAACCCTGAACTGATAGATTTCTAAATATTGTTAGCAGGTCGGCAATGCAGATAAGCCAGTTATATGATGCCTGTAAAAGAAATTCATATAGTTGAAAATTTAAAACATATTCAATATAAATGAGGGGCTTAAAAAGATAATTATGTGAATAGTTGCAATTCTTATAACAATTGAGATGTACACTTGTTTTTACTTGAAAATTATCATTGAGGTAAATGAAGCACTTCGTTGATAAAGCATTTTTTGATTGGCAACAGTATAAAAGCTGTTGACCAGCAACGTATTTACATAATACACTGCAGGTTTAATTTACAAAATGGTTATTATCTTGGTGCATAAGCATGTAACATGCACTTGCCAATTTTTATTGAGAAATACAGCATTGTTACAGTCAAAAAAGTGTATAGTGATATGTCCTATAAAATCAAAACTGGCTCATTCTTTCATGGCTTTCTGAAATATTATCTTTATGCTGTTTTAATTATTGAAGCTTGAACAGGGAAAAAAACAGAAAACCAGACTATGTACTAGTTTTAATGATGTTCTTAAAGTGAAAGCAAAACTATTAAATAATTTTTTCATCTCTAGAAATTTACATAGTATATTCAGAATGATTGCATCATCCAATTCAAAAAGGGTAGCATTAACACAGAAAAAGGTAGAAAATCTACAATGTTTAACAATATTGTTCAAAGACACGTGTCATTAGTAATAACAATCTTAAATATGTACAAATCTACAGTGTTAAAACTTTACACCAAACATCCTTATTTTCTTTCTTTCCAATATAGGATTAGGGGCAGCCAGGTTGGAAAATATGACGTGTGATTTTGGCTATGTGTAGCTACGAGCAACAGCACACTACTAGCTGTGACATGCAAGCAAAGTCTTTTTAGGCAAAGCTGCAGGCTCACAAATACATGACTACAGTACAACATACATGACTTCAAGATTGCTATTGTGGGTCAGGTCAAAGGTGCAAGAAATCTAGGGTAGCTGCAGTAGGCCACAAGTTTTCCACCCTGGAAGGGCGTTAAAAATTCAAATCTGGAAATAATCATATTAAAACCCCTTTAAGGCAATGGAAGCTATATTTTTTGGCTTTCTCGCAATGGTTTGCGGTAACTAAGTAAATCAATCCCAAATAACTTGACTCAAACATATTGCATAAATGAAACAGATTTACTACTTTTCAGCTCAAAGTTGGCACTGGTTAGCTGCCAAAAATGTTCATTACTTTAGATCACTACTCTTTGTAATCCTTTTTGTCGACAAGATTTCTTTCAAACGTAATGAATCCATCAACTACTCCACCCTCCAGAGACTTTCTGACATTCTCATGAAATGATTCCAAGCAATTTGCATCTTCAGGGCAAAAATATGGGCTCAATGGGTCATCAAGATTCGGGTTTTTCAACAGAAAAAGCAGTCCATAAACGCAGTGCATCAAACAATTATATTCAGGGGACCAGTCCTCGAAAAGACTCAGACAAATTTCACCTGACTCATCAATATTTGGGTGGTATATATGAGTTAAACATCTGATGTCTGGACAAATAGTTGGATAACTACGCGTTACTTTGAATAAGAAATCGAATTTTCCAAACCGATATGGTCCGCTGTCCGGCACTATTTTAACCACAAATCTCAGTGCATTGACTTTGCCACTTTCGTCGATATCTGTGATTTTGCATTGTCCCTCGGTTAGAAATTCTACATTCTTAAGGAGGAAATGCAGTTCTTGCATAACACCTCTTCGGGACTTCATGGCGAACTTCTTTGGGTTGACAGGTAAATCAGATGTCGATTCCAGAAACTTAATTTGCAGTAAAGATGTAGGATGATTCTCGGCAGATTCGCCTTGAATTTATCGTTTATTCTTCTGCTACAAGAGCATCAACCAGGCTCATACAAAAAATTTCTATGCCCAATGGAACATCGGAGCAGAGTGTAACCAACAAAACTAACTTGAGCCAAAAGCTGGTATGCATCGAAATACTTCATCTTGATTCCAAATCACCTTAATAACCAAAAGACTCCATTTTCTTCGATTTGCTGTTGGAGATATCAAGTCTCCTTTTATAAACAACCTGATGAGCGATTGCACCACCACTGTGAAAACGAGGCAGATGATGATGCAATGACAAGTAATCTTTCAGGGGAGCTCCTCCAGGACATCCCCATTGGTAGAAAAATCTGTGCAAGACTCGTTTTGTCCGGCTGAATTCTAAAGTTGATCTTGCCAGCAAAATTTTCATTTTTTACATCTAATTTGCCTTATTTCAAGATGGTGGTGCCTTATTTTAATATTAATTTGTTTTCATTTTTCTAAATGGCGAAGCTAGAGGTCACACAGGTCATGCTAAGCAAGATCAAAAAAGAAGTATAGCATTGGAACCCATGTTATCTGGGCAATTTCCCGTGAGAAAAAAATTGAAAAAGTAAGCAAAGCTACTTGTTTATACTGCAATCTTCTTTCAACCATTATTGACTAGAGGTTGTTTTGTTTGTAAAAATACCACTATTTGTACTGGTAAGTACTATAGATCTGAATAAGGAAATAGGGAAGGGTTGTCAAAATTGCATTTATCTTGTTATGTATGCTTTATATAATATGATGACCAACTCTCCAGAACTGGCTTTGCCACTGATTTCAAACCTATCTCATGCATTTTTTCAGATTCATTCATAGGAAATTACCCTCTTCGAACCTAGCACTGTCCCCTTACAAACAAAGGATGTGGTGTTATGATGAGGCAATTTCTGTAGCCATAATGGATAGCACTAAGATGTTTGGTTGGCATGAAGAGCTTCACAAGATACTATGCCCAAATGACCAGGAAACATTACTGAACAAACCAGGCATATAGAAACTCTGTTAGGAACAAATAAAAAATGATATCGAAAGGCTTGAATTTGATCGAAGAAGCCATACAAAATTACTTTCTAAAAGCAGGGGAAGGCTCTCAACTCCTGAGACAAATGTGTTCATTCTGATAAACAGTTTCAAATAGCTTGAAATACCCAGATAAGACTCTTTCTTGTCAAATACACTGAGCTGATACATGGCTAAAACAAGGTTTGGACCAAATATAGAGCAATATTTTCCTTGTGGCATATAAGGAACACTGCAAACACTGATCAAAACCATTGAGATTGTCCAAACTACAGAGCAATGACAAGTATTTGGAGAAAAGGAATCATACCTAACTTTCACACGATAGTAGAAGAACCTTCAAAATTTTTTTCACTAGAGTTTTACTTCAGTAGAAGAACTACTTCACTAGAGTAAAACACAGTCAGTGTACGCGTGCCAATGTAAAAATATATTTTTTTGCCCAAAGTACAGTCAGAAGCAGGCAAGAAGGTATTTTACTTTCAAGGAGCAGAAATAAAATGCGAATTTTAAGATTTAAGACTTTTTGTAAAAATCCATGTATATTTTGGACAGGTCCTTTATTGATAACAGCATGTTGTTGCTGACCAAAGATAACCTTAATAAATATGATATTATTATTATTATTATTATTATTATTATCATTGAAACAAATGCAACAAGAAAACACAGCAAGTATGCTCCTCTCTTATCTGGTTTACCGAGGCAGTTCAAATGTGTCTCCTTTGTTAATCTTTCTATCAGCTCTCTTGGCATCTTCCGCAATTCCTGCAATTCATTCTTCAAAATGTGTGACTCTCTCTCCATCAATCAGCAACAGAAACGGTATCTCATTTCAAAACTTTCCGATATGCAATCCGTACTACGTACTACATATTTTGTTGCAAAAATAAGCCATGGACAAACCCGGAATTACATCCTTTTTAACTCTGGTTTTTTTTAAGTTTTTCCTTTTACCTTATGATTGTCATAGTTTTTATCTTGTAAAACCAGGCTAGCCAATTGCAAATTACCTTGTAATAGGGAGATTTGTAATTGTAGTTTAAGTTGAATTGAAAATGAAATGTTTCCATTGTTTTCCTTCGAGTCCCCTTTAGCAAGCCCAAAGATACACTACAACAAATAAACATACCTCTCTAGAATTGATTACAAATAACTGCACGGCCGCTTAAAGGGAATCAACAGATATGAAAGTGCCTTTGGCCATCTGTCAATCATAAATAACCTATCAAAAAGCTTGTTAGTCTCATTATACTCACTGATTGGCCAGTTGTTGATTGACTGATAGCTTCAACTACTTTGGCATCTATTGATTGCCTTTAAGATGTTAAATGAAAATTCACAAGGAGTGATTCAACACCATAATAAACTAATCCAGGGTAAGTGCATGGTTTTATCTTAATACATTTAAACAACAAATTTGACCAAAGAAATGAACAATGAAAATAAATTTTACGACTAGCATGGATTGACATTTACAAAGCAGTAGCTAAGAACAATGGAATATGAAGAGGAAATATGAAGTGAATTCCAAAGGAGAGAAGCTCCAAAGGGACCAATCTTTCAATTTCTTTTCTAAAAAACCTTTTCTACAGATCTTATAGCTACATACGCAGGTATTAAAAATCCAAACCCTCAGTTCCAGTTCTCAACTTTTGCACTGGAATGTAGCATGATCGATATGGCTTCCAGTATCTTTATTCAGTAGCTCACAAAGAAAGACATGTCAATATACTTAAGAAGAGCTGAAGAGAAAAGAAGACTTGCATAGAAAGGAGCAATTTAAACAAAGTAGGCCATACACAAATTATCTTCATCTAATTTTCAATGAGCTTCTTTGAAATAAAGAATCTTCTTAGGTAGAAAATTTGCCATGCGGCAAGTCCAACTAGACAAAGCATTGAGAACACACTGAAGTACAGCACCCGTGCATTTGTTGATTCTGAAAAGAAATAAAAAGTTAACTATAGATTAGGTCTAGATCTAATTGTGAAGAAATTTCAGATATAAAAATACTTATTTTGTTTTACCAGTTGGTTTTATTACTGCAAGTTAGAAAATTACACAACAAGCTTAACAAGCAAGTTAGAATAAAAATAAAAAGGCAAGTTTATAGAATCAAAACTACATAAGTAAAAAATTCTTTAAAGCCCTGAGAAGCATATAAAACATCAGGTCAGAGCTTATAAAAAATGTTTCCCTTTAATAGAAAAATAAATTTTACATGAGTTGATAGACAAATTGCCAGAAGCAAGCAACCAATGGTTGGACAGAAATTTTTGAATGCAAATGTTCCACCAGGCCTGGCTGTTTGAGGAGAGCCATAGCTCTTGCTCCTCTCCAGGCTCTCCTCAAACGCTGGAGGGGAGCTACAGATTGCTCTCCTAAATTGTTTTAAAAAGCAAACTTGCTCTCCTTGAAATCAATTTTTCCTTTGTTTCTATTCTTATAGCTCACCTGAATACTACTAGGAGAGCTGTTTACTGCTCTCCTGTAAAAAGTCTTACGGCCAGGCCTGGTTTCACTAAACAATGAGGAAGTCGTATCAGAAGTAAGAGAAGGAGTTTTTTGACATGGAATGTTCTATCCCTATCAGAACAATCTATTGCCATCTTCCTCTGAAGACCAAAGAGCAAATAGTGAAACCAACTGCTGGCGAGTTAGACATTTAGCAAGCTAGACATTTGTATAGACATTCAGATTGCTTATTATGAAAAAATAAAAAACCGAAAAGTTATTACAAATTAAAAAGCCTGGCAGGATCTGAAATGCCCCTCATTAGAGCTTCAAAGTTAAGCCATATAAGGGTGATGTTTAATGATTCATAAAACTGTTCGGAATCAATTGAAAATTATTATCAGATATTATAATTTATGTATATACTTGACAAGCTTCTCCGGTCATAGGGCAGACAAAGACAACAGGTGGAAACTGGCCTTGTGTCTTCTTATGAACCAGTATCAAAGCTGTTTTTTATCTTTCGGAAACATATGCAATTGACTTATGGAAATGTAACACTTCAATCCAAACATTCAGTATCATTTGGTACACCAGCACAGCAATATTTGCTGTCTTTATATCATTTTTCGCTATGCCAGATTTCTGCCATCCTTCAAAAATAAGTAACAAACTGGCCTTGCGGCAATACTAACACACCAGTACAGGTCACAGATTCCTAGAATTCCTCTTTAACAGTTATGCAAACAACATTAACCAGGTCAAGTTTATTATACAAATATATATGTACAGAAAAAAGGCTAAGAATGAAAGTACGAACCATTTGTATCCCTCATCTCCTCTTCTCTTGACCTCATATAAGCAAAGTCATTGACAATAGCCTCTGATAAATCTTCTAATTTTTTGAGTTCCAATTCCATTGGCTTTAGTTTTTCTACCTTTGCAAGCTACAAGATATGTTAACAGGTGCCTTTTTTATATAAAACAATATGACAAAATGTAGAAGGGGGCGATATATATTTTTAAAAATGCTGATTCAGGATTCAATTACAACTTATTACTGCAATTGAATTCATTTTTCAATAAGGAAGAGGCACTGGATAAGGGTGTTTGTTGGAATCTTAGAATCTGGCAATGGAAGATTAGTAAGGTTATAAGCAATGGAAAGATGTAGGCAATTTTCAACTCATATTGGATTTCTTCAAAAACAAGGAAAGAATCCTTTCAAAAAAGTTTGATTTCAAGGTGATTATGTAGAATCACAGAAGAATATTCCATAATAAAAGACAGAAATAAACAAATATTTTAGTGCTAAGCATGCTTACATCATCATAATTCTTAGCTTCCACTCCAGTTTTCACATCAAGGAAGATTTCCCTATCAATTCCTTGACCATGCTGACCTGAACAAAGGAAGAAATAAATAAAGGATGAGGATTTTCAATAAATATTACAATATATATAACCATTATGTTTGAAGGTATTAAAAGAAATGTAAAAAATTATGTTGTTGCATTTTCATTTGATACAGTCAAGATTCTGGTAAAAATTCAACTTGAAAATCAAGTCCTGCACTTCAACCATTCAGTTTTTAAAGTTTGACTACAGAAAAACAGAAAAATAAAAATAAGCTTTAAAGCCAGAACAGGATGGTTCTTGGTTTCACATATATTGCAACCATCTGACATTCTTTCAGTCTGAACCTAGTTTTTTAATCAATCAAAAAATTTCACAATTATATAAAGCAAAATGAGGTGACAAATCTTTGATTTTAGATGCCCTTTAAGGTCCTTTATGACCTTAGATACTTCTCTTCATGCATATGGCTCCATTTTCATTTCAATCAGCTTTCCAAATAAAAGTGTCATGCTTTCTTAATGGATGCAGTTTAACTATCAATGCATATTCAAAATTATCTGTATATATATATATATTTATATATATATATATATAATGTTCAAATTTCTTGATAGCATTTTAACTTTGTTCAGTTTCCATTTAGCCTGGAAAATTGAATGTTCTGCTCCTTTTTTAAACAGGGCTCCACCTAGAAGTAAAGATTTTAATAAGCCTTCATGTAAAGATTTCAAAATTTTATGATTAGATTCTACAAAAAGAAAAAAATGAAGAGAATGATACCTTCACTCTCAAAACAGACTTCAAACATATCATAGTCATCAGTGGTAAAGGCGAATTTTCCCTTCTGTGCATCTTGCTTTTTGTACAATACATGATTGTTTGTATCAACAACCTAGATAACAAATTAGTCAAGTTGTTATGCATTCAGCAGAAAAGGTTGAGATTATCTTTATTCATAGTGGCATTATTTAGGTAAAGGCAGTATCAAAGATTGAGCTTATCCATAACAAACACTTTTCTCCGTCTGTGTGCTCTAAGCATGATCATAGTTGTTTCTGTGTGGCTATTCATAATCAAGACAGTTATTTTTGCGGCAACTTACAAAAGCCCTGGCAAAATGACTAAACATTTCACTAAACATTTCACTCAACTTTTGTTTATCCAAAAGTTTAATGAAAAGTTTAGTTGTTTTGCTACCCTGTTTAGTATTGTTTAGTTGAGTTGAGTGCTGTTTAGCAAAGTTTGATCCTGGTCAAAAATGTTTAGCATTGTTAAGTGTTGTTTAGCAAATGTTTAGTTGTTTTGCCACCAATTAAACATTTGTTGTGATCCCACAAGCGCACTAGCTGTGGAAATCCAAAGGTTTTTGTCTGTTTTTGTAGGTTCTCCTGTCTCTATGTGACCCAAAAAGCTTTTGTGAGACATCTGTATATCTCGTTATACACTACTGTCTTCTTCAACAGTCAACTTTGTTGTTAATGTGCTAAGAAGTCTTTTCTTTCCCTGTCGCTTCATCCAATTCTTATTTTTATTCAAAATAACAAAATGCAACAAAATAAATTAAAAGCAAACTCCTATGCAAGATCCCCAACAACCTTATCCTCAGTAATCTTCTGTAGCATTTATAATCGGATTTTTCTGCTCTTTGTTCTTGGTGCTTATTCAGCATTCAAGTCTGATATCTCAAAAAGTAGTCTAACTTCTAAAATGAAATCTTTTTAAACTCCCAGACCCTGTTTATTCTGTGGATTTAAATTTAAAATCTATAGAATTTACTCCCTTTGAGTAAACTACGGCTAAACAACTATTGAAATGCAATGGCGACATATTTTACCAATAAATTTTCCAATCTGGCCAAATAATGCGAATGCGATGGCCTAGACTTACCGTTAGATGTGTTTTGATAGGCGCTTCAGAAAGCCTAAATTCTCCTGTAACCAATACATCCTTGTGAACTTCCTCGCGCAAACACTTTTTTGTTCCAGCCGAGAGTGTAAATGATAGGGAATGAACTTTAACAACAAAGATACATAAGAAAATGAAAGGCACGACAACCAAACAGTGTACTCTCGCCATTTTGATTGCTTTGTGCTCCTCAAGGCAACGTGGCAATGCGCATGCGACACAGGGAAAATATCCATCGCAGTGGCTCGCAGTAGCTGTCTCTCCTGTGAAAAACCGAAATGTATGTTTTGAAATTTTTTTATTTTATTATTTGTTTTTGTTCTTCGTGGGAAGCATGCAATATTGGGGAAATTTATGAATTTCTTGAATCAATTAGCTAAGTGCTCATCCAAATATAAAACTTTCCTTAAAATAGTATGTGCATGCCAAGGAGGGCATAGATTGCACATGGCGCTAACGTTATCTTCAATTGTAACTCCTAAAGGCTTTACAACCAATCTGGAGCATTTACTCAAGAAGCATTAAAAAAAATCCATTTTTGTTGGTCCTTCTGAGTGCCATATTTCATGGGCTTTGCAATTAGTAAGCAAATTCTGTTAAAGTGTTGAAGAGGCTTTATGTCAGGGATTTCTGGGCCCAACCCCCAACATAAGAACTTACCAGCCTCTAAGAAAAGACACCGAGGTAACTAGATACAATACACTCAGAAATGTTCGAAACCTGAAGCAAAAACAGATTGCGAAGGGGAACTCTAAAGATGGTAAACAAAACCGACAACAATTTATTTATTTTGGTTAAATGACTAAATTAATGATAATGCTGTCAATATACTTGTAGTTGTCAATGCAGTTCCACAACAAAAGTCAATGATCCTTATGAGTTCTGGTTAATACGATCAGAGGACTGTACCTATCTTGTAAAATATCTCAAATGGGAATAAGCATAAGCGATTTTCAGCGGTGTGAGAATGATCAATGTAATAATGAGCTATTATTTATTTGATCTGCAACGTGCTTATAGTTATTTTTGCTACTTAAACCAGTGAAAACAAATCAATGACAACGATCTCAGAAATCAACGTAAACACTTAGTAACCCAACTAATAAATTTAACCCGAGAACTGCATCTGAGAATTGGAGACAAAAAAGGCTATTTTAGATAAAAAATTTCAATTCACAGGGGTGTGAAATTCAGGGGTTTTGTGTTGAAAGAGCCGCCAGATCAGGCCGAAAATGGAAACTGAAAACTAAAAAGAGTTTAAAAATAGTAAACATTATTATTGATTCCTTTGCCAAACATGAACAATAATCGGCAAAAAGAGCTGACATCACCATTTAACAACACGGAAAAGTCACCAGTTTTTTATAATGAATTTTCGACGAAACAAGACGAGAAGCAGGTATAATCTTCAAGATTGGAGGTCAAAGGCATGAAAGATCAAATGCTCCGATGAAATGAAAACAAACGTTCTTTAGCCAAAATCAAATTTCAGATGAACATTTTTTGCAAGCAACTAAAAATTAATAAGCGTTTACGACATAAAGTGTCGACATCAATAAAACATAAAAATTGGTCTGTAATTAAATTAAAATCTATTAAGAAGTGCGAGGATTTGCTAAAAACTAAAAAAAACATGATTATTTTAAGCAGCCTTTTTACGTAGTCTATAATGTTGTCACTTCGTCGTAGCCACTCTCGGCTTTAGCACTTTCGGGTGAAGCCTTTTCCATGCTACTGCTCTGCTTCCTTGACCTTTTTGAAGATGCCTCGCTGTCACTTCCGTCCAACTTACCAACTGTTGTCGAAAGCTGTGTGGAGAGCAAAGTCTCGTTTTGAAGAATGCCAATGCTAGCAACGTAAGAATGTAGCGGAAAACATCTTTTGATACGTTCAAAATAATTATCTGTGACAATCTTTGCAAAAATTTTGAATTGTTTTGCATTCAGATTTGAAAAGGGATAGAAACAGCTATGATTAATTATATCTTACAAGCATCGATTTTGCTTTTCGTCATTGATGCTACAATCTAACTGTTAGTGACACAAAAAGATAATATAATCAACATGTAAAAGCACTTAAAAACCAAAAAGATTCTTCGTAGCCTCACCACAGTTGCAGAGCCAAATCGCTTTTCGTTCTCTTCGCTGCAAAAAGATGGATAATTATTCAGTGTTGCAAGGTTTAGGTTTATCGATCTGTTAAAAGCGAGGCTAGAAACATTTATATTGCTACAAAACCTGCATCAAGCCATGTTTTGGTAGCCCTAAGGCATATGCAAAGAAAATAAGATGTGATCTTATTGATTAAATGTTTATTGTTAAATAAATCTTGAAACAAACGACTTACCGAATAAAAGCATGAAAACAACAATCTGACGCAATAACACATGTCTATTTACTTCACAAGTTAAACTACCCTTACTGCTATTTACTTTTAACGAGAATCACGCTGCTAATAGCATTTTCATGGCTGTGCAAATTTAACATCTGCAATCTAGTGACAAAATACAGGCTAAAAGCTTCAGTCGACCTTGTCAAGCAGCAACACCACCAGGACACAGGCAAATACAGCTCTAAGAAAATAAAGCTGTCAGCAGTGTCAATACTCACATGACAAGAGCTCGATTTCTTTTACTCAATGCTCCTTGCTTTAATCTAGAAAAAGAGTGAAGATGTCATGGCTTTGGTCAGACAAGGCAATCTTATACATGTTGTTGTGGACAGACAAGGACTGACGAGTTGTTGTGCGAGAACTAAGATCTACCCTTTGTGAATGTCATAAATGCAACAGAAACTCACAAAAACCAAAAACGTTGTTAGCAAAATCTTTCACACGTATAGATTATAAAGCAATACAGTCTCCTCTCGATAAGTGGAACCTCCACGGGACCGAAAAAGATGGTTCCATATATCGAATGTTCCACTTGTCCGAATTGCTCGATAAGTGGAACCTTCATGAAACCGATAAAAAGTTCCACTTATCGAACCTCTTCCTTGTCTGATTTCTCTGGAGAACGGGGCATTTACGAATAATGAAAAACAGGGGGAAAGGAACAAAAGAAAAGGCTTTATAAGTGTTTATGTTCCATATGATGATTATTTTTAAAGCAATGTAGTTATGCAAAATAATTTTTTATACACGCTTGTTTTAGAGTTTGTGAAAGTTCCTTTTCAATTAATTTTGAAATTTCCATGGTACAGCGTTGAAGCTTATCTGACTCTATAAAAAAACTCAAGTTCAATAGGGTTTCAATGGCACTTCTTAATTATGTTGATGTAGGCTTTTCCAGACATTGATCTTCATTTGAATCATCGCCATCCTCGTCATCATCCTCTACTTTGATTGGCTCCTCTACTTCACCTACCATTGCAAGGATTGACTCGTCAGATAACATAGGCTCTGTCGCGGCAACGGTATCATCAAAACTTGCAAATTCTTCCGGTGAAACCTCTTCAGGATACTCGTCAACGCCAAGAGATTTCAATTTTTCCAGATCGCTTCTTAATTCAATGAACAGGTCATCTAGATTGTCTTGTGCGCTTGTTTGGTCTTGGGGGAAATGTGAGATTTAGCGAAACACTTTTTCACTGTTTCTTCAGTTACGTCCTTCCAACAGTAAGCATTTTAATGGTATCTAATACATTCACTTTTGGAATAGATTTGTTTGCGTCAATTGTTTTGATTATTTGTTCAATCATTCGGGAACGGTACTTGGCTTTTAGTGACCGAATGACTCCTTGGTCTATAGGTTGCGTTATAGAGGTAGTTCTTGGTGGCAGAAAACACATCTCCATCGCAACCACCATTGGAGATGGGCAGTTGTCGACTATCAATAAGATTTTCCGGTTTTCGCATTCAAATTTCTTATCCTGTTCAGGAACCCATTTCTCAAACAAATCACTGTCTATCCAACTTTTTTTGTTCTCTGTAGCGGCAAGGAAGGTCTTTCAGATTTTTGAAGCATCTTGGTTTATTTGCTTTGCCAATTATAAACATGGGTAACTTTTGACCAAGAGCATTACCTGCTGCTATTCCTGTTAACCTCTGCTTGCTAAACTTCCTACCAGCACATTTCTAATCCTTGAATTGCACTGTATTATTTGGCAATGCCTGGTAAAACAATCTAAATTCATCAGAGTTGTAGATGTCAGCAAGGGAATAATTTGATAATATTTTGGGCTATTGTCTCAAGGCAAGGTGCTGTCATTTCCTCCGAAACAGCATTAGCCTCACCTGTAAAAACAATTAAAATCATTTAACAAAAACTTTGTTTTTGTTGTATTCACACATATTATTTTTTACTGGATGCTGCATGCACATCAAGAGAAAACACGGATTCCTTTGCGTAAGGGGACTTTTGGAAAGGTCTACTAATTTGAGTCGAATGTTTTGATTGAAGCAATTTCAACTTTATAAAAAGAATCACTTCATTGTGAAAATAATTCGATAGGAGATGAAATGGATACGGAAATGACACCACATAAAATAGTTGAGCAGAATGAGCTTCAAATAGTTTTACATAAAACATTTGAATTCACATCTTATGTTATGGGACATCATGAATACAAAGATCGTTGGACACCAGTGAAGAGTGAAATGTTGAAAGCAGTCATGACAAATGTCTTTTTGTTCTTTCAAAAGGAAAAACAGGAAGATTTGCAAAAATGGTTTTCTACTTCCTTCGAGCCTGCGACTCAAACACTTGCTCCGTCGAAATTATTGGAAAAACAATCAATCAAGGAGAAGGAAACGGAATGAAGGTGGCTTGCAAGTTATATTTTGCGGCTGAGGATAGTTTTATAAACTTTTGAAAGACTCTATAGATATACAATAAATATATATGTAATAGAATTATATTTAGTTACCTGAAACAGTTTTGAAACTGACATTGAATCGTTTCTTCCATCGACTCACCCATCCATCAGAAGAATGAAAATCATTGAATTCTAATGATTTCGCAAACTCTAGAGCTTTTTCTTTAAATATACTACAGCCGATAGGAATATTGCTGTATCTTGCAGTTTTCAGCCATTAATAAACGGCAGAGTCCAACTCCTCGTATGTCGCAGTCTTCATTCTTTTTCTCTTTTTAGAAGCATTGTTTCCTTCAACTGCTTCAAATATTTCAGCTTTCTTTTTTACCCAGTGTGTGTGTTTTTAGCAACACCATATTTCTTTGCTGTAGCTATTCAACTTTGGCCTGCATCAATTTCTTTTAAAGCCTTGTATTTGTTGACTATAGTTAAACAGGCGTACCTTCGTTTCGAAGACCGCACAGCTGCCAATTTTTTAAATGTGACTGGTGTTATATATTTTTTGTTTGGAATGTTCGCAAGAATACTCGAATAAAGAATGTATTGATTAAAACGATTCGAAAGTACTTAATTAAGATGATTTTTTGTAAAAGTTCCACTTATTTGAATAACTATTGCTGATGGGACCAAAAAAATGGTTGCGTTTATCAAAAGTTCCACTTATCGAGGGTTCCACTCATCCGAATAAAATAAGAGAGGTTTGTTAATGCAAATCCAAGGAACTGGAAAAAATTTGTTCCACTAAACGAAAGTTCCACTTATCCGGGGTTCCACTTATCGAGAGCTGACTGTATAAATAAAGCTTGAACTGTACGTTTGAGCTTAAAACGGCTCTCTCAATCTTCAATGTGTTACCAAAGTGTGTTGAGGTTTCCACAGACAGCTTGTTGTGTGAAAAAATTTGATTATTTTGGTATTTGTCTCAAGAAGATATTAGCTGTCAGGCAAAATGCTAAATATAACATATTAAGATAAGCAATTTCTTTTCAGACAAAAATTTCTTTGCACGTTTTTAGCAAATAGTTATATACTTACTTATTTTACCTGGGTGGGGTATTTAACTTGAACTGTGAGGTAACCATTAACAATGTATTCATGTTATTAGTTTTGCTAAGATTTCGAATCTTTAATAAGGGCAATCTCGACCTATGAGCCAAAATTGAGTGTGAAATCAAATCAAAGAATTAATATACTACAATAAATTTTTTTGTTCGCCAAAACCATCCGTCTTGACATATCTTGCGAGGAAATAAATAGCCACGATTACTCCGTAAGGTAATGCACCCCCGAGCACAGCCAACGTTGCCAAAAGTTTCTTCATTCAGAGAAGTATCACCCGTGGCTGCTAATCCAAAAATTGATTTAAAGATTTTTAGATATTTGTTGGTATTGCATATTTGAGTCTTCGAACCTTTAAAAACTATCTGACATATTAGTGAAAAATGGATCATCAAATCTGCTTTATTTTAAATTTTTCCTAAATCTTGTGTACCCCTATTTCCAGCTCGAGGTTTGCCATGACATGATAGGACAATGTGGTGCAATACTTATCAAAAATAAGTGTAGATTGTTATTGAAAGGTCAATGGTACATAAACTCACAAGCCAATTTTTCTTTCGACGTATTCGTTGTCTGAAGAGCCTCTTTTGCTTGTTCTGCAATCAAATTTGCTCTTGAAGATTATCGCAAAGTTTTAATGAATGTAAGAAACAGATCTGAAAAAAGACAAATAAGCTCGCTCATTCCTCTCAAATCAACAAATTTCTCACGATGCGTTGCCAGACTGTACAAACAAACGCAAGTTCACCTTTTTGATTTTTCTTGAGCATCATGCTTCCACCAGTCTCCATAGTGATTGATCCATCCTAACGTGTCGTCACTGCCCAAGATGCAAAATGAAAGTTAAATAACTTGAACAAGGGAGAAAACGGCAAAAAGCAGAAAAACGGCAAAATGGTAATGAAAAGAGAACAGAGAATGTTTATGAACAAAGAAGTGAAAAATGAAAATAGAAAGATGAAGTTTTAATTGCATACCTGAAATGTTTGGCTCGTTTTCGTCTCTTTCTTGACTCTTTGGAGTACTGTGACAAAGGATCATCGGCAGAGACTCTCGACAAAATACTCCTAGCAAATATGATGAGCCTTTTTCAATACAAATAAAGGTTTACGACTGGCGATCAAGACATTATGTGAGCATATATTTCTTCGATTGCCAATGATCTTTTGAAAAACAGGTATGCTGATACTGTCAAAAGCAGTACCTTCTTTAACCCAACAAAATTTCAGAGCAATAGCATGGCATGCTTTTTCGTGCAAACCTATACTTTTATATTGCCAAAGAGAATCAGTTTGTCTGCAGATATTTCCTAAAATATCGCAAAGGTCAATAAAATTGAATGATAAGAATAAAAGCCAATTCCTGGGTATTATTCTTACTTAGAAACAAAGTTTTTAGGCCAAATTAATATTTCCGAACTTGAAACCTACATTCTCCGCATTCTTATAAACATTGCCAGTGCAAAAAGCAACAACAACCCAATCACAACACCAACAACAATTATCACAACAACGTGGGTCTCAATCGATTCTTGTCTGATTTGCTGTGACGTTGCAGGCGACACATTCCTTATTTTCCATTGCCTTGACTGATCTTGGTAATATTGCAAATTCGCCTCGATCTTTCTGCATTCAAAAGACAATAAAAATATAGTGTGGAATTGTCAACCAATTGATCAAAGTCTGTGGAATGCAAAGGTTAGTGTTAATCATCATTGTATAAACATCGATTGAAAAAAGTGGGAATTTTGGTGAAGATGCAAAATAAAAGTTCTCAGAAGAGAGCACAAATACCAAGCCAAAAGCACAACAGAATAGGAGGGCATTTGAGCTTTTCTAATACTATCTCAAATTATCCTACCTTATAATTCATTTCATACAACTTAATCAATAAAATAGAAGTACTTAATGACAAAGTCGGCTTCGTGAATGATGCCCAATCTTTCGTCCACTGCATGGAACACAATCTCAGATCTGGGTGTGCCATCTGGAGTTTTCACGTCAAGCACCGATTCTATGTAAACTTTGCTCTGTGTCATGTTTCCAAGAAACCTATTAATTTGAGAAAAGCAGATACATTAAACATACCATTATACAAACAGACGATGAAAAAATGAAGCGAGAAATCGTTTCAATGCACGATTTGTGAAACAAGTACACACCCCATCAAGTCTGCCTTTTCTTCTTCTATATATTTTGACGAGACTCCTAAGACCAACCAGACCCTTTGTGATTCTCGTAAAATATATATCTGAGTAAAAAAGTGACAGAATTATTAGATTAATTCAAAAGCTCCTTGTCAAAAGTCCTGCAAAAATCCAAACATTAAGTTTCATACAAACTGTTTTTTTCTGCAAAGATCATAATCCAATAACTATCAAGATATGAAAAACTAATATACAGATCATCAAACAGAAGTAACTACGTGTATATTGAGTCCTAGTAAGTGTGTTGTTAAAGGACAAGTGACACGCTTTTGGCGCTAAATTTTTTCTTTCTTTTAACTTAAAGTAAAATGCTGTATGAGAGTGTTGTTGAAATATTTTTCCTTTCTGATTTCATTTTCCTACTTAAAAACCATTTTCAAATTATGGCGGGAAATTAATCACGTGACACCGTGACGTAGATTGTGATAATTTGTTATTGCTGCTAGTGGTATACAGTGCAATATTAACGTTTACAATACGTTTCTAAACGAATTCAGTTCGTATGGACCTGTCGCGTCGTGTTTCGTAAACTCTCTATCAATGACAGGAAAATTCCGAGTTATCACAATGTACGTCATAGGGTCACGTGATAAAAAACAAAATCGCGCCCCCTGCGCCCCCTGATTAGAATTTTTTGTTCTAAACCAGGAAAAACTTACTTCTAAATGATGATCTATAAGTTAATGAAAAGAAAAGATAGGGTGAAAAGTGTGTCACTTGTCCTTTAAGCATTCGCACTCCACAATATGCTATATTTGTTTAGTTCTAATGAACACTAGGTCAGACTTACCCTTGCCGTTGTCAAATTGGAAACGGAATTAAATGGTGGCGTTCCATCGTTATCACTGGCAGAGACAGAAAGCTGAAAACGCTGACCAGACTTCCGAACCAATGATGTCATTGAAAAGATTTTCCCCGTCCTGACATCAATTCGAAAGTTTTGGTCTTGATTTCCGTTAACAAAAGAGTACACCACTTTAGCATGCTTTCCAGAGTCATTATCCTTTGCCTGGATACAAAATTATAAAATCTAGACTTCAGCAAGGTACAGTGAAACAATACAAACAGGAGCTTGTTTGCCAGGGTGGCAAGGTGCTCTCAGATCTCGTTTTTTCATTAGTTTGTTGGTTGGATCTTAAAATTGATAGCACAATTGTTAGCTGGTCGGTTAAGCTACCTCGCGGTAGGTACTAAAACATAAACATTTTATTAATTTTCTTTGATGCGCTCAAACACCCTATCTTGAAGATTTAGGCAATTATACCAGCTATACAGCCTAATAAATTCTGCAATTCAGGCAGTTTGAAGCAAAACAAATTTTCCTGTTTGGTTCTACATGTCCTCAAATTCCCATTGCTTAAGTTTTTCACCACGGAATGCGAACAGCATCCCTCCTTCACGAACAGTTTAATTGCATTCTTAAAAGCAAATTTAAAATTATTAGAAGCCTTTGCATCTTTCAAAGCATTGTCATAGACAAATTTCTTTTCTTGTAAAATATTTTACTCCTGATCCGGTATGCAAAGATTAAAAGATAAATATTTAATGTACCTTAACCTCCATTATGAATGTTCCAATCTTCGCACCTGATGGCACACCTTCGAATGAGTTTATTAGACATTAAGTTCATTAGTTCATTTGAGTTTATTAGAATTTTAGAGATCAAAGTGAAATACTAAAAGAAATAAAACATATAGAACATTCAAAAAGTTACTAGGTGTCTAAACGTGCTTATAAAGATACTGTATCAAAACTGTGAAATATTGAGTAACTGTTGATTTGAAAGTGTAGATTAATTGCCCTAGCTATCAATGGTTTACTTATTGCTTTAAGCTTTTCTTCTGGCAATCGTCAAAAATTCTAAGCTAGGAAATATATTTACCCATTTGTGGAACAAAATAGGCTACTCAGAGACGCGAGGATTTTATTGAAAATATAAGCAATTGAGACCAAGGAGGGAAAACTTTTTTTGCTTTATCGAAAAATATCGGGTATGTATTTCAGTAGTCAGAATATAGTCAGACAAATACCTCTTAATTTACGAAAAGGTCCAGTGGTAGAGACAAAACCTAGCCAAAACCAAAACGGTTTCTATCTTGTTTTCCAACAAACATCAAGCAAAGAAAAACGTAAGTTAAAAGTTTTTTATGCTTAATCATAAAATCTTTAATGATAAAAAAATCAGTCTCAACCACCAAGAGAATTTTTGTGATTCAAAAAACCCTAGCCAAGAACAAATTATATAGTTTTTAATGCAAATGCTGAATTTTGAGCAACTGTCCTAACTATTCGTGACTGTAGGTTACCTCCAGTAAAAACACTTCGAGTGAAATATGGCGCATTATCGTTCACATCAGTCACATTTATTACCAGCGTTGCGGTGTTGTAATTCTGAGACAGACCTGTAAGAAGTAGCACACGATTGATAAGTGTGCCATGGTAGAAATCAGTGAGAAAGACCCCAGAAAAGACAAATATGCAAATAATGGTATATTTTTGAGGTATGACTCCTAAATTCACAGGAAATTATTGACAATGTAAAGAGCAATAAAAAGTTTCATGGAAATGATTAAAACGTTGATAGCAAAGATCTGCGTCCTATTAATTTTCAATGCTTTTGGAATATACATAATCAATTTAATAAACATGAAGTTTCATGGAAATAGAAATACAAAATATGCAAAAACGTTAAGCTTTGGTTATCACCTTTACTGTTGTAGATTTGGATGACATTTGCAACTGATATATTCAACACATATGAGGAAAGGTGCTCCCTATCCAATGAGTGGTTGGATTTGATGACACCAGTTGCCGTGTCCATTTTAAAGTGTCCTAAACCAAAATTAGTTGCAAGATTCAGAGTGTCAATCAAGACCTTTGAGTGAAATAAAATGGAGGCAGCGAAACAATAAAGCATAATATTTAGGTTATGAAGGTTATGCTAATGGTTATGAAGACATATAGAGATCACTTGGTACAATATGAAACACTGAAAATATGAAACACAACTATGGTATGATATGCATATTTTCTCTAAAATTTTCATAGCTTTAGACAAAAAATTCTTGCAATGAGTTTTAAAGCCAACTTATTTATTTAAAGGTGAGAAAAAGATAGGAAGATTCTTATCAATTAAAAGCAACAATAACAAATTGAAAAAAATAATTTTACCTACCTTTTTCATTACCAGAAAGAATCATATAAACATTGTCGGTATTAGAGCCTTCATCTTTATCAAATGCTTCAACACGAGTCACGAATGTCCCATTCTCCTTTCCTTCAGTAATAGAAGCCCTGACCAAGCAGATAAGAAACATTGATTAAAGATAAATACTTGAAAAGAGGCATTCGCCAAGGCAGCGAGAGAACAAATGGCAGGAGTCTTGACTATGAAATAAATACCTGAAAAAAGGAAATGAACAAAAGGAACTAAATAAAATAAAGCAAAAGCGTCCATGCAATACCTCATGATGCTTTTGGTAAACTCGGGAAGATGGTCATTAACATCGCGAATTTGAACCACTAATCTCTCGGTGCTGTTCAGGCGATGTGGCTCTCCAAAGTCACTTACTTCAATGTAAACCTAAAAAGAGAAAAAGCAATGTGAGTTTTGAACCGCTCACCTTTATATGCAGATTCCTATGGTGTTCAAGAAACAAACTGGCTTTTTAAATGCATTCGTTAGATTTGTATGCTGCTATATGTAAAACTAAATCAAAGGTAAAGCTAAATTCAAACAACTGGAAAGAGATTCATCAGAGTTGAATGACAAAACTAGACCTTTTCAATGAAAAGATCAAAAAGTTTTTCTTTACCGTCACGTTTCTGGTTTCTCTGTTTAAGATACTAAGACGCGTTGAAATGACGCCAGTCTGTGAGTTTATTGCCAAAAAGTCTGCTGTTTGGTCACTCTTTGCATACAGAATGTTAAAAGCGAGTTTTGCATTCAACCCCTGGGAAAAAAGAGCATACAGTAATGATCAATCAAAAAAGGCCTGACATGTTTAGATGCAAATTATAGTTCATAATGATGGTGGCGGGTTATGACAATGGCTAGGCCGAGAAAAGAATCCTGTTATGAAATTTTAAGGACAATTTTTATTAAGCTACATATTGTGATTTGTGATTTCAAGGTTTTCATGGAAGGTTTAAATTTCATAAAAGATGAATATGAGGAAGACCCCAAGGTTTATATGCGAGGTTTCAACGATAACAATTTACCACTCAGTCTTTTTACATTAGAATGGACAGTTCCTTACCAAATCAAGGTCAATTCCCCTCAGCTGCAGTATTTCTGTTCCAATCGGGGCATCTTCTGACACGATGCCAGTTTTTGATGACGGAAGCAAGACGGGTGCATTGTCGTTAGTGTCCAAAACGCGCAGGAAAAACATTTTGAACGTGCTCTTGATAATTTTTGCTTGTGTGTTGCTTGCATTGACACTTAAATTGTAGTATTCCCTTTGCTCGCGATCCTAACAATTTAAAGGACAAGCAAGGCTTTTCAGCAGAATCAAACTAAAGTTTACAAACTAAATCAAACTAAAAATTACAAAATTAAGATTATCATAGCTAAGAAAATGAATTTCAAATTTTCATTAATTTATCCAATTCACAAAAACAAAGGCGTTATGAAAAGGGAGAGCACAAATTTCTCTAAACATTTAAATCGTACATCAAACTAAACGTTTTTCCTCCGTCTGAAAGAAATATACAAAAATTTTTTAAGAAAAATAGTTTTAGCTTACAAGACTGATACACTAAATTCATTGAGGCACTTACAAACTGGACTAAGCTTGTTATAAGACCGTTTTTCCTATCGATAGCAAATTTATCACCACTTTCTCCTAAAAGAAGAAAATCAAATTGGCAATTAAACAACACTAGACAAAGTCTACGAAATCAAAAAACTAAATCTTGTTAAAAAACATATGTGAACTTTAAATCATTATATTTAAAAAAAAATGCTTAACAATTTCGAAGTTTTTGACTTGATTTTGCATTTTTCTCGTACCCACGATGCTTGATAACCAACTTAAGCGTTTAACAAGATGAACTTTTGAACAAACCTGCAAGAAAGTATTCAATGTATGCATTTTCTCCAATATCCTTGTCAATGGCACGGATACGTCCAATAATTGTACCGGATGGAACATTTTCAAATATAGTCAGAGGTGACGAAACCTACAATTCAAATCAAATATACTTCAACTTCTTCAACAGTTACAATATTTGATATAGTCTATTAGTTCTAATATTTTCATCTAAAGCATTTAGGCCAATACAATTCGTTTTTCCCTAGCACAAAGCTACAAATGATAATCGCTTTCATGGCTAAAAAAATCGATAAAATAAGTGATGAAGCAAGCCTTTCTTCGATATATTTGTAAAGTTAGGAAGATTATCTACAGATGTGTGACTTGCTCCAAATTGATGGCTCTCTATATCTCATTACCTGATAATAACCTTTTAAAGCATCAAGGTGGCAGTTTTATCTTACAATCAATTAATTAACTTGCAATAACTAATTGGAGCAATAACTAGTTAAGTATGAGTTGCGTTAGCCAGAACAAGCCAGAAAAACTTGCCTGCATAAAGGCTGGAGAGTTGTCATTAACATCCAAAAGATTAATTCGCACAGTAGCAAAACCATGCATCGGCACTTTTCCTTTGTCGCTTGCCATCACAACCACCTTTAGTACATACAAAACATTTATTCATATAAAAGTTATTTCTATGGCGAAACTGTCATTTAATGATTAAATCAAGCAAAGATATTTCACTGATTGCTTTATCATGAGAAAGACATAACAAAAACGAAGAGAAGAAAAGTTCATTTGTTTTGGAAAATCATAGTCAGTGAGCACGTCATCAATCTAGCTTGAAAAACCTAGGAATATACCATTAAATAAAGTGTATCGAAATAATAACTCGTTCATTAGTAATAAATAATTTGCAAAAACAAATTAAAAACAAATGAGAATATTGCAACTAAAAGAAAATGGAAACAAAGATTCTTCAAAAGAATTATTTCAATTTTGATAAATTGAGGAAAACAAAATAAAGTCTCACGGAATAATGATCACTTTGTTCTCTGTCGAGTTGTCCGCTTGTGGTAATGATACCAGATTTTGGGTCAATTGAAAACAGATCCTGGGCTCCATGTACCAAAGAGAATTGAAATTCTGCGTTTGCGTCTTGGTCTCTGTCAGTTGCATTGACTTTCACGACAAATGTCATTTTTGGGACATCCTGAATCCAAGAATAAAAGTAAATTATGACAAGAAATCTCCGTATTTTAAAACGAAAATCTAAACAAGGACCTTATTTAGTGCACCTCAAACTTCCAGTTTCATTATTAGCTAAGCAAAGAACACATTTTGAGCTTGATTTGGTGAACCAACTTTGCCATTTGGTCATTTTTGGGTCCTTTTCCATCGATTCCTGACCATTTTTCTGTAAATGCTCATCACACTTAACATCTTCGTTGAATTTAAATCTCAAGCAAAAGCTCAATTGCTTTTGTAACAATAAGTTGAAAGGGATATCTTATAGTGAAATGTTCCATACCTCTCTGATGTCGACGGTTAAGGTGTCGGGATAAATTATGGGCGAGTTGTCATTTTCATCGGATATGAAGAATGTCACATTTGCTGTGTCATTAAATCGTGGATTCCCGTTATCCTGTGCGAGGACTTGGAACTGAATCATACTCAACAGTTCACGGTCAAGTTTTTGAGTCAAGGAGATTTCACCAGAACGAGGATCCATTTGGAATGCACCTGTAATTATAATGTAACATCGAATTCATGAATTTGCATCGAATTTCAGTAGACTAAATTTATACTTGCCCTAATAGTACATATATAAGCACGTTGAGAATAACCTCTTTAGAAAAGAGTATCTCTCAAAGAGAAGTGTGCAGCAAAACAAATGTCTGACACATCCACGCAGCATTCATATAAAAGTTCCATCATTCTTCTATCGATATCAGCACCCTGCTTCATTCTCTTACTTTCAATATAAAAAGAACAAAACCTAACCTGTGTAATTTGTAGAAATGGTTGAATAGCTGATTCTAGCGTTATGCCCGGCATCAGGATCTGTCGCAGTAACAACAGCAACAACTGATCCGATGTTTGTTGCCTCTGACAACACTCTTACGTAATTCCGCTGCGCAAATGTCGGCGGATTGTCATTGATGTCAAGCACAATTACAGAAACCTAATGAAAATCATTATTTTTTAAAAAAATTACAATTTCGGAAAACTTAATTTACACCAAGATACATTTACAGTTAATTCAATCAAGTATACATTGATAAAAGTACTAGACTTTAGCTAGAAGGACAATACAGGGTGCAGTGCATCTCAAAGCGCTCCTAGCACAAATTTAAATAATTGAAAAATATAATTTCATCTTTGAAGATGTCAAGACAAAAATAAACAAATCCCTGGTCTCGAAGGGAAGCAATGCATTATAACTGATCAAACAAAATGAAACTGTATATAAAAATATATGGAAAACAGACCTTGACAGTTGAATGCAAAGAGGGCTTCCCGCTGTCTCTTGCCTCGAGTTTGATGATAAAACTTGCATCTTTCTCACGATCAATCTCTCTCAAGCAACGCAAAGCTCCAGTCGACACGTTTACACTGAAATAATCTGTTCCTTCAAGAACTTTATATTTAATCTGTAAGAAAATGACAAGCTGTGAATTAATAGCACCACGTTTTTTATCAATTTAAATCTGAAGGAAAATGACACAATTGTGTATTTCAAAGAAAGAAAAACACCATATTGCTAAAAACATAATCACATAACCTTCAAGTCCACCATACTTTTCCATAAATTGTATCATTATCGTGCAAGATGAGGAAGGAAACATCGAAATTCTCTCATCAGTAACGATTAAATCAGCTTGTGCCGTTGAAGGCAGCCGAGAAATTAAAAAAAATGTTGCTGGAAACCTGAGAGTTCTCCTCCACATCTCTGTCTGTTGCAACAACAACAGCAAAAGCAATTCCGATGCTCATTCCTTCAAAGATCGTGACCTCAACCAGACTACTGTTGAAAACAGGGGGGTTGTCATTCACATCAGTGATGTTGACTAGGAGAATGGCTTTTGAGCGTAGACTGGGAATCCCAGAGTCCTCTGCGACAATTTCAATTGTAAATTGCCTCTCTAAAGGATTCTCGTAGTCCACGTGACCAGAGACTCGAACAATGCCAGAAGAAGCTACAAAACAACAAATAAACTGTAAAACATTTACAAATTACTTTTTTACCAAAATTTCAATAAAGAATCTACATTACTGTATTATTTTACTTCGTCTTGAAGTTAATTTGCAAAGCCCCCAAATTTCTTGCAAGAAATTAAAATGTAATTCAACCTCATTCATATGGTATGAATCTCTAATGGACTCCTTCATATTTATACAAAGCTATTAAATTACCTCTTCAAAAAGGAAGCAAAAATATTGTAAACCTACTTTCAATAATAAATCTAGAAAATCCATTTATAAGTCGGTATGAAATTTCGGCGTTTCTCCCAGCATCAGCATCCGTTGCGACAACAGTAGCGACCTAAGAAAAATCAATAATCAAAAAAGGTTTCTTTTCCAGATTGTTTGCTCAAAAACCACATAAAATCTAGTAAAACACGACAATTTCCAAACTAACAAGTAATAGAAAACAAAAAAGTGTCGTTATAGGTGCAAGGCTCGTAAAACACGGGTCAGCAACAAAATTATATTTATAAAGATACCATACCTCGTAGCCTGGTAACGAGTTCTCTGGTACCACTGCGTGGTAAAAATTTGAAGCGAATGCGGGGGCGTTGTCATTAGCATCTAGTACCATTACCTCTAATAGCGTGCTGGTGTTCAAAGGGACAGCGCCATTATCGATCGCCTGAAGGATTGGCAATTAAGACTTAAAAAACATTTATCAAGATGAACTGGAAAAATAGAACGCAAATCGAATTTTAATTGTATCTCGTGGCTGAATTATTTAATTCATTCAAGCCTATGTTTTAAATCAAAAGGAAAGTTATTCTTAATTAAAGAAAAAAGCCTACTTCTAAGACAACACGGTATTTTCCTTTGACCTCCCGATTCATTTGTTCTGTAACAGCAATTGCTCCGGATCTTGGGTGTACCTCAAATGGCACCCGCACTAGAAAAGAAAAAGTTCTCTGTTAAAAATTCAAGTCAATAAAGCATATGTGAGGTATTAAAAATATGCAAAATTATCATTGACGATGGTCCATGAAAAAAATCAGGGAAATATCTAATAGACATTTGATAATTTTATTTAGGAAACGAGATATTTGAAAGATAAAATCAAAACGAGTTATGATTCATCAGAGAGAAAGCTCAATGCAAATTATTATTGAAGCCATCTTCAAAGGATTCACCTATCAACGCATCATCCGACTCGCAACCATAGAGCTCGGCTCTCAAACATATTCGATTCTTCCAAGAAAGAGGATTTATTCTGATATATCGTGCACGAATTTCTGGAATGATATCTCTGATAACAGTGTCCAAGTTGTTTTCTGCACCTGGATACACCTAAAAGGCAAACAGTTTCTAGAAAATAAAGGTCATCATTTATGGTATCACACCAGGATATCTAATTCATCTTTTGGTCTTTTAAAAGAGCATTTTTGCGTAGCTTGAGAGCAATGTAGTTGTTTCAAAGATTCGGCAATTAGATTAACTCTACAATTAGAACCAAAATTTTTTCGCAAATTAGGTTACTTTTATATTTCTTTTCTAAAACCTTAGAAGCATGAAATCAATAATTCTTTAAACAAAATAAAACAAGCTACAGGAATCTCACTTTTGATGTATTTTTCCAGGATTCTGCATCGTTGCTGTGCAGCAGGCTGAATGAAGTGACGTAGTTGTTCTTTCCAGGACTTCCTTGTAGTCCCACTTTCGTCACAATTGTGACTGTCCCTAAATCAATCTGCAAGAATTGCCAGGTGTCAGAAAGCCCAGCACACCATGCCCCTGAGGTGAATTGGATCATAAAAATTACTGAAATGCATTAGAATTTCAAAAATACTTTTCATGGTCTCAAAAATCTAAAGATTTTGAAGGATCATGCTAGAATACATAAAAATGGAGAAGCCTTGTTCAATAACTAAGGCAACTGGGGTCATAACCTTTTGCAGTTGAAACGTGGAAAATAAAAGAGTTTAAAATGATAATTATCCTTAGTTACATTATACCTTGATAGTGAATGCCGGATTTCAAATATTGAACACTGTTGAATCTTCCTTGGGTCGGTGAAAAATCTTTATTCTCTTCTATGAGTGTCGTTGATGACGTCATTTGACTAGCAGTTATCTTCTGGCTTTCTAGTCCCAAAGCATTAACGCAGATAGAATCAAGTCGCACCATGCTTCCGTTTCTGCCTGGGATAGCAGAAAAGGAATAAAATGTCTTGTTTGAAATTTGATTCTCAGCACATAAGGAATTATTGCAATATTTTTATCATTTTGGTACCTAAAGCAATGAAATTTGCAATATTTCTTTGTGGTTTGACATTCAATATTGAGAAACAGCTTAACAAATTGTGACTCAAAATGACAAAAAGATTACATGTCACATTTTACCAATATCCGCATGCTTTAGCCTGTAGGTGATCAGCGAGTTTTTTCCGGCATCAGCATCTGATGCTTTTACCGTATAGAAGATGTCACCAACGTTTGATCCTTCTGATGCTTGTGCTCTATACACCGGTAAATCAAATGCTGGAGCATTATCATTGCTGTCCAAAGCAGTTATTACCACCTGAGCAAAAGAGGAAAGAAAATTAGAACGTAAATTTCTATTCTCATAAAATATCGGCCATTTTCATTGTTGTTCACATTACCGGAGTAATCACATTATCGGAGTTATCAGCAGTTCATATCCGTAATACCCCAATGACCGAACACCCAGAGGGTTAAACACCCTAAGGACCAAACACCCAAAGGACCGAATACCCTAAAGACCGAACAGTCCAAGGGCTGAACAGCCCAAGGAATGAACAGTCCAAGGACCAAGCACCCTAAAGAACGAACACCCCAAGGACCGAGCACGCCAATATCCAGGTATAAAAACTCATTTTTCCTTGGACAGCCAGCCGTAAAACAACTCTAACAAAGCGGGTTCGATTATCTAGAATTTTGGCTTCCCTCAAGCACAATCTAGCTTTGGGACATTGTGCGCAAAAGAGATTAATTTAAGACCTTCAACATGCAAGAAGAAACATTTCCTAATCGTAAGACCAAACCTACGTCAAAAGAACACTTCTCAGGATTACATCACAACACATATAGAGCCTACCGTTCTGGGCCCACTTAAAAAATGCATTTGCTCTTAAACAATTTATAAAAATAAGAATGGTCTAGAGTTCCTACAAAATATAATCGCAATCCTCTGAGAACGGTACTTAAATGTAAATAATGTAATCGTAAAATACAGTTCTTAGATAAATAAGTACTTTAGGCCCATTTAGCAAAGTGAAAGTGTATGAAGATGAAAAGAAAATTGTGAAATGATTAGAGATAAAATTTTTTATCAAAACAAAGCTGGCAATGTAGATAATTTATATACAATAAACATACCGTCGTGTAACCGAACCTTGGCGGGAGTTCGTTATCATTAACTTTCACATTCAAAATGAACTTGCTGTTCTTTTCACGGTCTATTTCATTAACAGTTGTAATTTCTCCCTAAAAAGCAAAAACCGAGGTACAAAAATGCGATACTTTTGAAGATGACACGGAATGGCGGAAATATAGAGTACTGACGCACTTTTCGTCAGTGTATTAAAGTCGGATAATGATCGAATAACAGCAAACACTTTTGTGCTACAAAAACTTCAGCATGTATTTTTAAAGGAAAATATCTCTCCATACATGAAGGTGATATTTGAATATCAGTAGTTTTTGCTGAGCCAAGTCTTGAAGTAACAATTCTATTCAAAGGTCGATAAAACTGGTGTTGCAACTTAATTTCTAATTAATCATAAAAGGAAGTGTTGACGAGGATTTTATCATTGAAAACTCTCAATAATAGCTTAATATCTCTACTTAAAAATTTTGATATATCAGAGAAAAATTTTCATAGCAATATAATTTTTGCATATTAATCACTTCAGAAAACTTTCTAGACGTTTTTGTTTCAAAATTTCTACCGGCAAAATAATCGCAGAGCAGATAGAAATATTTAAAAAGATCCATGAAAATATGAACAAGAGTCTATGCCAAATATCTATTGCAGAAAAACAAATATGACAATTCAGTGGAACTTACAGTTTTTTGGTTGATATCAAAGTAAGCAAGCGGCTGTCCCACAAATCCGTAAGATAAACTTTTGCTTAATGAGCTCTTTCTGGCCTCTACCTTTAAAACAGAACTTCCAACTGGGATATTTTCCATTACAAACGCATTGTATAAAGTGGCATTGAAGTATGGGTTTTCTTCATTAATGTCAATTATGTTTATCCTTAGAGCCAGCAACGACGACCGTCTTATTTCCCCATAATCCATTGCAATTATGTTTAAAGACAAACTTGTTCCATTTGAGAGAAGGCCATTACTTGTGAGTTTTGCTACATCCAGGTTCTTGGATAATCTATGAAATAAAGAATAGGCATTGACTTTTAGAACCAAATTCTGATTGAAGCAGCTACATAGATTTGATAAACACTAAATTCATGCCCCTCCATAGTCCGACGGTTAGAAATGCGCTTCAGCTGCTATTGTTGCAATTCACGCAATGCTTATCTTTCAATAAATTTGAAGTAAAGTTGAGTTAAAAAGAGAACCTAATTTCGCTTCAGCTGCTATTGTTGCAATTCACGCAATGCTTATCTTTCAATAAATTTGAAGTAAAGTTGAGTTAAAAAGAGAACCTACTTTAAGAAAATCCGAAACCAAACAAAAAAATCCGGAAATACTAAGATTTGTATAGATCTATTCTCACCGTAAAATTCCTTTTTCCCTGTCGATCGAAAATATGTCAAAATCACTGCCGTTTATTGTGTACTCAACTTTACCATTTCTTCCAACATCTTTGTCTCTGGCCTCTAAAATCGCCAAGATTGAGTTATTCGGAGTCTTTTCGAAAACATCGATAATCAGTGGACTGGACACAAGAAACTGTGGCACATTGTCATTGATGTCAAGTACAGTTATGGACAACGAAGCGTTTGAGGTTCTACCGCCCCCATCCACTGCAGAGACAATGATATCATAACGATCCTGTATCTCCCGATCCAAAGCCTTCCTTGATCTGACAACTCCTGTCTGGCTATCAATGAGGAATCCTGCACTGTTAATGCTGTATGTAACTTTCCCAGCTTCCCCGTAATCTGGGTCCGTTGCTCTTACTTTCGTTACATAGGCTCCCAGAGCGTCTGTCTCTACAAAATTGACTGCATAATCCATTTTATCAAAAATTGGCGTATTATCATTAACATCCGTAATGTTAATGAAAACAGAGCAATAAGCAACGTTAGGGGGTAGGCCTGCATCATACGCGGATACGTTTAAAATATAAATCTCCTTGCGCTCCCGGTCTAATCCGTCCTGTGTTCGGATCATCCCAGTCGTTGGGTCAATGGTAAATTTTCCATCAGACCCTGAAATGATTCGATATGAAATGAAACCAAAGTATCCCGAATCCGGATCTGTTGCATTTGGCTGTATGACTGATTGTCCAATGGCAACAGATTCTTTAATGCTAGCAAAATATCGGGTCGTCAGGAACATCGGATAGTTGTCATTAACATCAGTCACTAACACTGTTACATTAGCCACAGCTTTTAGGCCACTTCCTAGCCTGTCAGTGGCAACTACAGCGAAATCATAGTTTGTTTTCTTTTCATAGTCAATCAAATGACTCGATGTTTGGGTAGTTTTAAGAACCCCACTCGCGTCAATTGTGAAGGCGCTGCTGTCAGGACCTTCAAGTGTATATGATATCTCGGCATTGAGTCCAACGTCAGCATCAGCGGCTTGAATTCTTATTGGCTTTAAAATAAACAAGCATTTAAGGCATAGAAGGCATTGAGAAATGAGGAATCGCAAAGCGTAGAGACAATAGCGGCGCCACGGGGGGGGGACTGGGGGGGGACACGTCCCCCCCCCCAGTTCTCAGCAGAATCGATTTTGTATTTCGTCTAATTTGATGAGAAAATGTTGGGGGAGGGGTAATATTTTGACACCGTACTTTTTGTGATGTAATCCTATGATTTTCAAACTGCCAATTTTCAAACAAAAGTTTGTCATAGGCGTTCCCTTCGGATATAATTGGCGTTCCCTGTTGGTAAAAGGGCGTTTTCTGGTGGTTTAAAGGACGTGGCTCAAATTTGTTTGATTTGTCCCCCCCCCCAGAGCTTAGTGGCTGGCGCCGCCATTGCGTAGAGATATGCTAGATTTATCATTCTTCAATAAATCCCTTCCATGAATCTGAACTCTGCATTAAACATAAAATATTATAAACGGCCAGCTTAGCGCTAGACCTCTTTTAGGAAAACACGGTAGAAAGAAATTTAAACTTAGATAGCAACAGCTATATATTCCAAATGGCTTAGGAAATCTAGGAAAAGTTACCTTTAATTTTAACAAAGAAACTGGTAATTTTTTTCGTAATCTGGAATTTCAATATGTTTACTAATAAACATATGAGATAGAAAACTTTACAAGGATTAACTTGTCATAATAGGCTGATGAAAGCAATTATAAACAGAAAAATCAGAGATTATGATGGCCCAGAAGGCCCGATACTAATATTAAGAAAGTAAAGATAAAAGGCTGAGTAATACTAAAAATTTTATGAATTTCAGTGACAAGGTAGATATCATTTGATTTCACTAAGTTCAGAAAAGTGTTGAACTGAAAAAGGCTGCTCACCATTGCAACTGGTATGTTGCCTGCCGCGCCCTCATTTATCGATCCGGTATATTTGGTATGCGTAAACACAGGGGAATTGTCATTTTCATCTAACAGACCAATTGTGACGTATGCAATTGCCTGAGTATGAACACATTTTGAAGTGAAAACCAAACTAATTCCATATGAAATAAATAACAAGACAAATCCTCCCCATCAAATGCTAGGTCGCCAGTGGGAATGCAGGAGTGGTACATTCTTTTTGGTAAGTGCACAATTTTTAAAAAAAATACCAATTATGATAAATAAATATCTTCTCGTTGTTTAAGAGATATAAATCAAATAAGAAAACTTTTAAAGCTTTATAAAACTCATTTCTTCAAGTTTTGAAATAAACGAGCAAAGATTATTGAAAAATCACCATTCTGCTGTAGGGTATCCCACCATCGATAGCCATGACTGATAAGTGGTACGAAGCTTTCTTTTCTCTGTCAACTCTGCTTGTCACAATGAGCGATGCAAAACCATCCTGTACAAAACCGAAGCATGCTAGAAATTAGACATCAGATAATGGATGGAGGAGTTTATAGACAATATCAGCTTTCGTTGGAGGAGGGTTCAAAGCGGGTAACTCAGAACGACTCCAACAGGAACCGCATTTTATGATACTCATCCTCCTAAAGTTTACATACACACGATATAACATCTCATTGCGTAAGAGTCGTTAGTAAATCCATTTAAGTACAACTGGCAAGTCGATATAGGCAATTCTTTATGGTTCTGCAGATATGCAGAATCTTACTATTCTCAATCCAAAAGCTGCCAAAACCGGGATCCTAACAAGAACATTCAATTTGCAAATCACTTGCAGAATTGAAGCTTGACTTAATATACAATGAAGAATTTTTGTCTTCTTTATTTGCTTATCAACTAGGAACGCGATAAGCTAAGGCAACATCAAACCTTGTTTGAAACAGCAAAGCTTCCGTCTTCATTTCCACCGACAATTTCGTACCGAATGATGGCGTTCTGTCCGGTATCAGCATCAGTTGCGGAAATATTTACTACCACAGAGCTTACAGAGATGTTCTCAGACACCTGGACGGAGTAGTTCTTTTTTTTGAACACCGGTGCATTGTCATTTGTATCTCCAATTGTTATTCTGAGCTGCGTCTAAAAACAGGGCGGGGAAAATATGAACAAGCAAAATGGTGACCGTCACAGTGTATAAAAACAGGGGGAACTATTTTCAGTAAAGAAACATGAAGTATTTTTCATTTCGAGAATTAAACGATTTAAACGAGTAGAAAAACAAAACTATTTTCAAATGCCCAATCAATAGAATGCCTTTGTGAAAGCAAATTACATACTTGTGACGCAAGCGATGGGGATCCCAAGTCACTGGCTTTGATCGTCAGGTTGTAAGCAAATGTTTTTTGTCTTTCGAGTTTCCTTGCAGTCATTAGCATTGCATTTTTACTGTTCATCTTGAAATCCCCTTGAAATCAATAAGGAGTGATACCTGTAAGTCTGTTGTAAGTCAAATGATGTCACAAGGTCCACCGAGAGAATCTGCAGGCCTCAGGGCAAGGCAAAAATCGAAATTTTTGCAAGCACGCATTCTAAATAAGCATAAAGTACCTTTTAAATTTTTCTTGCAGTCAGTTTCAAATAATCGTTTAAAACGTTTACTATTTTCAGGCACACCTTTGTTACATTTGAGCTATATTTAGAAGCAATAAACCTGATGCTTTAATCAGATACCTTTCTAAAAATCATCATCCAAGATTGCACTAATACCTTATTTTATCTCTAAAAATTCTCAGATATTATACTAACGGGTGCGTCTATGTTTTTAGAAACCATTTTACATAGAACAATGACAAGAAAAAGTAATTTTTAACACCTTTAGATCTTTATGACACTTTCTAAGAGCTTAGGTTTTACATAGAAACAGACTAAAAGCATATTTCTCCCGGCAATGTGAAATACTTCAGGAATTTCGGAAAGACCGTCCGATCTTAAGAATCATTAATACTGATGAGTTCTGAAAGGAAATAGGTTTTTTCTTCTTTCTTTATTTAAAGTTGGTGAAAAATTCTAGCTATGAATACTCAAGCTAATTAAAACCAAATAATTTACATTACAAACACTAAATACAATGTAAATCAAATATAACCGATGTTGCATAGGTATTCCTTGCAAAGATTACAAGTACAATTGAACGATGTAAAATTCTGAATTTTTTTTCTTGAATATTGATAAAGTATTTCGTACTTTATTTCGTTTGAGACTGAGTTCAATATTTGGCTACATCTGTATGATACGGTATTAAATCCATATATTTTGTATTGTGGCTCCGCTGTTTTGAATTGGGAGTTTCTTGAGTAATATGGACATTCATTCACGGAAAATATTTCATCCAAGATATTGTAAATGTTTCTTATGAGATATTAATGTTTTATTCTTTTATAATGTTTTATTAAAAGTTGTTCAAAAGTTGATTCATAATCATCATGAGCTATTACAATCAACATAGGTGAACTTATCAGAATTAAAAATGTAACAAGACACTGACGTAGCTTAAAATAATGTTGATATGATATTCCAAGAAAATATCATGAACTTTTGACTTTCTGTTACCTTCTTCATTTCCCGTGATTATTTCATAATGAATTTCGCTATTATTCCAAGCATCAACATCAACAGCGGTCGCCTTAACAATATCTTGATTTGCCAAAGCTCCTTCAGATATAAACACGGAGAAGCCATTTGCAGGGAATACTGGTTGGTTGTCATTGACGTCAAGGAGATAAACATTGACCTGTCAGTATAAAAGTGGCATTTTAATTGTGTAACGGTTGCAAAATATTTTAGTACTCAGACAAAGATGGAAGAACATAAGAAGACTTAAATAAACATAAAAAAGGACATTACAAGACGTGAACTGGCAAGGAAAATATGGTTGTGGGCCCACATAAAAAAAACAGCAGAACAACAGCATGGGAGTTGTGACGAATATATTTCGTGTTATGGTTGGTCTCTTGGCTGGCTTCGTTTTGCCTTGCTTAAACTAAACAAGTACTTTAAAGGTACGTCACAGATTCGATCCTATCTTTCATCCAAACCTTGAAAATTTCCTCTGAACGATCACCATCTATATTTTACCTGTTCGGAAGTTTTGATGCAATGTTGGATTTGGAAGTCGAATAAGAATCTTTCGTATCATTTTTGGTAAATTATGCGGATTTATTTTATTTTATCCAGTATGAGTACTTTCGCTTCTTGCAATCTTTCAGTAACTCTTACCTGAGCACGAGTAGTGGATACTAGACTCGGGTCGCCTTGATCAACTGCCTCAATCGCCAGCTCATAAACCCCTCTAGACTTTGCATCAAGTTTAAGACCATCTTGCTCCCGATCAAGTTCTTTTATTGAGGTAACAACACCCTATGCATAAAATAGAATAGTGAAAATAGCTGGACGATAAGAGAGTGACCTAGTTATGACGTCATAAAATTATCTGGTTTTTATAGTTTAGAACCTCTGTTTAAAAAGAGCATCACTTAATACCTCTTATGTTGCAGGGATATTCAGTGCGAAGCAAATAAGCTGATATGCCAGAACCTCAAGTTTACGTGAAAAATATCAGTCGAGGTTTGTTTTTTGCGTTTTCTCAAGGCTTTTGAGTAATAAGCCTTTATTTTTTGGATAAAATTGCTAAAACGCTAAAAGAAATCTTCAGATTAGAATCAACAACCGATTAATAAAGAGAACATACAGTTTCTGGGTGAATGTGAAATGCATTCCCAAAATTTCCGCTTTTTATCCTGTAAAGCAGTTTCGCATTTGATCCATCGTCCGCATCGGTCGCCTTCACAGCAGCAACAATTTTCCCGCTGCTTCCAAGCCCTTCTTGGACCTCAAAGTCATACTTCAAGGGGCTGAAGACAGGTTTCATGTCATTTTTGTCAAGGATGGTTATTCTCACGATCGTAAACCCCTGCAAAAATGAGTTGATTATACCTCCAAGGCATTGAAGAATAATACATTTGTGCAGCTTTCCAGCACAAAAGGCGTACAGAATACTATGCAATATCTTGTAGATTTCCCATTTATTGCCAAATCTTACTATTATTATCTGTTACCTAATTTTCAGTTTGAGTTTAATGTTCTGAAGTATTGCTTGAGGCTAAAAAGGAACTTTGACCCTTTATTATCTGACTCCTGTTCATGCGTAATCTCCGAAAAATTCCCCTCCACGAATAGTTGTCGCTTTAATAAAAATATACGAGTCAGAAAAATATAGATTAATATAATATAAAAATATAGAAAAGTATAGAAGTGTTACCTTTTTACCGCCCGAGTCTTGTGCGGAGCATAAAATGTCGTAAATGCTGGCGGCTTCTCGGTCCATTGTTTTCGTAGTAGTCGTTATTTCGCCAGAAAATCGATCAATGAACAGCATGCCATTCGAATCTGATGAAAATAAACAAAGAATTTTAATATCATTTAATTTATATTATATTTCAAGCAATGGTAAATGACATGATATTCATGACAAAGAATATCATGTCATTTACCATTGCTTGAAATGCATTTGAAGAAATATTAAAGTCATATACGACAATATGAATATGTTTAGAATATTAGAATTCAGCATAATCGATTTGCAGTTCTACAAAAAATGCCATTTATAATACTTAAAAGCAAAGGAAATGGGAAAGAACTTCAATAGCTAAAGCTGATATGATCAGAAGATGTACTTATGCCTCCTTATGAAAAGAATTACTCCAAAAACTAGGTTGCTTTGGATGTTGGATCAATGACATCAATGTATCAAATACTTAGGCTACAAATTTATAAAAATTTCACTAAAAACTGTATTCATAAAATGAAATTCATAAATAGAATCATACTTTCGATCCCATATCGCAACATCGCATTTTGACCTTCGTCTAAGTCGACTGCTGATATCTTAAGAACAAACTTTCCAGCCTCTTCATTCTAGCGATATAAGATGACTTAGTTGAAAATCATATAACCACATGATATAATCACACATATATAAAAGAATCAGTGTGAGTTGAAGAAACACAATTCATCAATATTTACATTCGAAGGCCAAAAAATCATGTAGTCTCGTAACGTTTTTCAGACAACAAATCTTGATTGTCAAAAAATTACAATTAAAAAGGGGGTAATATTTCAAAATCATGATAAAACACTCACCTCGAATGCCGTTGCTTGGTAAATGCTTGAATTAAAAACTGGGAAGTTGTCATTTTCGTCGATCACTTTGATTGTGACATTAACGAAGTCAGAAAAGAACCCATCAGAAACTTTGACCTAGAAATTTTTAGCAATACCTATATTCCGTCAATAGCGTACATTGTAAGTACCATTGTGATAACCTTTTTTCATAAGAGAACAAAATTGTTCAAGAAAGCAGTTCGTATTGCCGTTTTGAAACATTTCTTACTGCAGATTAAGCTTATGCTTTGATAAAAATTACCAAATGAGCGTGTATGAAAGGATGCTTGAAATCGTTTGCTTAAAGGTTAAAGATTTTGACATTAAATTTATGCTAATGTTTGCAAAATAAAAAGTACATGGCATTCTAAAATTTAAAGAATCAAAAAATCAAAAAACGTAGAAACTTTACTTCAACGGCAACTTTTCGATCATGAACGACTATTTTAAGGAATTTCTTGCACAATGTATGAATAAAAAGCTCCATTTTATGGAAAAAAATCAAGATCAAAATCTTCTAACCATTAGTCGATACAGCGAAGTGGTCTCCCGGTCAATTTTTCCAGCTGTTGTTATAACCGCCCTAAACTCATTTGCAATTTTATATGTCGAGATCGAAAACGCATTTTCGACATTGCCGTCAACAAGTTGAAACTGCAGCTGCAAAGCAATTTTATGATTTATCATAACATTTAGACAGAGGTCAATTAACATAAAAATTGCAATTTTACGCTTCTATCAAGCTAGCAGTTTTTGTGAGACATAGCAAACACCAACAGCTGTACATCAGATTTCAGAAGCTAAACTGACCTTAGTTTTGTTCGATAAATCTGGATCTGTTGCAGTAAGGGTCACGACATTTGTGCCAATAGGCATGTTCTCCTTGACCTCTCCTCCGTAATTAAGAAACTGAAATTTAGGTGGAAGGTCGTTTTCATCGGTGATTGTAACAGTGACCTGAAACAAAACGAAAGGACAATGCAAAAAGGAGTTAAAGGAGTAAAACCTCTCTATTCATATCTGCATTATGATTGCAAACTGAAGTTTAAAGCTAATAAGGCAATGGAAACCTCCACACTGGAACTGAAAAGTGAATTAAATTTGGAAAGTTTTTATTGCTTAATTACGTAGGCTTGTCCAAGTCTCGGAGGCATGCCGTTGTCCGAAGCAGTGATTAGCAGATAGTAGATCGACGTTGTCTCCCGATCCAGGTTGCCATGAACACTGATAACACCCTGAAACCGAAGAAAAATTAAATCTTCACGTGAATGACTCTTTTAGAAAGTCAAAATAGAGAGCAAACGAAAATCTAGTCAAAAAAGTTACATCATACGAGAAAAATTATATTTGTAAATGTATTTAGGATGGAAATCATTCTATATACTTAGTATTTTTTATTATTTTGAGCTTTCTATGGATACAAAGAGTACACCTTGTCAAAGCTAAACTTACTGCACGGCTGTCAATTTGAAATGCGTTGCCTAGATTTCCATTGGCAATGTAATAAATAACAGTTGAGCCGGTGTCACTTTCAGATGCATTCACTGTTACAACGCGAGTGCCAGAAACTGAATTCTCCTTAACAGACGCAAAGTATACGGCTGGGTTGAATACTGGATTGTTGTCGTTGGAGTCCACAATTGTGAAGTTGATACTGACTTTCGTGCTGTTCAGGCTAGGGTTTCCATTGTCTGTGGCCCAAACAATGAATGTGTACCTTGAATAGAATGATTATGGCTCATACTTTTCTTGCATCGTTTATATCACAATAGAATCACTTTTATAACTATGGTATGCAAATTGAATTTAGTTAAAAGTGAACGTGTTAGTTGTCAATGGCGAGGTGGCTGCTTCAAGAACATGTTGAATTTGGCAGCCTGTTCTGAATACCTCAACATCTCTGAAAGCCAAAATGACAATCAAGACATCAATAAGATCACAGAAGAAAGACAAGCTGACCATTATCGTCCATAGAGGGAAATTTGTTGCAAACATTGACATAGAATGCTTTGAAATGCTAGAGTAGAAGTATCTATTTTACCTGGACATAAGCTCGTAATCAAATGAAGCTGCAGTGAGCACTGCCCCACTTCTTCCATCAATTGTAAATTGTGAGCCAACTGATATACCATTGAAAGAGAAAAAACTATTTGTACCAATGTCTAAATCCGTTGCAGTCACTGTAACGACTTGAGAACCAACCAATGTTGCTTCGCTAATCAAAATATTATTAGGCAGATCTCCGATTCTCGGTGCGTTGTCATTTGCATCCAGAACTTCAATATCTACTTCTACATCAGCGTGCTTTGGCTCACCTATTCCATGTTAATAACAAAATTTCATTACAACGCATCCATGTTTTTCTTGTAGTTTACTTTTCATATAGCTTCAAAAATCTATCATAAAAAATTATAAGAGTGTAAGCAGTTTTGATCAACAATCCATAACTAATATCAAGATCACTAAATAATATCAAAAATAATAAGATTATAATTCAATGTGTAATTTATCTTTTGGGCAGCTTTTGAAAGTTTGAATCTTCATCAATAACCTTAAAAAGTCAGCATAACCTAATTCAAATGAAAAATTCAGTATCATTTTAGAAGTAAAGAGTCGTTCTTGTCTGATTTTCTAATCCGACCAAAAACTTACCCCCACGATCTTTGGCTCGCACAACCAGTTCATAAACTGCTTTACTTTCTCTGTCAAGACGTTTTGCTGTTTTGATTCGTCCATCAACATCTATTACAAAGGCTCCTTCAGAATTCCCTCCTTCAAATATAATTGAAAAAGAAACTATGCTGAAGACGTCATCGTAAATACAATTCTATTATATCAAAAAAACCTTAGCACATCACAGTACGCCGTAGACCCAGTTATCGTCAAATCATTAGGCATAAAATTCAAGATCAGTTAGAAAACGTTTCACCACATTTCCTGGCTTGTGTACAGCCTGAGTGTATCGATCACGTATACACTTGCGACTTACCGGTTATAGTATAAAGAATTTCCCCAGCAGGCCCAGTGTCTGCATCCGTTGCATTGACAGCAACAGCGACAGCTCCTATCGCATTTTCTATAACCTTTCCTCGATACGAGTATCTACTGAAGACAGGCGAGTTGTCATTAGCATCAGAAATGTTCACGAACAAATTGACGGACGCAGCAAGTGGCTTCGTGCCTTGGTCTGAGCATGTGATAATGATATTGAAGCCATTAGGGAATCTTTCCCGGTCCACAATGTCGGCAGTCAACACTAAACCTGTTGAAGAGTTTGGAAACCTGATACAGAATATCTAAAAAAAATTGGTGTCTATTTGTTGCAAAGTTGAATTTTTAATTTTGTGGTAAAGTATAACACAAAGACATACCAGTGTTTGGATTCATCGCAAAGATACCTTGTCCATCAGTCATGCTGTACCGAATCGCCCCATTAAGTCCACTGTCAGAATCCTTTGCAACAACTTGTATTAAGGACGATCCAACCTTTCTGTTCTCTGTAATTAAAGCATAATAATTTGGCTTCTCGAAGGCAGGAGCGTTGTCGTTTTCGTCTTCAACATCAATAATGACAGGAACAGCAGAATTCTGGAACAAAAATATAACATTATTGGCTTAATTTACTAATGGAGAGTCGGACCCAACAGTGATTGGTAGAGGGGTGCGTCACATTTGCGGAAGTAATGAGCCTCATTAGAGAATTGCGACACTCCTTAACTCCTTAAGAAGGAGCAAAGGTTGGCGGTCAGTTGGTAAATGCAGTGAGATTTGCAGATGACCAGGCCATGTTAGCAGATTCAGAGAAGGGTTACAGGTAATAATGGACAGTCTGAATGCAGTTGTTGAAGAGTTTGGAATGAAAATTAACATTAAGAAAACGAAAGTGATGAGGATCAATAAAAACGGCGAAGATGATGTAATGATCAAGCTAAGAGGTAAAAATCTGGAACAAGTCAATAGCTTCAAACACCTTGGAAGCATTTTGACAAGCAACATCTATTTCAGTACAAAGATAAGATCACGGATTGCTCTAGAAAAGGTTGCCTTTAATTCATGAAGAGAACTGTTAACGAAGAAGCTCAATACACGGTTGAAAAAGAGAATGGTTAAGACATTGATGTGGAGTGTGTTTTTGTACGGGTCAGAATCATGGACACTTAAAAAGGAGGATATCAGGAGATTGGAAAGTGCAGAGATGTGGTTTTGGAAGCGAATGGTAAAGATCAGTTGGACAGAAAGAATCACAAATGAGGAAACAGAGCATTAATCTCAACCATACATAACCGGCAGAAAAAGTGGATGGGTCACATTACGAGACACTAGGGACTACTAAGTGATGTCATCGAAGGAACGATTTACTGCAGAAAGAGTAGAGGAAGGAACAGAATGACATTGTTTAATCATTGGCGTATGAAAAAAATGGCAGAACTAAAGCGTATGGAAAATTCAAGCGTAGAGTTGATCGTGATGGTTGGCGCATGTGGCGCTGAGCCTGCCTCGCGGCAGACAGCCGATGAAAAGAATTTCGCTTAGGAAAAGTCGTATTTGGTGTTACCTACACAAAATATTTCTAATAGATAGGCTCAAAACCTTTGTTGAGCAAAAATTAAAGCAGAACTCTAATCAACATTTGGTATCTAACAAACTATTGGCTATAAATCTTTAAGAGCCTTATGAATATAATCATGAATTTATCTGTTAAGGAGTGTATTAAGAAATGTACACTACAAAATGTTCACAACGAAATGTACACTACGAAATGTACACTAAGAAATGTACACTAAGAAATGTACACTAACGAAATGTACACTACGAAATGTACACTACGAAATGTACACTAAGAAATGTACACTACGAAATGTACACTACGAAATGTACACTACGAAATGTACACTACGAAATGTACACTACGAAATGTACACTACGAAATGTACACTAAGAAATGTACACTAAGAAATGTTCACAACGAAATGTACACATAGAATTGTACACTAAGAAATGTACACTAAGAAATGTACACTACGAAATGTACACTAAGAAATGTACATTAAGAAATGTTCACAACGAAATGTACACTAAGAAATGTACACTACGAAATGTACACTAAGAAATGTACACTACGAGATGTACACTACGAAATGTACACTATGAAATGTACACTAAGAAATGTTCACAACGAAATGTACACATAGAATTGTACACTACGAAACTTACCTTTGCTGGACTGCCACCATCAAAAGCTGTAACAATCAAAGTATGTTTCGAAACATTTTCACGATCTAAAGATAACTTTGTGGTAATTTTCCCATTTGTAGTATCAATTGAGAAAAATTCGCTGGACATATTGTATCTGATAGTGCCATTGACGCCTAGATCTTTGTCGGTTGCAAAGACCTAGAAAAGAATGTGGGAAGCGTAGATATAACAATGAATGTAAAAAGTTAATAAATGGATATAGCATATTTGATTCAATTGAAAGCTTAAGCAACATATGGTCTATCTTTGTTTGAATGTTTCCCTGATCGTAACATTTTTCAAAATCATTTGAAATTTTGAACAAAAGTTGTCAGCTAACCTGTGTTACAAATTGATCTGCAGGCAAATTTTCTTTGATGCTAGCTAAATATTGCTGTTGAGAAAATTGAGGAAATTCATCGTTCGCATCCATGACGCGAATATTTAGAAAGGCAGTACTTCTTCTCGGTGGAGTTCCTCCTGTTGCAAAAGAAAAAATATCATTTAGTTTTTTTACTATTGATAATACTATGTTTTAACTTACACCGAAAATCAGAAAGAGTATTGCTATTAACAAAGGACATGCAAAAAAACATTTGGATATTTTAAACAATTAAAAGCAAAAATTCTTAAATCCTTAAAAAGATGTTTAAACTTAAAAAAAGATTTCTTAGCTTTTGGAAATTCTGGAAACTCATTAGAAAGGCCAGTTTCTTGGAAGTCAAGAGATTTCCTTCCAGGTGGTCATTTTTGGACGTAACCTGCTTCTCATACCGTATGTTGATTCCGAGTTAATAAATCACTTGGAATCAAATGAGTCATTTCTTTCAGAAAAAATATGCATATAATGATGAAGTGACTGGCCTGGTTGTCTTGTGACGGGACGTTTTTAGAGCGAGGTAGATCTGAGCACAGTACAGCATGATCTGCACAATCATGGCGTGATGATGTTACCTATTATTGGTAGCTTAGGTTACTAATTATGCGAGGTCGTCTTCAAAATGTTAGAGTTCACAATAAGCATTTTAAATCATCCTAGAAATGAATCGATGTGAATAACAAGTTGAAGCCAACAAATATCTATTTGGGAGCACAGTTCTAGACTATTTTTAAAAAACCTTCCATGCTCTAACATATTGTTACTTCGGCATAAAACTATTTTGAGGCAAATATCTCAGAACTGAAAAATTAGGCCATAACTTTTTTGTAATATTGTTGATGATGCATTAATTAATAAACTGGTCCACTTTCGCTAATACTTCTTATGCAAATAAAAAGGACTGTATACCATCTTCAGCAACGACTTGAAGAGTGAAATGAGAAACCATTTCTCGATCAATCTTCCCAACATTTGTCAATTTTCCTGACTTTGCGTTCACAGCAAACGTGTTAGCAGTATTACCAAACGCAATTGAATACGACAGCAAACCGTTGTTACCGGCATCTTCGTCGCGTGCTGCAAACTGGAATACCAATATGTTATGCAAGCAGCAGACACTTTAATATAGGCTTCTACAGCAACAGTAATTAATAAGAAAAATCCAACACATAAACAAAATATTTATAGATACAACAGGATAACAAATACAGCTAAAATTTAAACAATATTTTTATTAAGAATCAATGATATGTAACTCATGGATCACTCTGCTCGGTTTGTAAAAAACATTATCGCGACATTAAAGAATAGAAGCAACTCTTGCCTTTACAAATTTGAACATAATGAGGGCAAACAAGGCAAATAGATCAACAGAGTAAAATACAAAGAGTGACAAAGCCTATTTTAAGAAAAATTTTAAGGTATGATGACTCACTGCAAAGATCTCCGTATTTATTTTCAGGTTTTCTTGTATTTGTATTGTGATTGTATCTTGTCCAAATGTTGGTGCATTATCATTGACATCAACAACCAAAATATCTATTTGTGTGTGGTTATGCTTTTGATTTGCTGGGTCGCCATCTGTCACTTTCACATCAAGGCTGAACGAAGCTGTTGCTTCTCTATCAAGAACACCAGTTGCGAAAATCTCACCCGTTCGGCTATCAATTTCAAACGGACCTTAAAAAAATGCCACGACTTCCTTAATAGTCCTTTTTACAAGCATTAACAGAAATTTTCCATAAATAACAGAAACTAACTACCAAAGTATTTAAAAGAGTCAATTAGAATAAAAAAAACAAACCTTGCCAATTTAGCCTTTGACGTGACATTAGTATCCCAGATTTTCTGGCTGTGGAAGCAATTTTACCTCTTAAAATTCTGAGTTGCTCAAAGTAAAAGAAATTTAAAAAAGGAAATTTCTTAGAGCAAGAAATTTATAGCCTTTAGCTTAGAGAAAGTGCACTTATTAAAGAAATTTAAAGCTTCTGACCAGGTACGAAATTCAAAATTCTTAAATGTAAAAAGAAAATTCATAAATGTAAAAAGATGACATGGCTGTGATAACCTGAATTTGTGAATGCATGCATGACCTCGTAGTCTGCAAGTTTTAATTTCCATATTACCAGCTCGCCTACATAGAATCGCCCAAACAACTGCGGATAGGCATCAGCGTCGTTGGGACGACCAATAATCAGCTTTGTATAGGCATCGGCAACTCTTGATACGTCAGCAACTGTGTATGCCTTAACATGGAAAGAATAAAAGAAAATAATGATAAATACAAAGCAAAGATAGAAAGTTGGGAAGTAAGTTTCGAAAATTAATTTGATCATCATGCTAAATGAGCAACCTAAAAACTCACAAAGCTGAAGTAACTATCAAAAATCTATCAAAATGATACTGAAAACCTTAAATTTCTTAAAATTTTCACTTTAGAACAAAAGCTCCAAGTTATTTTAAAGGTAATTTCACCAGTCATAATAATTTGCTTTCTTTTGATGTGAGAAATTTCAATTCATCTTCTATTACACAGTTACAATTAGTGATAACGAGAGTGGAATTGATAAAAAACTGAAGTATCCCCGCATTTACACAAGATCAATCCCTCAAAAAATGAGATGTTGTTTTATCAAAAATTGTAAGTTCTGCTCTTTGCAGCGGACACGTTTACAACAAGATTGATTGCATAATGTCTTTGAAATCTTTCAATTGCAAGCAAATGTGGTTTGAATAAGTAGTGAAACTGTAAAAATCCACCTTTGTTAACAGAGCTCCATTTTCATAATATGCTAACCCAGAGTTCTCATCCCAGGTGAAGGCAAAATGGTACCAGTTGGCAGATACTGAGTTAATCCTTAATTCAAACTCTTTAGTTTGAGTGGCCAGTCGCAGCCGAAAGAAGCCAGATTCAAAGTTGAGAGATAATCCAGTGGCGTGGTTAGATTGGGCTCCAGAAGACAATATATAACCCCCTGCTTCAAATTTGATCCACATCGCCAGAGAGAGGCCAGAGGTGCAGAGAGTCGGGTTGCTTATACAGTCACCTGAAAGTGTTCAAACAGGAAGTGAATATACCTAAAGAAACATCTTTTTATGTCAATTAAGAACAACTGAAACTGCTAAACTACCATTCATGGCGAGGAAAGACACAAGGCCACAAAGTCCTCACCATCTAAGAAAAAAGAAAACATGAATAAAAAAATAGAAATTAGAAAAAGGAAAGAAAGGACTGCTGCTGCTGTATTTTGGCATTAATTTAACCTTGCCGAGGCCTTAACGAAGGAAATGGATGCTTCTAATATAATTCTGTACCCAAGTTCCGAAGGTCTTTCCTATTTACATCGGCAACATTAAATCCATCGATACCTGAGAGCTGGTCAAAGAGATCCTGGCGTTTCATGTTGTACTGAGGATAGTGCTCATTGTCCTCTTTACCGGTGCCACAGAAACACATTGCACTTAAACAGGCAAAGTTATGCTTAAATCTATATGTCCATTCAAAGCGCTGAATTCAACCCTAAGCATGGTTAGAAGTCTGATACCCAAAATGTCAAGAACGTTGTAGGTAGGATTGTTAATTGGCCTTATGATAGCAAGCAGATTCTTTTTAAACTGGAAAATCGAAGGAAAATTTCATTCTTTATTATACAGAAGATTCCGTTTAGATACGGTATTTTGGAAATACGAGTTTGAGTACCGAATTGTTCTTCCAATTGTTCTGCTACGGTATCTTCAAAAAAAGGTATTCTGGTGCTTTGCATGGAGAAAAGAAGTGGCACAATCTTCGGTACCATCTACCATTCGGTACTATCCTAATTCGTCATAGAGCCTTTGCCTACTTGTATCTCTCTAAGCGCCTGTTATAGCTAGTTCAGCAGAGTATAGGGTCTGTTCTAACCTTTGTGTGAAATGATGATGCATTCAGGCTCGTGTTTATGGTATATGATATCCCCATAATCCAAATGCGGTCGAAGGTAAAGCATAAGATCTGCTTATAGAAGAAACATCTTAAAAGCCAGTATGATTTGTCGATATCAAAAGAAGTGATCCTTTTCATTGGAATTTGAATATTAAATTATTTTGAAAGTTAAATCCAATACCTTTGAAATCGCCTGCAACAATGTAGTTTGGAGAGCCAGAAAGTTTAACAACATTGCCCATCCCTGCCTCTGTGAACAGTCTTGCACCATGAAGCACAGCCGTGAGATTCATTTTCACGTCATTAACCGAGTTTTCAGTAGAAAGAGCATCAAATAACCACAAGTAGTTGAAATAGTAGCCTAAAAAGGAATGACGAGGACTCTTTTTGCTAGCAGATATGTTGCAATTAGCTTTCTGTAGATAATAAATTTTCCCTTATCACCAGCTGTAAAGGTGGATGTGAACTCCTTACGATGCTTTAATTTTTGAAACAAAATTATTCAAAGGTTAAAAAAAGACATTATCAAATACTTTCAGGATTTGTACAACACTAAAACATACTTGACATGTTGACAAATTGATATGACGTAAGACCATAAACTGAGCTTGCCGTGTCTAAGTCACTGTCATAAGCTTCAATTTTTCCAACTCGAAATTTTCTGCCAGTGTAATTTCCCTGAAAAACCAGCAATAATGAGTCCTGCATCAACAATGTCACTCAACTGATAAAACATAATCCAATTAACAAAAAAAATACAATTACTTTTTGTAGACAGGAAAATAGCTGCAAAAAACTAATAAAATTGCCTAATCTCAACTTTTTTCTTCGGATTTCTGCACTGACTTGATGACGTCATCAGTTAATTTGCTGATATCAGCAAAATAGAATTTGTTATGCCTTAAACAAAAGCTCCTTATTAGAGCTATCCGAATATACAATTATTGTTGTTATAAGGCTTTGGTACAAGAAATATTAGCCTTCTTGTTGAATTATTTTTTACATTATGACGTCACGAATCACGTGCAAGCTAAAAAAAATTCGCGATGGCCCATCTCAGAATATCGATCTTTAACCATTAAAATGCAAAAATGCCGAAGAAAAAAATCGAGATTAGGCAATTTGTTAGTTTTTCGCACCTTTTTCCTTGTCTGTTGCGATTGTCAAATGGTTGAGTATCGCCTCAAGATTTCGAAAAGGCCTATAGGAACGAAATTATGAAGCAGGATTGCCGTGGTTCCTATCCTGTTTCCTGTAACTTTCCATCTTTGATGTTATTTCGAGTTTTATTTAACGTGTAGAGAACACGTACCCAGTGAGAGAGACAGTATGTTGTTGATCTTAAGGCCTTTCTAGCTAAAACGTGCAAGTCCTTGTTATCAGTTAATCTAATTGAATTTAATTGCTGATCACCAACTTATAATTCTCGTTGATATATTTTATATCCTATTTCAGTTATAAGCGCTTTCACTTCAATAATTAAAATGAATTGCAAGGAAAGGGATTTGTGGTTCGGGGAATCTTTGACGTAAATTTGTCGTCACAGTGCAAATTGTATGGTTTCTCCTGAGTATGTAGGTAAAGCCACAAATTCGTATGTCTGCAATGCACAGGATGGAAAACCCCAGTGATGCAAAGTTGTATACAAAACTACTTAAGGACACCAATCAAAACATGGCGAACCAAAGCCAAGCTGTTCGTCGTAGTTTGACGTCACAGGTTCACCAGATCGATTTGCCTTTCTTCCACTTTCTCTTAATTTCAATGAAAGCAATGCTCAGACGGCACGCAAGAATAAGCTAAGACTCGAAATGTTTTTAAGTAATGAAATAGGTAATGTTAAGAAAAACTATTGAAATAGGAAGAAAATTTTCAGCACACTCACCTCGTTCAAACTAAATGGACCTGTTGCAGTGAACTGAGGTGAGTTGTCATTGACATTCATAATCTTAACAAGAACTTTAGATGAGCTGCAAATAATCAAAGCAAAGTCAGAAGCAGTTTTGTCGATGAAAATTAAGAATAAAGAACTATTTACTTTGGTATAAAGAATTACTAGCCGCAGTATTTCATTAAAAATACTTTCACTTATATTTCATCTATAGGGTAATTATCTTTTCATCCATTTTTAAAATAGAGAATAAGTGAGTAAATTTGTTGAGCAAAAATTTCCAAGAATAATTGATGCCAAATCAATATTTGCAAATATATCTACCTTTTCAGCTGTGTAGCTCCAAAATCACTCGCTTCAATTTCAAGAGGGTAGCTTCTGACTCCAGTATCGTAATCAAATGTTTTTGTAGTCGTTATGCTGCCAGTCAAAGGGTCCACGCTAAAACCCTGTCATCGGGAAAAAGTGCCGCAGTTATTTACAAAGGAAAATTAATATGTTGAACATGTGAACAAATAAAGTATATACTTCTTAAAATGTAATTTCAAAACCGAACAAAATGTCCTTTTTTGTTCTGGTAAAACACAGTATAAAAATATTTTCTAAAGGAAATAAATTTAACTTGTAATTGGTTGTTTCACAATTAGGCGTTATGGCAGTTATTGAGTTTAAACCCATTTCAAATTATTCATTTGAAATAATCACGTTTTACACCTTTGTCAATTTGATATTAAGGATTGAGAGTACCGAGCAACACACGGTAGACAATTTTGAAATTTATTTGCCTTAGTGGGACCTAGAGGAATAATTTACCATGTTTGATCCTTTGACGAGGCGGAAACTGATCCGACCGTTGCTTTCACTATCTTTGTCTGTGCAGTTTAAAGTAACAACTTTAGTTCCAAGTGGTTTATTTTCTTCTAGGGATACCTCAATCGCATCTGAAATCGAATTCAGATTCAAAGATGAGCAAAGATATACTAGATATTTCATAGGGACAATTAAAAAATAAATTGAAAAGAAAACAGATTCCCGAAAGCTTTAAAGGCTTAGAGAATATCGAATCCCGAAAGCTTTAAAGGCTTAGAGAACAATACCTGGGTGAAATGTTGGCTTGTTGTCATTTGCGTCTTTTACAGAAACATGCAACTGAAATAAAAATTCATTCAGCAAATCTAAGATAATCTGAGATGAAGATTGTAATAAACTGTTTGAAATGAACGAAGGAGAGAAAATTTGAGGTTTTATAGTGAAAGAGGTAAGGTTTTAAAAACTTTGATGAAAATTTTTTGTCAATGGGAGGAGATTGTTTGTGCAATGAAAACTTGATGCATCTTCAGAACTGAGATTGATACACTTAAATAAGTAGGTTCAAATACCTTAGCTAATGCACTACGCGGAGGAATTCCCATGTCACTTGCACTGATCTGAAAAAGTTGATCAATTGAAAGAGAGGTTGCATTGTTACGGTAGGATACATTACAAATTCAAAGTAGTAGAACGACCTAATGGTGACTGACTGTATTGTTACCGACTTACAGACTGAGCGAAGCTCCACACCGATACACAATTTGATTAAAATTTCGAAATTACTTTTGTCATAAGTTTCCTTGTCTATTGCCCAAACTAGGCCATTACGCTTCAGGACAACAACACAATCTGACATAGTAGTTAATTCACTGTGCGCTGTTGATTAACCCGAAAAGTATGGTAAATTAACATATAATGCTGACCGTACATAGCCTAAATCAATCATGCAAGCAATTTACGATTGAGTTAATAAAACTAAATATTCATCGAAATGTAAAAAAATACTCACAAAAAGAGTAAATGAGTGCTCATTGTTTGGCGGGTCTCTATCAATATTGCTAAGAACGAAGACTGCTCCGCTGTTGACATCAATAGAAAATCTATTATTTGTGTTTCCCTGTGTTATTTTGTACCGGATCAGCTGGTTCCGTCCGACATCTTTGTCGGTCGCTCTAAAGCTGGCAACCACGCTGCCTGCTGGGGTATCCTCGCCAATGGTTATCGAGATCGAACTTTTTTCAAAGATGGGCGAATTGTCATTTTGATCCTAATTCAAGCAAATGTAAAGCATAGAAATATTGAAAAAATTAAACTTCATTTTTTTTCAACAAAATGTGATAAGGGGAAATATCCTCTTTTCAACAATCCTCAAAATAAAAGTTAGAGTTGCCTAAAAAATTGTTGTTCAGGGCAGACGAGAAGATACCCTTAAAGATGAAAATAACCCATATCATTGCCGAACTTCTCTTACAAATAAATTTTATATTCATTAAAAAATCTATAAAACATGAAAAATCTTCAATAAAATACTGACAAAAACTTTGATTTGAATTGCTGCAAGGTCTTCACGGATACTTTGTTGGTTTTCAGTGTCTGTTACGCTCACGATCAGTATGTGCAATTCCGCAACTTCGCGATCGAGGCTTTTCCTCGTTGACAAAAAACCAGAGGAAGAGTTGAGAGAAAAATCATCATTTTTGTTGCCTGAAACGATCCTGTATCTCAAGAAAGCATTCAGTCCACTGTCTCTGTCACTAGCCTAGAAAATAGATCCAAGTTATAGAAAATTATCTCAATCTAAAGATGCCTGTGTATTTTACGGGCACAAAAAGCCCCCCCCCCCCATAAAAAACTTGAAGATTTGACCCAAAGGGAATTGCACTATGCACGTCACTTTTTAGACTTCGAAGGCACCATCAAGAATATTTCGGCATCAGAGAAGAATAAACCACCTAAGTGAAACAAGAATAAAAGGATAAGTGAAAGAAGAAGGAGAGGAAGAAGGAGAAGAAGATGGAGTAGAAAGAAAAAAAAAGGAGAAAAAGAAGAAGATGGAAAAGAAGAAGGAGATAAAGAAAGAAAAGTAGAAGGAGAAGAAGAAGGAGAAGATAAGAAAAATATAGACCAATATAAAACAAGGGAAGGTAAATAGAGAAAGAGAAATGAAAATAAAAGAACGTTTTCCTTGATATCGCCCTTTGATGAAGTCCCAGTTTATGGAAAAAGAATTCTTGACTGACAAAACACTAACAATGATTGATAAATCTTTTGACAGTTAGGTGAAAAATCCCGTGTTTATACTTACATTCACGATGCCAATTACAGCAGCTGGTGAGTTCTCTGTGACATTGAAGAGGTACAATCGACGTTCAAAAGTCGGCTTATTGTCATTTACGTCCAGAACTGTCACTTTGATATTTACAGATGACTGGAGTGCTGGAGAGCCATTATCTGTGGCCTTGGCAACGGCAGTGTAGGAAATTCTACTTTCATAATCGAAAGCAACTTTGTTCCTTATTATACCAGTTATTGAATCAATAGAAAAACTGAAATTCAATTGAAATAAATACAAAAGATAAGAATTGATTAAAGGTAGGTAATTGCTTAATAATGGCATGTCAAGATTTATAGAAATAGTTGAATTAATAATAATAATATAATAATCTACCATATTTATACAGGATAGCCTTTTCAGTAAAGATAAAACTGCTATCACTAAGGGTCCTGTTAAAATAAAAGTTTGTAAAGTAAAAGGTTCAAAATTATAAGAGATTGAAGTTAAAGCTTAAAAAATTTAAATGGTTTAAAAAGTTATACTACAGAAGTTAAAAAAGTTACACTAGAAATGTAGGTTTGTGTCCCTGCTGGTTGCTTTAAATCTCAAAAGTGATTTTTCAGTTTTTTCAGTTGGAAGAAGAAAGTTTTACGCCCCGTTTCTGTCCTAACTTTTGGAATGACTACACTTTTGTTGTTTTTGCGGGTATTTACTTTGTGATTGTGCCTTATGAAGTAAGTTCCAAACGCTTTTGGCGCTATGCTGTTTAAGCATTTAAAAAATTCTAAGGCACATAGTCTGTTTCGAAGATGGTTTACTCGGGGAAACTTGACATCACTTTTCCTTTTTCCATTGATAATACGCATTGTCATCAATGCCAACGTTAACTTTCACTTCTAATACTCAAAAGGTTTGATAAAATGTTTTGTTGTTGATTAAATGATTTTGTCACTATTACACTCATCCAACATCAAGCACCATCTTGGCGTTTTTGTCCCATTTCGAAAAAAAGCTCAATTCAACAAATAACTTACTGTTCTCCACCTTCAGTTAACATGTAGGTAACGTTGGCGTTTTTAGCAGCGTCTTTGTCACTTGCCTAAAAGCAAAAGAACTTTGGGTAACTATACGCATAATGCAAATGACATTCCTCTCTTGATAAATCAGAGAAAGTAACAAAACTCTTTTTGCTAACCGAGTGGAACATATGCAAAATTGAAGAGCGACCACGTGAACACGCAGTTTTGTATGACAATGTTATGCACCTTCCATTCCATTTCGTCACTTGAGCCACGCGCATCGTTACAGTAGCAGAAGTTGAAGAAAAAGGGTTGCAATATGATGAATCCGTCATGACAGAAGCAAGTGAACTTTATACCTTAATTTGGCCAACAAATGCATCCACTTCTCCTTCGATAATGAAGAATCCATAGCCCCTTGAAGACGAGAATTGAGGAATGTTGTCGTTTACATCTAGAACTTCAACTGTCACACTTGATGTGCTGTTCTAAGAAAATAAATTCTAAACACATAAAATGGAACATCAAAGTAAATATAAAATGTTATGCAACTGTATATAGCCACGAGTATCTGGTAACACTACCACGAGAACATTAAGCCTCGTCATTTGAAATGTTTCACAGAAGAATAACCATGAGTTCAAGGAAGCTTATCAACAGAATATTAAATTTGCTATCGAGAGAAATACCTTTCCAGAGCCATCTCTTGCCTCGATAATCAGGTTATAAACAGCTTGTTCCTCTCTGTCTAGCGACACTTTGGCCTTCAGCACTCCACTAGGTAGGGAATGGTAATAATAGCACAAGCCTTTGTCTGGATTTACTGTTTCTCAAAATACGAGATTTACGGAATTTCAAAATACTTTCTAAAAATCAAACAGATGTATGAGAAAATGCGAACTGTGGGAAACAAGCAAAATAGGAAAATGGTCAGTAATTATATAATTTCTGGAATATATTTCACTTTCTTTTGAGCTAAATTTATGGAAATATTAATCAGGTTCATTAGTGAAACGGGGGTGAACAATTCCGGTAAAGAGGTGGCCTCCTCGGTGGGAAACCAGCTCTTTCAGTGGTCTCCCGCCTTTTATCTGTGGTCTCCCACCTTTGGTCTGTGGTCTCCCAAAACGGAACTTTGGAATTCCAGTAAAAATTTGGTCACCCGGCGTAAATATTTCAAGTATCTGCAGCTTATGAAGTTTCTAAACAAACAGGAAATCCTTTGATATTCTGCATTAACGATGAAAATGGCATTGAGTAATAGCTACCTTTGATTGCCGATGAAAAACTTCGACGCATCTCCAGAGACAATTCCGTATGTGACAGTGCCATTGATGCCATTATCAGCATCTGATGCCTTAAAATCAATTTATTCAATAAAAATATAGAATTGTTTGCATAAATAATATCCAGAGTTGAATAGAAATCAACGAGTTGTCGCCTCTTTACATCTCAATCATGGACATTCTGCAGTTTAGAATTGCATTAGAGTTAGCACCAGAGGTCAGGAAACTAGAGTTACAATATATATTCAACAGACACTCACTGTAAACTGATTAATAATATGATCGGCAGGGTTATTTTCCGAAACTTGAAAACTGTACTGCGACAAAGGAAAAATCGGCAGGTTGTCATTCACATCGTCTATCAGAATAACCAACGTTGCATTTGATGACCTTTGAGAAAGAATGACAATCAAGTACATAAATGTTTCAAAATAATGAACAATAATTGCTATGTATTTTTAATCAAAACGACAAATAAATAAATTCTATCAAGAGAAGAAAGGTCTCTAATAGAGGCAGATTTAACTAATAAAAAAAAAATAGTTATCATAATATCTTCATGATATAGCACAGTATGAAATTTAATCCTATTCTTTTTACGTAAAGGCTCATAGCATTGATTTCAACTTACAATATTGTATTAGCTCGATAGTTTGAAGCAAATACAGTCATATTGTAGGAGGAAGCTTGCTCTCTGTCAATCTCTGCTATCGTTGTTATAAGCCCAGTTTGCGAGTCAATCTTGAAAGGCAAATTCAAGCCAGCGCTGCCAAGAAGACTATAAACAACTTCTGCATTTCTTCCACTGTCCTTGTCAGCTGCTGTTATCTACAAACGTACATGATACAAAGCTGTAAAACAAGGTGATCTAATGAAATTAAAAAAATATCAGAGAACTTGAAATGGCAAAAATTTGTAGCGAACCATTCCGTGCAGAGGTTTGGTCGCGTAGGAGCATTAAGTTTGTTTAAAGGTGGATGCATATTTACAAACTGAAAATGGCATGAAATTTTGCTACCATCACGACATAAATAGCCATTCGGATTAACACAAAGTTTCTTCATTCGGATTAACAATTATTTACCTGCATAACTGAAGCTCCAACTGGCACATTTTCTATTACATGTGACAAGTACACATTTTGTTGAAATTCTGGCGGATTGTCATTCGCATCTTCAACAGAAATGTAAATTCTCGTGCTACTGTCGTATTTTTCAGTGGTTTTTGTTTCGAATGCAACAACCTGGTGGAAACAAAAAACGTGACATGCATTTACCTGATTACTTGACATTCGCTCTGTGTCAAGACAGGCTTTATAAAATTTGTCAAATTGATACGAGCATCTAAAGCAAGTCTATCAGCATTTAATTAGTTCTGGTTTGACTGTTATTAACCTGATTTTTCAATTTTGCTTCGATACAGGCAGATACAGAAATTCTGCATTTGGTACTCAGAAGAGTTTTGAATAGAAAATATTCCAGTATGTATGTTATATTCTTAAATATGCAATACAAAAGCCTTTTTTGGAAAAAAAACCTGTCAATTGCAAGCAAGGAACAGCACATATTTTTCAACCACTTATAATAAAATAAGACGCCTTTGATACTTGCCACAAACTGGTGTAACGTAGTTTTCTCTCTGTCCAGTAGGCCGTCCACATAAATATCTCCTGCTGAGGATACGCCAAAAATTGCATCACCCCCAACAATAGCATAACTGAATTCTGCATTGGTTCCCTAATACAAAAAAAGTTTTGATTTATCCTTTTTTCGTCAAGAAGAGTTTTATGAAGATCTCGATACCATAAAAACTCTTGATTAAAACTTACCGCATCTTTGTCTTCTGCTGATACACGAAGAACAGTTGTTCCAATCTTCGCACTCTCCACCACCGAAGCATCGTATCGGTCTTTTGAGAATTTAGGCCGGTTGTCATTTGTATCAGCGACAGTGATTTCTACTGTAGCATAATCCGGGTTGAATATTGTTGAGGAGGCCTTGTTAAGAAAATTTTTGAATAAGGTTAGTTTAATATATTTGAATAAGGTTGATAAAAAGAGGATAAAGATTTGAAAGAAGCGAGCTGTGACGAGAGAAACGAATGTTTTACAGGACTTGAGATCACATTCATTTTTTTATACTTCTTTAAAAGATATAAGATAAAAGTCCCATACATTTCTGGAAAAAGGTAGGAATTTACGTGTGCACCTCTTAATGCTATCTGATAATATACAAATAATGACAACTAGAGAAATTTATTTTCATATAGAGATTTAGTACATGTTATGATTCGAAGCAGCAATTTAGAACCTTTCGGCTTCACACATCAAAGTGTTTATAGCGCCGTTTGCACGGCATCGAGTGCCATACAACAAACCGGTGTAGAGTAATCTTAACAAGCCTAAAATGGTGTCAGAAAAAATTCATACCTTAACTTGCAGTTTGTATGTCGCAATATTTTCACGATCAAGTGAGTTATTGACTTTGATTGCCCCAGAGGATTTATCAATGCTAAACGCAAAACCTAGGTTCGATTCTGTAATAAGGAAAATGCATTCAAATTCTGTGAATTTTCAACATCAGTTGATAATAGCAATGACAATAATGTTGTTTCAGTCTACTTCTGCTAACTACATCAGTGGCGAAGCCAAAGGTCCTGCTGTTCCTGCTGAGCAGGAGCAAGAATTTCCAAAGATAAGATTTACAATAAACAATAAAAAAAATTATTTTTTGCAAAAAGGAAGTTTCAAGTTCTATTTGATAAGCAGTCCGTCCCAAGTATCCGCCAGCCAGGCATCCCGTGCTAATCTCAAGGTCCTGTTCTTTACTACGGCAACCCGGCAAACCTGAATTGTGGCCCTGCTCATAACTGTGATACCCTATGTTTGGTCCTGCTTCACAATGGGCCTTTGTAAATTTAGTCCTGCTTCACAATAGTCTAGTCTAGAGCAAAGAGCTGTCCTGCTCAATCTCGGGAGCAGGACCTCGTCGAAATGATCATCGTAACATTTTGTAAGCAGTAGTGATTTGATTGGTTGAGGGCTCGCCTACGTAGGCCAAAGATCATTGTTTTGAAAACGTTTGGTCCCGCTATTTCTGAGAGCAGGACTGCGAGGACTGCCCTGTGCATTCTCGTTCTGTTTAGAATTAGAGACACTGAGACGAGAATACTAGGCCAGTTTAAGTAATATGGCGAGGCGATGTGAATGTGGATTTCCGGCTTGCTTGGGCGATACCAATGTTATTACTATTGACAGCAAAACTTGCCTCAGTTGAGCTGCATAAATTTTCTAAAAAGAGTCCAAAGTTCGCGAGAAAGAAATGTTTCTCTGATTTCGGCCTTCGTATGAGGTACGGTGTTTCATGGTGGCCTAAACAAGTAAGATTTTCTTAGACCTGGACAAGGACGATAAAAACATAATTGAATTTACTGTCGAATAATTGAAATTTTGGAGTTGGAGAATATACCAATTTCAGCGATACTTGTATTTGAAAGAAATTAACGAGTAACTAGTGTTGTGTGACTGCTAGTATGAAAGTGTTTTTTTCTACCTAAATTGTTTACTGGTCTAATGGTTTGGCAAACGAAGTTGTTTATATATTTTGATAAAGTATCTAGATTTGTCAGATTTATAGACCAAAACCTGGAATAGTCTAATTATAAAATTTCAACCACCACAAATATATAACATGCAACTTCAAATGTCACCCCTGCCCCTTTTTATTGTCAAATTTAGTTATCACCAATTTGAACTTTTACTTCAGCTGTAAAGCCTTACTACAATTTAACAAAGATTTTTTTGAAAACCTCGAGCACACCTTTAAGTATCATCTGCAAAAAAAAATTTTTCATGGGCGTTTCCTATTGAATAAGGGCGTAGCCCAGTCCATAAAGCAGGACCAACTATTTTTGGCTAGCTTCGCCACTGATCTACATTAATTTCACGTCTTTGTATTTGTATTTGTATTTGTATTTGTATTTATATTTGTTGCTACCTAGCAACCGAAGCATGAAACAAGGTGAAATGAAATTTCATAAACATCTTAATCATAATTATCACCGAAAACAAAGAATTGCCAACAACAAATTGCAGAAAATGTTTTAAATTCTAAAACTCAATGACTTGAATGATAAAGAGATAACATAGCTAACTGACGAACATGAAAATAAGATTTTTTCAAAAAAACTGCAAGTTTAATTTCAAAATTTGAAGATATTACATACCTTGGTGGATGCTATATTCAACGGGTGCATTAATGGCAGTGTCTAAATCCACGGCTTTGACGACAGTGACAAGGTGACCCTGAAAGACAAAAGTTAAGCATCGGATTCAACGATGCATCCTGCACAGAAGGCTCATGGTTAAACATGCCAACCAGGAGGTCTTCGGCAAAGTTCTAACTAGAATAGTTTCTGTGCACTGTAACAAAATTCAATGCAATTCAATAACTCCAAAATGAAAGATGCCTAGATTCATCACGTTACCTTCGCACTATTTTCTGGTATAGTTGCAAAATATTTTGCACGTTGGAATTTAGCAGGCTGGTCGTCATGATCTTGAACAAAAATACGAAGAACAGAAGAGTTGGAAAGGGTGATGTTCTGTCCATTGTCCTATATAAAAATGACGGAATAAGGCCGTGAAAGACATGATGTAAAGAAGAAAATTACAAAGAAAGTTAGGATAAAGCTTAGGATAGGAGCAAGCATGTTTATGCGTTTATGATGCATGCAAATGAAAAGACATAAGCTGTTCGCTTCTATATGTCTGAAGAAACGGGACGAAGGTATGATTACAATCAATGGAATTGAATGGGTCTCCAAGATTTGAAGGAATTATTTCACCTTAATACACTGAATTGGTAAAGCTTATTGAAATGTCAAAAAATAACTAGATCCTTCAAAAAAGAAAATACGCATTATCAATAAAATATTGATGCAGCTGATGCAGAATAATGCAGTACTATAATAAAAATGTATATCAATAGTTCATTCAATATTGCACATAACGTCAAAGGCTTGTTTGGGCAAATACTATCTGAGTACTATTGAGAAATGTTTTGAACCAGGTCTCACCTCAACAGTTATTGAAATATTGTAGTCTTTGGTTGACTCAAAATCAAGCCGTGACACTGTTGAAATTTTCCCTGAATAAGAATCCATCTTAAATCTGTTCTCCTAGAAAAGATTGGTATCAAAGCTTAACAAAGGATTAGATTGAGGAGAACCACTTAAATTAGTACCATGTTGGTGCAAAATTTGCATAATATTGGCAAACAAATGGCACACCTGGTTCCCATGAGTGATTGAATAACTTAACAAAGCGTTTCGAGAGGCATCTTTGTCTTTCGCAACAACAGTGAAGAAAGTGAAGCCAGGCTCTGCATTCTAAAACAAAATAAGTAAACCTTAGGTTGCTTTCAAAATACCTAATTTGAATATTCAAAATGCTTTAAGGCTATTTAATTGATGAAATTTCATTCTACCTTGAAAAAGGCCATGCAATGAAACGTAATTGTACAAATCTCGATAAATGTAAAAAATAGTTACTTCTCTCAAGCTGATTGTAGTGGGCAGGTTTTCTATTTGCGGTGCATTGTCGTTGACATCAGAAAGGTGAACTACAACCTCAACTTGACTCTTTGAGAAAAAAAAGATAGAAATATGTAAAACTATTATTAAAGTTGATGATGAAAGTAAGCAAAATGCCATAGAAACTGATAAATTGAAACTATAGATAGAAACTACAAAGAACTTATGAAAGAATCGACAACAAAAAAACCATAAATACCCTGTCAGAGATAATTTAACATAAAAAGCAAATGTGATATTAATAATAAGAAAGACACAAAAGAAATAAAAAGTATAGCATTTCTTGATTGCAATGATTGAACCAAATATCCTCACTTGGTAGCTTAATACACCAAACCTAATCCACACTCGGAAGATGGCGCGAATATCCGATAAAATACATTTCGAAAGTAAGTTTAAAGGCAGCAAAATTACAGATTTGTTTGAAAACGAATAATGAGCTGGAAAATATTTCAAAAGTAGGGAAACAGTTGTTTTTATATCAGAAGACAAAAATTTACCAAGATAAAAATTATAGATGTATTGCAAAAGTGGAAAGCCAACCTCTAAACCATTTGCGACGTTCTTCGCAAAGGCATAAAACCGCTGATTATCTGAAACCTAAAAAGCATCATCAAAGAATATATGATGTTACGGTACTTAGTTATTTAGTTATTCATCTTTGCAGCTAATAAATTTCAAGATTAAAAAAAATGTCAAAACGGAGATTGATTTGTCTTAGAAACGAAAACATCTGACACTGCCAGCGCTCTTCCGTGAAAGAGGCGACTCACCTCCCTGTCCAGTCGTCCAGCTACAGAAATCCAACCAGTGGCAAGGTTAATAGCGAACAATTTGACCAAAGCATCAAGCCGATACGTGGTTGTACTGCCATCGATGACTGACGCACGAACTTGAATCACTGAAGAACCTTGAAAGATTCATTTAATACATTGTTAGATTCAATTTTATCAAAAAATAAGGCACCAACAAGCCAAAATACCAGATCAAATGTTTCCCAGAGTCCACAGATGAATTTTTATTTTATTATTATTTTTGCTCCATGTTTATATGTTTGATACAATGTCTCAATTTTTCCTCCAATCAGGTAACTTTATCTCCAGTTACTTTTAAGTACTCTTAGTAAGCACTCTTAGTAAAATGAGGGTTTAGATTGTTTCTATTACTTTCAGATACTTACGAAATCACTTATTTTCTTATCAGTAATTTCTTCATATGTTTTTATCTACTAGCAAGGGCATGGAAACAACAGTAGAGATGAAAAGCTTTCTCGCATTTGGTCGCTAGAGCACTTTTTGCTTTCGGGATCACATTCAAGAGATAAAGGTCATGGCTTATTTCGTCTTTATTTTTGATCTACTTCAACTCTACGTAAATGGATTGGACTGAAATAAAATTCCAGGTTGTAAAGAAACGCTTTCTTAAACCACTTTGTGCTAGAATGAAAACTGAATTTGGTCATTGCAGCATCGACTGCTCCAGTTCTATTATTGATTTTAGTCACCATAGAAGCGATCATGTCTTCAATACTCTCATTACTCTTTAGCAATTATTACTCCAGTTTTTTCATTGCAAACCTACAGTATATGAAACTTTGTTTCTGTAACAATTAGTTTACAAAAGCTAACTGTAAAAGATCTCAAAATGTCTAAATTTCTTTTCCATTGAATAAATTTTGATAAAGGCAAAGTGAAGCAACATCTTTGATATTATCAGTAGTTCATTCAACCTTTGGTTTCTTTTTATATATGGCTCACAATTGACGTATATGATGTCTTTAATGTGTTATTGGCCTCGTAGTTATTGATTAACCGGCCTGTGTATGAGCTTGGCAGTATGTCGAGTCTTTCGGTGACACATTTGAATCCACAATGAACGATGGTAGTGATATGAATGGCCCATGCTTTGAGTACAGTCCTTTAATCGTCCCTTAGAAGTTGATCTAAATGTGCAGCCTTCTTACTCTTGTCACGATGTTTTTCTTTTCAATGCAAGGAATGAATCTATTCCTTTACTCGTTTGTTTTTATCGTTGCCCAATTTTTGGAAATAATTTCGAGGTTTGTTTGCATACCGATTTTGCCTGTATTCTTGGTTTTCTTGAAAACAAGACCGATATTACATCTTTATCGATAAATCGGAAAACACCATCCTTTTAACGCCCTTGGTACCACATGATAAAGGAGCATAAGAAAGTTGCAAAAACCCCAATGAGAAATGAAATGTGTGTGTCAGAGAAGAAGCTAACTAGGCCAGATGCCTCATGCGATAATGGCAGCAAATACTCTAAAATTAGCACATAAAGTATAACGCAAACAACAAAACCTTGAGAAACATGTTTTCAAATAATTAAAAATGGCGGATAAGAATTTTCAGTTGGCAGATTGGCTTCAAAAGGATTGCTCTTTGCACTTCAATCATTTCATCACTCTTGGGTTTGATAAATGTCATGACTTCAATCATCCTCAATAGTTTCCCCTACTTCTTTTTTAAGACTTTTTTACCCTTCTCTCTATGATAAACATGAACAATTAAAGCAGGATAAAAAATCAAAGCATAGAGAAGAGTAGAACGCCAAGAAAAGGGAACGATTCCATACGATTCCAATATTTAGAAATATTTAGAGAATGGTAAGTGGTTTATTTTGAGGGATAAACCAACCTAAAGACATACCTATCGCCAGTTCTTCTTTTATTTCAGCAATGTAAGTTGTTTTTTCAAAAATTGGGCGTTGATTCTGACCAAACGCTGAAAAATATTAGATGTCACTTTTGCAAGGCGAATTGAGGAAAGCCTAATCAAATAATTCACAATAAAAACAGAAAATACCAAAACTGTTGCTTGTCAACAGCAGAAGACAGCTTGTAACTGAACATTATCTGGGTTCACTAAGAACAGGTTAGGATAATGTCAGGAGAATCTTTAAATTAAAATCTAATCTATAAAAAACTAGGCCTAGGTTGTCTTACCACCATCTAGCAGTATATCTGCCCATGAATGCAATGTATAAATAAAAGAGATCGTTGATATACCTGTCTGACTGAGAAAGAAGATTGCTGAGATAATCTGAGCAATGCGAGTGCTTGACATCTCTGCAGAACTCGAGGGCAGATGAATGCACTAACTCATCTTCCAGGCAACTGCATCTCCTATCTCCAAAAAACACATAGAATAGACATTTAGCCTATTATGTGCACCTAAAAGACACAGTCAGCAAGCAGATATCAAAATCTCATTGATTTCTGACTGAAAAACAAACTTTTTAATTAATGATCATACGATTGATGCTTATCTGATGAAGCAGAGAGATGTCTAGGAGCGTTTAACGCTTTGCCAGTGTTTGGTTACAATTTCGCGTAAAACATCTACACGATGTCAATTATTGATGCAGCTTATCTTCAGAAATTCTATCGATTTAAACCCAAGCGAAGATTTCTATTGCAAAAGGGATATTCCAGCAAAACCGCATTTATATAACTCGATATTCTGGTTTGCCCAAGCAGCTGCTTTTTTACCATGCTTAGTCAGCAAAGGAAAGAACTCCTCCGTGTTTCCTTCGATTTCCTTTTTCTTTAAATCTTTAAATTTTCCTTGAAAGTTAAAAAGGCTCTGGTATTGCTTTAAAGGTGGCATGTTACATGGGTTTGGAAAATCTTTGAACTAAGTCAAGTTCTTAGTCCCAGTTAGATGCTACAAAAGAAATTTCTCTTTTAAAGTAAGCTACTATAAAGGTTCAAAAAGATACTTTTTCCGAAAACAAGTTCAATTTTTTGGACTCAACTTAATTACCTCAGCATACATTCCTCTTTAAAGTTTCATATGAATGACAACGATGAAAGCGCAAAACTCATGCATTGCTACATATACCATGGTAAAGAAAAATGGTATGACGTACTTCCTGCAAATCAATTAATTTAGAATGAGATGCTAAAACCTTAAAAGTTCTTAACAGAAATCGCAACGCTAACAGAACGTCAATTGAACATCGTAGAAGACTGCAACGATCAGGACCGAATTACCTGTTATTGTATAACAGAACTGTTTTGTAATATGTAACTTGGTACGAAATAGCTGTCTGTATCATATATCCTGTGGTATTATTTACAGGGAAGAAGCATGCATGGCTCTGGTAGGATTGTCTCTATAATTTTCAGGGTTTATTTTAACATGCAGTGATAACAATTATGTGCAGAGATAAATCGTAATTGTGCAGTGATAAATTTAAATTTTGTGCAGTGATAAAAGGTGGTGAAAATGTAAAATTGCAGCAACTCCCAGTAGAAACATGTAGCTTATAAAACAGCACTACAATATTAAAAATGAGAACATAACAGTAACGGTGATCATAATCTATGAAATGTCTCTAAAATTTTATCGATAGCGGTATCTAGAAGCTATCTAATTTTCTTTGTTCTTCATTTTCCTTTCAAGATCTTTGTTCTTTAAAAACTTGTTTGAACAAAAATTTTGAAAATGTGCAGCGATGAAAATTACCTAAGATAATCCCTGAAAATTCAGCCTTATCCAAGATGCAATGCATCGCAACAACAGGCTTTGACAATACTTATAGCACTAGATCCCCTTCCCCTTTAAAGGAAAATCTTACAGATAGGACAACACTCAAGGACACGAACCATCCCCGCAACTCTCAAGGACAGCTTGGACTTGGTTCCCTTAATCAAGATACATTCTTCTTAGTCAAATCGTATCGAATATAAAGCTTTACAAACTATTCAATAACAGCATATGTAATCTATGTGAACAGAGAAGGGCCATGACATTGGAAATTTCGATTTTCATTTATTGCAATTTGTTTGATGAAAAATGTAGTGTAATGGCCCTACGTCCCCCTTATAACAGACAATTACAGGCAAATTTCATCAAAGAGCTCACTTCAAAAGAGATTCATACATACATTGTTTATTTGTTAAAGTAGGTTTAAAAGTTGGGCGGCAAACAGTGCCGATGTGGACCTGCACGATTCGGAATTACTATCTTCATAACCGTCTTGAATTGTTAAAAGGTGAGTGAATTCTATCATCAGAGATGCAACATTTACTTATTCATTCCCCAATAGATAGTTGACTTTTCAGACATTGCGAATGATCTTCCAAAAAGAAAACAAAATAATAACTCTTTGTTTACAATTTTTTTGCGGTACAGAATTTGAAAATGGCTTTGAAAAAAGCAAACATTTTACAACATACTTAAAGCTTTTTCGTCTGACACTCCTCAGAGCATAAAACGTCAGAATAGGTTCCGAAAAAAACACGTTTGAAAAATATATACCCAGTTGTGGATCGAAATAGGCCAATCAGAAAAACGCAAGCACAAGACCGGTATAGTTGACCAATCAGTGCCGCGAGCCTAAAGAAAAATTACCAATGGAGTCCAAGAGAGAACACGAACTCCTTTTGTCTACACAATGGCGGCTTTTTCGTTTTTATGTAGATTGACTCCAAAACTGCTAGATGGAAGGACGACCGGGCTCTGCCAATTATCCGAAACATGTCGTCATTACAGAGTTTTGCACAATCTGGGTTGTCTAAAAGATGTTGACCAATGGCAGAATCACTTGTTTTAACAGTGTTTCTAGACCTACAAGATCGAGGAGGCTGTTCTCTTTGAGGGGCAGTTTTGTTTAAGAGCAGTCAACCACGCAGTATGATATAATTTTACCAATACGACAAAAAATCTCAAAATTTCAAGCAACAGTTTTTTGATTAAAGTACAATCAAATTAAACATAAATAGGTATGATTATTATCTAACGATTTAAGTTTTCTTTCAATAGCAAAGCAGGATTGTCCACCATGGCTTTCTCTTTAACTCACTCTGTACCTCGCTATTGTTTGAGAGACAAGGTTCATCCTTTGCAATCGTCTTTGCGTCCAATGATACCTTCGATTGTCCTTGCAATGTTATGCGGTTTTTGGTCGCAACAATCGGATTAAAATTCTTCTGCTGGCCTTTCTGCAATGTCACTTTTTCTACAATCTTGCAAATGTGGTGCTGAACAGATTCAACAAAGCCTCGTTTCGACACCAGCCTCTGCCACATTAGATTAGTGAGTTCTTTCTCTCTTTCATATCTTCTTTCCAAGAAAAATTTCTAAAATTTGATCGAAATCTCAAAGTTTCAACACGCTGGAAATATTTCGTGTAAAGCTATTTTTGTTAACAACCGGACTAGCAATATTTTGTGTCAAGATATGGTTTCAAGCAGCAAAACCTTAGTTGTCGTCAAGACCTTAGTTGTAAGTTGTGATTGCAACTCGAGAATCAGGAGCATCTGAACTAAAGATTTTATTATAAATAATCGACAAACCTTGAAAGGAAGATCTGAATTCTTCACTGCTTTAATTTTTTGAATCAAAATTTGGTTAACAAGTCGAAGATTTTCCTTTTCTGTCTCAATGTTGGACAACTTTCCTTCCAACACGACCATATCTTTCTTGAAACCTTCAAACTCTCCTCGTAGCTCATTAATCGGGCTCCTTTTCTTTACTCTAGAAGAATTCGCCATTCTCGAGACTTTCTCTAGTTACTCCTTCGATAACATCAATCAACTAATTTTTCCCTTGAGAGTAAGCCTTGCTTGCACAAAACAGTAACTCAACTCAAATGCCTAGTGTTTCCAAGTCGCATCGTTTTATATCAGTGAAACATGACGTAACAATACTCAGCTGGAATTTGACGTCACAAATAACCGTTAAGTCTCACAGTCGCACCATTTTATATCAGCGAAGCATGACGCAACAAAACCGGGACAGAATTTGACGTCACAAATAACCGTTGGGCATGCTCACTTGTGGTTAACGCTATGGTATGTATCAAAATCTAACTTTATTCACCGAATGTCTGATCTGCAAGTGGAAAATTCATCGACATTTTTTAGTTAGTTGTGACATAATTATGATTAAAGGTCTTAAGGACACACACAGCAGATAATATTGAAAAGCATTGTCAAAGAATCAGAATCTAAGCAGCAGCTAAAAACACGACATACCATTGCAAACATAAACGATTTATTTTCGACTACCTCAATAATATTTAGGAATTATAATTCTTTAAAAGGTTTCATTCTTTGCTTGTAATTATTTTGCTGGAAACCATTTTTAACAGCCAACACCATCTATGATCCAAACTGACTTCTGCAGGTGTTGAGTCGATTTTAAAGAGCAAAACTCGGATGCAACTGCTAGCCAACAAATCTCAATCTTGAAATTTTTTTGTTGGATGAAAATATTTTCGATAGAGCACGGACAATTCAAATTTAACGGGACCATGTTTACCATACAAGCTTTAAGAACTGGAAAATTTGACTTCAGCAAGGAAAAGCGGAAACATAACATACAAAGGCGTTTTTCATTTGGCACTGTTTCGAGACAAAAAGCTGGATTACGGGCAGAAGTTGTATTGTTAGTTTTTGTCTACACAAGTTCGTTTTAAACAACGTGGAGGTAAGCGGTCGCTGATTGGTCAAAAACATTGAATCAATTACTTTTTCCTCTCACGTTACTTTTCCTCTCACGTTCTTTCGACAAATATCTGGGCTATGCAAATAGCAGCTATAACTTGCAAAAAGACAGATTTTTACCGAAGTATCTGCATCTTAAAATGAGACACTTGGAAAACTGCCTCTGCGGGACATTGTGAATCAAATGACTACTTCGTAATGCAATTATTCATTAAGCGTATCGGTTTTAAATTATTTGATAAGCAAATATACAATTTATAATTTCAAAAAAATAAGACAAGAATAGATTTATCTGCCAACTTTGCCAAGGGATTGGTCTGTCTTTGGGTTGGCGGTTTGTCTCTGTACAAGAACTATCGCTTTATTTATCTGTGTTTGGAGATCACGAAGTTCATGAAGATGAAGAAGGCGAAGAATTTTGGCAGCTTCTTTTACAGCAGAATCTATATTAGAAGCAAGAAAAAAACAGAATGATAATAATGGAGAACTTTTAAATAAGCTATATAATTAACAGCTTAGTCCGTGTCGCTAAGATGGATCTGCAATTCAGTTAAATTCAGCTGAAGTAAACTTGCAAAAACCGGCAACCTGGTTCTACCTTCTTTTTAATGCTTGCCCCAATAAATTTAATGCTTTTATTCAAAGGCATCGCTAAAACAAATGCTATTACACGAAACGGCATCTTGCCTTATATAATAAAACTGAGCTCATAAAAACCTTAGCGGCAGAGTGACTGCATCTTGCATTACCTTACAAGCAATCTTAGCATGCTGACCTCTCTCTAATGAAATAGAAATGACAAGCTAATCAAAATTGATAATTTACCATTTACTTGAAAACCGAGGTCGATTTCATTTATGGGTCGATAGTCGCCTTCCTTTCCTTTTCCCTTCTTCTGCAAAAAACCATGATATTCAGACAATCAAATAAAGCAACAGCACTTAAACGAAGCTTCTTAGAACAAATTAACCTCTGCGTGCTTTTCATATCAAATGACTAATGTCTGTAAACCTTTTGAAAATGAGATTAAACGCAATGAATTATAAAATTGTTTAAAATTCTGTAAAAAAAACTATTTCAAATACCTTGTCTTTACCAGATTTTAAAGCATCTACGTTCTCAGGAGAGAGCTTCTGGTTGATAATTTTTTGAACCGCCTAAAATATAGATATGAAAAACATTACTTTTAGGCTTGCAGTACTATAATTCTAATAAAGGAATCTACGTATAAAAGCCTTCGATTTTTAATACAACAAAATTTCCTTTCGGTAGATGCTTCATGCTGACTAATCCACTTCAAACTTCAGAGTGAAGTTTTGTTTCAGAAGATGAAGGAAATCATGGGAAGAGAAATGAAAATCCGCATAAGATTGAGATCAATATGGAATGTTCTCGAGACTAATGAGCATACAGCCTTATTACCTGCAAAGTAGTAATGTGGTCAGGGTGGAACGGAATTCCAAGAAGCTTTGATAACGATGAGATACCTGCTTTCAGGTCAGGATCATCACCTACAAAAACATTGTGAAAACACAATTACGTTGAATCATATGTGGTTAACTTAGACTTAAAAGGTGACATAAGATGAAATTTAACTGTCAATGCGTCATATGTGTTTGTGCTAATAAAGTAATGAAATGCATTATATGGCTGTTTCCTGCCGCTGTGAAATACCTCCTGCTTTTCATTACTAATTCTCATTACTTTGAGCCCTAAACATTTCAAAGCATTATGTCTTTCTTTGGGGTTGGAAAACGGGTGGTTTTAGTCCTCTATTTTTCTTTTAAATCTACAGAAGCTGAATGTTACTGCTCTTGCTGGTTGTTTTGCTCGATAGTTCAGTATATTGCTAAATACAGGCCTCTTTCAAATCAATTCTTGTATTGCCAGCATACCATTGCAATACCTTAACAATCACTTTTTGCATCAGTTGAATTAAAACTTCTATATGTTTATATCGATATGTATTTGATAGATTGAAGGATTGAAGGAAAAATAGGCCCTACAATCCTTTGAAAGCTTCCAAACACAAGATTATTTTCTGAACGGAAATTACACATCATCTGCGTACAGATTTAATAGAGCACCGGCTTCTGTTATCTGTTTATCAGATTACAATAGTTGTCAAATTTCCAACATTGAGCTGGAGTCTCTGACACTGAGCTCTAAAATAAAATAAATAAAAAGAGCAAGGCCTTGGAAACAAAGGAAATAAAGATAGAACAGCGGGTTTCCAACTAGCAGGATATTAATCGCTGGAAAGTATCTAATACATGAGAAAATATTTATGATATATATAAGAAATTATAAGAAATTATGTAAGAAACTGTAAGATATTATAAGAAAATATTTATGATATATACCATGAAGTACCTGTTATTTCACTAACTGCACCTGAACCTGATTGTCCATTAATGCTGGCACTTGTGCTATCTTCTTTCACTTTCTTTCTCTCTTTGTGAAGGTCATTAAATTTAGTGGCTGCAAAGCACATGAAAGGATATTAAAATTGTGATAAATATTTCATTTCGATTCTCTAAACTAAGATTATCATTTGCCATCTATGATGTAATCATGGCAACTACTTAAGTTTTCTCTGCTCACCTACTTCAGTTTTCTCTTCTAAAAAAATTACAATTTGTTTTAAAGACAAACATTGGTAAGAAGCTTGAAGAATTAATAATTTCATATTGACAATCAATTGCCATCCTCAATGATCACATGAAGACATTAAATGTAATTTAGTTTCATATTGAATCACACTTCACTAGCCTGAAAATTGTAAAAAATTCAAAACACATGAGAACACATTTGTGAATACAAATCATAATCAGAAGGGTAAGTAATAGATTGTTCATTTGGAGTAATTACAGAAAGGACAGAGATATGGAAAAAAGTCTGCCTTTAGCAAATAGCTAGGCCTATTATCAGGTATTGTTGTTTGAAATAAACAACATAACAAATAAGAACTATACCATTCTCATGATACTCTACTCTAACTGCATGACTTATTAACCAAGAGGCCACAGCTTCTCTTTCATCTCTTCGCACAGGACAAGCTAAGTCATCCAGATACTAAAATATTTCAAAATTTGAATTCAATATAAAAGAAGATATTTCATCAAAGAATTATTAATGGTTGCCTAACAAAAATGATGGATTAAAGGCCTGTATCAAAGTGCTCGATAACATACAGGAAGATACGTTCCATATTTATCCCTATTTAACACCTAAGGACAATAGAAACAGCTAATTTGATATCTCCAGGAACATAAAACCAAGCAATTATACAATAAAAAATCAAACATAGAGATTAGTGTGACAGTTGCTTGCTGATGGCATTAGGTACAACAAACGTGGAATTCAGAATTGCAACTCTGAGCCAAACTTTTATACACACATAAAGGCAAACATTTAAATGTACATGGGTGTTGGATAATGTTAGAATCAAGATTTACCAGAGGCAGAGTGTTTCTTAGAATACCACAATTTTGTAGGAAATATTACTGATGACTGTTATTCTGTTTTGATGACAATTGGCCATAATGGCAAACAGCATAAAAACAAAACGATACTTTTAGGCAATAACAAATTTTAATTCTTATAAACCTTTTCAAAAATAGATGGCCATTCAGAGCTACTTGTTTCACGAAGAAGATCTCTATCTTCTATCTTGTATAGTCGTATGACTTGGTCCTCAAGCCAAATAATCAGATTCCTAAAGTCTTCTTCATCTAGAAATTGACAAAACAGCTACATCAATTCCAAAATGATTAAACTTTCCAAATCCCTTTACAATTCAAATAATCTGCCTTAACATTTCACACGTTTAGATATATTACACTCCCCTCAGGAATATATCTGGACAGTTTCGAATTCAGTTGCGAATCGAATTCAGTTTTTGAATTCTGTTGTTAGAGAAATTGGTTTACAAATTTCAAAGTCAGTTTTTATGAAAACTTTTTTATCAATTTCCTCAAATTTTTTCTTGAAGTTTTTTTGGCCTTTAATCTCTTCGTGGAAAAAAATCATCTTACAATATGTAAACAAACTCTGTGAGGGTTTTTCCTCAAGATGGTAGCAACCGAAACAACAGAATTGACTTCTGAGCAGTGTCTAGAAATAATGTTTTATCGCAATGATGGGAAAAGGCTATCATTAAATTGCTAGGATCATTGGGTGCACAAGACTGCCACTTAAGTGATATGCAAAAAAAATTGAAAAAACATAAAGTTAAAAAAAATTTTCACGGTCAAAAAGAGCAAGAGCTCTTGCGACACCAACGTCTGAGCGTTCCACCCTAACCAAATTTTCAATTGCATTAAATGTTCATTAACAATTAAACTTTTAAAGCTGTTGATAAATATTACAAGGAAAATGATAAACAATTGTGAATCTACCCTCATACCGACTGCCTTCAGCAAGACTTGCAGCGCTAAAGAAACAATATGGCTCTGCGCTGAATGATATGTCTGCTTTGCGTGAGAGTTTTTAATCTGGTAAAATGTTACCAAATGTCATCCATGTTTTATAATCAATCGGTGGCATCTCCATGCAAAAGCACAGAAGTTTTGCAGCATTTAAATGTTCTTGTTTATTTTGGAAGGGTTTCTCAAAAAATTATTATCACTAAGTTAAAGAGTTGTTTTCGTCAGCCTAAATTTGTTTTTGTCTGCAAGCGCATCGATCTTCAAACTGTCCGGGTACTTTCGTTAGGGGAGTGTATATGTGTGCATATTTTGGATTTTAACAAGAAACTGGCAATTTTATATAATTCCGATTTCCATTACATCATTACATTAAACAAAAGCAATAGAATCAATGTACATACTAAAAGCACTAGAACTAGAACTGAAAATTACATAATAATTTGCAGTTGGGATTTACAATTTGAAGACAGGCAGCTGCTGCCACTGAGTTTGATGTGCTGTCTTAAAAAGAATAAAGGACACCTTTTATGAAAAGCAACCAATGCAACTGCCTTTGTGCAATTTTTCTGAATTCATCATTGCCCCATTAACACCTTTAGTTCAAAAGGGGATGTAGCCCTAAAAAGATGAAACCCCAGGAGGAGGACTAAATTGTTTCAGCAGTAATTCAAATACACCCTACCGTTAGCTGCTTGTCATAACTGATGCACTAAATTGTTTTTGAGATGGCAAAAAGGCAGAAGCTGCCTTTCTGCAAATTGCAAATCCCAACTGCAAAATATTTGCTAATATGTTAGATATAAATTTCAGTTCAGTTCAGTTCAGTTCATTCATTTTAAATTCCACTTCATACTCTAATATTAACCTACTTACAATAAATACATGAGACAATAAACATAGAATATAACAAAGATTTGACACTACACTAGAGGATTTGCATGAAAGGGAATTGTTAAGGAGTAGCTTTCTCAGTAGCAAAGCTAATTGAGGAGAGAGCACCCCCTTTTAAGATAATAATTTCAGAAACTTATGTATTTTCAATAATTATTTTCAAAGAAGTAGGTTTTGAGCTTAGAACAAAAGACACTAACAGATGGTGACCTTTTAATATTTACAGGAATGTCATTCCAGCCCTTTGCTACATAGTAGCTTACTGATCTGAGACGTAACTGCTTCATGTTATGAAAATAGTTATAGAAATAGTTAGCTTTACTTTCTCTCAAGGAGTTAGATACCCGATTTCTAAACTTTTTGTAGAGATCTTTCACAGACTGGTCATTAGTAATTTTAAGCCTGCCAAGTAGCTAACCTCTGATGCGCATCATTTTTTTAATTTTGCCATCAATCCATGGTTTGCTTTTAAATTCAATGTCACTCTTGGTGAGCTTTTTCAGAGGAGCATGAGGTTTAACTAGTTCATTAAGCAAGGATAAAAATCTGTTAAACTTAGCATTTACATCCAAGGCATTATCATTCAAAAAGGCAATCTATTAAAGAGGAATTTTTAGATAGAGAAGGGTTCTTAATAACTTTACCCCTCTAGGAGGATAAACACATCTGGATTTAGAGATGATAAGTTAAATTAAGAGCATTTGGCTAATTCAGAGCCTTCAAATAATTTGCAATAATTTCAGTAATGATTAGCTTAGCTTTACAGCTGAGGAAGGTGCAGCTTTACTTTTGCATCATTTTGGATCCAAAAGCTGGCTGGAAAAAGTGCACCACTTTCCATGAAAAAAGTGCTGGTGTAATATGCATTTTGGTACCCTATGCAAAAGTGTAACATTGTGAAACGCAATGTGTTTCAAATCATGTGTTTTCATCATTGTGCAATGTTTTTACATGTTATGAATAACAAATTGAGTTAAAGGTTATCAGAGATAAAAACTTCACACTTTTCAATCACGCAAACATTGGAGTCGCCATTGATGTTGTCCTTTTTTGCATAAACTTAACAAGGGAAATCATAACACTGCTTCTTGTTAGTACCCCCTTTTTAAAAATAGTTTGATTGTTTTTTACATTCTGAACAATTTGAATCCAAACATTTGTGTACCAGGACCGGTTTGCATGCTAAATTCTACCATTCATTTTGGTACTCTATTGTTTAAGTGCTTGGGTATGTTTTTGCAAAACCAAAATTGTCATGCTTTTGTATACCAGGACTGATTTGCATGCTAAATTCTACCATTCATTTTGGTACTCTATTGTTTAAGTGCTTGGGTATGTTTTTGCAAAACCAAAATTGTCATGCTTTTGTATACCAGGACTGATTTGCATGCTAAATTCTACCATTCATTTTGGTACTCTATTGTTTAAGTGCTTGGGTATGTTTTTGCAAAACCAAAATTGTCATGCTTTCGATACCAGGACTGATTTGCATGCTAAACTCTACCATTCATTTTGGTACCCCATTGTTTAAGTGCTTGGTTACGTTTTTGCGTAACCAAAATATCCATGCATTTGTGTACCTGAACCAAAATGCATAAGGTTACCGAAACGCATATGACACCGGAAAAAATATCAACATGATAATTTTAAATTTGAGGTTCATTCTTGCTAAAGGTCTGGTGATGCAAAATCAATGAGTCGAAACTAAGAATAAGAAGTCATCATTAACCTATGGTTGTTTCTAAAATAATTCTTTGCTATATAACGATGTAGAACACCCCTGGAACAATCATTCGTCTAGACTTTAAATCCTTTTAACCTTTTTTTTCTTATGTTCATTTGTTTTTTAACTCAATAATAAGATAAAGAGTTGGCTGCAGGGTGCATTCCATATTACAGAATGCAGTATACCTCAAAATCAATAAACTTAATTGAACTTTAAACTTTGAAATGGCAGCGATACTTGAAGAAATGGTTCACATACAAGTCACCAAGATATATCACGCATCAGTAAATTTATAGACAGAGAACTTCCAACTTCAAAGCACATGCCATATGCTCTATTTAGTCTTTGGAGGTTCTGTCTAATTACATTTCCAAGAAAAGAACGACACTCAGATGATTGTTTTCATGTAGGACTTACCGTTTGGAGAGAAGTTTTCTGGATGATGAAATCCAAGTGCTTTCAGTTTCCTTTCAAACATACTTTGAACGAGTTGTTAAGTAGTTTTACCCTAAGGCAAAGTCTTTCTTCTCTCGATAAATTAACGTACAAGAAAGGTTTTGTGCATGTGGAAAATAGATAATTTTTTGAAGACAGTGTTCGAGCCTCCTTTTGGTCGTTTCCACAAATACCAAAAGAGGCTGAAACTGTAAACTGTAACCATTGATCAGTGACATAAACATACTGTATACTATAATCACAGAATAAGAATAAGAATAAGAATAATTATTCTTATTCTGTGTTATAATATTCTTATTGCATAAAAAATACAGCAACTTAAGTATAATAACGTATTTACATGGCAGCTGTTTTGATTCCTGCCAGCTTGAAAGTTAAACCTTAAATTCCTTGTTGAAATAAAAAATAGAAGGGAGCTCTCTGATAATAATGGGATAATCGTACCAAGATGTTAGAGACGAATAATGAGAACATTTTTGAGGTATTCAAGGTTTTGTCTTGGGATAGGTCTGTTTTCCGCTTTTTTGGCTAATGTTGAGGGAGGTTCGGCGTCGCAAGTTTGTGCACGAATAATCAAATGAGTAATTTTTACAGTATATTTATATGGAACCGAAAGATAGTCGTTTGAAATTTGTTAAGAACTTTTAATTTTTAAGTTTTAATTTTAAGAAGATTTATAAACAGGCCAAATAACGGAGGTTTGCCCTTTCTAAAAAGTTGCTTTACTGTCGACCAAATCAGTGTCTATTCAACGATAGATTGGCTACTTCGAAAAAAATTGTAGTGATTATGTTCCAACAGTTCGCGAAACATGTTTTTCATGAGCTAAAACAAAAGGGGATTGTGATTTCTCTTTTCATTCACAAGGCTTTTTTCAAGGCCATGTCTAAATTTTTGCCACAAAAAGATTTGTTTCTATTTGCCAATGCTGAAATGGAATGCCAAGGGCTGAACGCAATGAGAAAAAGAAAATGGACGAACAAAATAACATATTTTTGAACACTTGCCAGGCACTCCAGGATGAAGGATGAGAAGTACCCATTGGGCTTAAAGTCATTATCACTCCTACATTCTCTGATCATTATGTTAATGATATATCCAGAAATATCAAAAGAAATCCTTGCAAAGTACAATAAGAGGTTGCTGTTCTGGCTAAAAATGATGCAGGGCAGAAAGTTGATTATTCTATACAAGAACTGTTTCAAGTCATAATTAACTGTGGCAAACACTACCTCACAGTATAAGAGAGTCCCAATCATTGGCAACATTTAAAAAAGAATTAAGAGCACACCCTGTAGAATGCGGCTGTAGATTGTGTAAAATGTTTATTGCTGGGTTAGGTTTTATTTAGAATATTATATCTTATACATTTTTAAGATTGTACCATATATTCATTTTATACCAATTCTTTATAGATAGTTAACCATATTGCCTACTTTTGATTACGTAATGTGTGCATATTCCCTGTGTTGACTTGACATTAAAATGCTTCAGGTTTTGGTGTACGAATTACGAGAATGATTTCCAGAAAATCGATAGAAACCATCCAACAGCGTTTGGCATGTGGATGTTGATTCTAAGAGTAAGGTTGTATTTTAAAGGTAGAAAAAATCGATGCAATGAGTGGATTTTCCAGCGAACTGGAATCATTAAAATTCGAAAATTTCATAACCTCAGGAAGTACCATTTGTGTACTTATTTATTGCGACACGAGCAATAATCTGCAAGCTAGCAAGACTTTTAACCTACCTAAGTAAAAATTGTTCCTATTCTATTTAATCAATAAATGACGTCTTTTTTTATTGCTCGGAAAAGTTTAGAACGTTGAGAATTCAGAGAAATCACGGAAAATGATATACAAAAACTTTCTTAATATATGTCCTTTGTCGTTTTAGGGACATTTTTTATAAAAGCTAGTCCCCACAAAAATATTAATCTCGCTCTACGAAGCTGCTCTTTATTGTCTGTTAAATGAATGTCCTGTCATAATCGTAATGTTTGTGCGTCTTTTTGCAACTGGGATTCCATGATTTCTCTCTAATTGCCTAGCACCCTGTCGGAAGGTCAGTCAAGCCCCTCCGTCGGAGAACTTCTAACGCCACCACTACTTATTGGCGCCCTTTTGGTTGCTTTTCCCGGTGGGTTGGAAGGTAGCCAGTCCGCCACTGCGTTTTGGTACCCTCTGCAGAAGTGTAGCATTGTGAAACGCAATGTGATTCAAATCCCGCAATTTCATCATTGTGTGCTGTATGACAAATCATGAGTCACAAATTGGAAACAATGCTTTTCGATATTGAAAATTCACACTTGTCAATCACGCAAACTTTTGAGTTTATTCTGTACATAAACTTAACAAGGGAAATCACAGCACCGCTTGTAATTAGTACCCTCTTGCTAAAAATAGTTCGATTGTTCTTTACATTCTTAACAATAAGAGCCAGAACATTTGTGTACCTGGATCGTTTTGCATGCTTAATTCCACCATTCCTCTTGGTACCTTTTTTTAAATGCTTGGGTACATGTTTGCATTAACAAAATTGCCATTCCTTTGTGTACCTGGACCGTTTTGCATGCTTAATTCCACCATTCCTCTTGGTACCTTTTTTTAAATGCTTGGGTACATGTTTGCATTAACAAAATTGCCATTCCTTTGTGTACCTAGACCGTTTTGCATGCTTAATTCCACCATTCCTCTTGGTACCTTTTTTTAAATGCTTGGGTACATGTTTGCATTAACAAAATTGCCATTCCTTTGTGTACCTGGACCGTTTTGCATGCTTAATTCCACCATTCCTCTTGGTACCTTTTTTTAAATGCTTGGGTACATGTTTGCATTAACAAAATTGCCATTCCTTTATGTACCTGGACCGTTTTGCATGCTAAATTCCACCCTTCGTTTTGGTACCCTATTGTTAAATGCTTGTCACATTTTTGCATAAGTAAAATTGCCCTGCATGTACCCGGACTGTTTGCATAAGGTTACCGAAACGCATATGACACCAGCTTTCCTGGCAGTGCGTACTGTCAACTGTCAGCAACAAATGAATTCTACCAAAGCTCGGAAGCAAGTCGCATCCATGAAGAGACTGTTTGAATGCAACAAACGCGGAGCAAAGCACCACAGCTTTATCTGTGAGAAATTTCACGAAGCGTATGGCCAAAAACTGCTGACAACAGAAAAGCATCATGTTAACTTCCTAATTGCTGCTGTAAAAGTAAATTGAGTAAAGTGCAGAGCATTCTTGGACATTGTAGCAGTGTGTTCATATGGTTCAACTACATTCATCAATTGTCTTTGGGTACTAGCTACGTATGTCGAGCACCAGAAGAAAGACATGCCTGCGAATGAAAAGGGAATTGTAAGGTTGTCACATTGCTTAGGAAACTAAGAAGCAATCCAAACTAATAAAGAGACTGTAGCACAGTCTTCAAGGAGCATGTGGACCAGCAGATAGTCGAACATGTTACCGATGATGTCTGTAACGATGTGCATAACCAGGATTGTACCAAAAAACAACTATTTCTGAAATACAGACTCCTCATTCTGATCTTGATTAAAACGACTTATCAACAGCTAAAGGTTCCTATTGCTTTCCTCTCTGTTCCAATTCAACTCACTATTATTCTCTTCTTTCTTTACTCTTGCAGCAATCCTCCACATGTCGTTAAACCTGTTTTGCGAGAGCAAGCAGAAAAATATACGCTGCGTGTGGTTTTTGGTGCCCTAGGAAAGAAGGACTGTCTTGAAATATAAGTTCCACTTCAGAATCTATATGCCTAATGAAATAAAAAACAGTACGGGAAATTCTGGTGCGAAGGCCTGATGACATTAAGACAGCAACTTACCACAGATAGTAAAAGTGAACCCAAGAAAGTTCTAAGAAGAAGTTCAGTTGACCTCATTAAACATGCATCCCTGAAGAACATGATAGCCTCATGCATCGACTTTCTTTCAAGAAAGCTGCCAGAATAACAGGTTGAATATTGCATTGATTGAAATTGAAATACCACGGACAACTGACAACGAAAGAGTTCCAACCTGCTACTGATGTTTGGAACAGAAAGTTATCAAAGTCCAATTTGAGCAGCACGTGCATCAACTGAAAGCGAATAATAATAAGCATATAGTGAGAAGCCTGTAGTGAGTGCGCTTATGGTTAAATTGAATGTGTGAGTTTGTTTGATTAACAAAGCTAAGGTAACACAGGCTTCATATTAGCGATTTTATACACTGCCTTGGAAGCAAGTATTTAATTCTAATTGCCCTTCAGCCGGGGTTTGATATACAAGAGGCCTAAATTTATTTACAATCGAAAGAATAAAAAGATGATTTGGATTTTAAAGATGTCTGTTGTATCTGCTTTCAAACGAAGAACCATATTTAGTCGTCATGTTTTCCATTATGCTAACATTCGCTTTGATCTGCGGGAACCTCCGGCAACTGATTGTTAAGTACTTGAATTAGATATAAAAGTAATTTAAACCTTTCAGACCTTTCAGTCCAGTAATTTAAAAAAATCCTGGTGATTTTAGACTTCCCTTCAGAAGGACAGCGGCATTTAACGAAAAGTTTCCTCGACCATTTTAAAAGATGTCCGAACAACAAGATTGTCCTGTCTTAGTCAGTAGACAGAAATGATTACCAGACGTATCAACATAATGATCTTTATATTTTGTTTATCCATGAGCACTAAAAAATTAATCATTGAGAGTCATTGCTATCATTTATCTAGTAAGCATAAAAAGAACTTAAGAAAAACATAAAACAGTATCATCATTTATAATTTGTGCATCACCCACGACTTTTATTAGCTTTATCAGAACTCGGAAGAATAAGTCGTAAAACCACTAAACATACAAGTATTCTTAATTCAACTTAATTCTTAATTCTTGATTTCAACATGTTCATTTGGCTAATGACCCAAGAGAATTATAAAGCACCAAAACATTTGGGGGAATTTCTGCAAAATATCATCTGAAAAAATCGATTTTTTAAGCAACACTAATAATATTTTAATTCAAACATTTACTTTTTTATGGCAGTAGCTTTTGCTGAATATTGTGCTTAGTTCATCCGTAATTGTATCTTTAAACTATTAGATTTGTTATTATTGAGTAGTTTTTTAAAAAATCACCATAAATAGCTGTATA